CTTGTCGCGTTTCTGCTATCCTGATACCAAAATTTTGTAGACAAAATTGGATCTTTTCGAATTCGGAACTTTGTATCAGGATAATAGAAACGCGAGGAGATATTTAAATTTTTTATTTTTGCCACAACTTTTTTAATATTGCTGTTAGGAAAAAAAGGAGTGTATTTTTGAGATCTACATGTGATCCTCTATCCGTACGCAAATTTAAAGAGTATTTTATTTTTTCAAAAAAATCGAAAGGGTATAGCCTTCCAAATTTTTTGACAAAAATTTTTTTTGTCTCTGATCTTGATGAAAATTGGGGTACATATAAAGGAAAGCACGGGCAATTAAGGGGTGAACTCAGTTGCTCCCTAGCTGTAAGGGTTAATTTTTTTTTCTTAATTCCTCAGTTAATAATGATCGAATTATTCCATAAATTCACATGAAGGTAGAGCCGGATGGATAGTTTAAAATGCTTTTCGCCGATTGCCTCTATCTTGAGCCATTTAGTAGTTATTCACATTTAAAAATAAGTCAAATACCTTGTCGCGTTTCTGCTATCCTGATACCAAAATTTTGTAGACAAAATTGGATCTTTTCGAATTCGGAACTTTGTATCAGGATAATAGAAACGCGAGGAGATATTTAAATTTTTTATTTTTGCCACAACTTTTTTAATATTGCGGTTAGGAAAAAAAGGAGTGTATTTTTGAGATCTACATGTGATCCTCTATCCGTACGCAAATTTAAAGAGTATTTTATTTTTTCAAAAAAATCGAAAGGGTATAGCCTTCCAAATTTTTTGACAAAAATTTTTTTTGTCTCTGATCTTGATGAAAATTGGGGTACATATAAAGGAAAGCACGGGCAATTAAGGGGTGAACTCAGTTGCTCCCTAGCTGTAAGGGTTAATTTTTTTTTCTTAATTCCTCAGTTAATAATGATCGAATTATTCCATAAATTCACATGAAGGTAGAGCCGGATGGATAGTTTAAAATGCTTTTCGCCGATTGCTTCTATCTTGAGCCGTTTAGTAGTTATTCACATTTAAAAATAAGTCAAATACCTTGTCGCGTTTCTGCTATCCTGATACCAAAATTTTGTAGACAAAATTGGATCTTTTCGAATTCGGAACTTTGTATCAGGATAATAGAAACGCGAGGAGATATTTAAATTTTTTATTTTTGCCACAACTTTTTTAATATTGCGGTTAGGAAAAAAAGGAGTGTATTTTTGAGATCTACATGTGATCCTCTATCCGTACGCAAATTTAAAGAGTATTTTATTTTTTCAAAAAAATCGAAAGGGTATAGCCTTCCAAATTTTTTGACAAAAATTTTTTTTGTCTCTGATCTTGATGAAAATTGGGGTACATATAAAGGAAAGCACGGGCAATTAAGGGGTGAACTCAGTTGCTCCCTAGCTGTAAGGGTTAATTTTTTTTTCTTAATTCCTCAGTTAATAATGATCGAATTATTCCATAAATTCACATGAAGGTAGAGCCGGATGGATAGTTTAAAATGCTTTTCGCCGATTGCTTCTATCTTGAGCCGTTTAGTAGTTATTCACATTTAAAAATAAGTCAAATACCTTGTCGCGTTTCTGCTATCCTGATACCAAAATTTTGTAGACAAAATTGGATCTTTTCGAATTCGGAACTTTGTATCAGGATAATAGAAACGCGAGGAGATATTTAAATTTTTTATTTTTGCCACAACTTTTTTAATATTGCTGTTAGGAAAAAAAGGAGTGTATTTTTGAGATCTACATGTGATCCTCTAGCCGTACGCAAATTTAAACAGTATTTTATTTTTTCAAAAAAATCGAAAGGGTATAGCCTTCCAAATTTTTTGACAAAAAATTTTTTTGTCTCTGATCTTGATGAAAATTGGGGTACATATAAAGGAAAGCACGGGCAATTAAGGGGTGAACTCAGTTGCTCCCTAGCTGTAAGGGTTAATTTTTTTTTCTTAATTCCTCAGTTAATAATGATCGAATTATTCCATAAATTCACATGAAGGTAGAGCCGGATGGATAGTTTAAAATGCCCTTCGCCGATTGCCTCTATCTTGAGCCATTTAGTAGTTATTCACATTTAAAAATACGTCAAATTCCGTTATCCCAAATTCTCAAGTCCTTTTTGCTATTTACTCAATTACTAATGGTTGAATTCTTACCATAATTTACGAGTTATTCAAATAAGAAATTTGCAGTTGACAGGCAACACAGAATACACCAATGTGTAATGGTGGTTGCCTTTTATAGTTACAACTGCCATCTATTAGGGAATAGCTTAAACAATATAGTTATATGTATTTGCCAATAGATGGCTAAAAAACAATTCCTTCGATAGTAGATACACGCAACCAACATTACACATTTGTGTAGTATGTGTCGCCTGTCCTACAAAGTTTATTATTATATTTTAACCGGCTACAAATTTTTAAAACCAGAAAGTTTTAAAACTAATATAATTTTTGATATATAAAATAAATAAAACAAAAGAATTTAATTAACGAGATGTTTATTTTATGAAAAATACATAATTTAACAAATGATATAGAAATTGTACAATATTTAAAGGAAATCTATATAAATAAACAATTATAAAAGGAAAAACATTTTTTGAATTATATATCGTTGGAAATCAACGTCAGCGTCGTAGCCAAAATTCAATTATCATTAGATATAAAATAATTTTTTACTTATTTTGTAGGAATAGAAACAATACAGTAACTTTAAAGTTCAAAGGAGCCTGACTCTGCAACATACTTTGGATACATAACAAGATGGTTTTCGACCTTCTAAAATACATAGAATACATGATATGGCAACCTTGTGGGTCTGGTAATTTGACAGGATCAATGATGTAGATAGTTATATAGATTAATCATCCATGTTTTTCAAAATAAACCAAAGCTTTATGCCTTGAAGAAAACATGTAGGTGATTATTTTTTACTATATTCAAAGGCTGAAAATTGGTTTTAAAACACTTAAAGCACTTGCGAGGCAATATGGCCGCTCGCAAAACGACATGCTTTGAGCAATCTATACAACTATATATGTATTAGCAGGCCACAGGATTGCCGTATCTAAACTGTTAGCATTTTAACAGGTCGTTGAAATTCCTAATATATTTTACATGTCAAATGAAAAGTACTAGATTTGCTTCGAGTGTACTGTACCAAATTAGGCATTCCAAACTGAATGGCTACCAGTGGGTTTTGACAGGTTATGATATGGCAAAATTATGGCAACCCTGTAGGCCTGGTGATTTGACAAGGTCAATGAAATAGATAGTTACATAGATTGATCATCCATATTTTTCAAAATAAACATAAGCTTATGCCTTGATGTAAAAATATAAGCAGTTATTATTTTTTAAATATCTAAAGGCTGACAATTAGTTTTAAAACACATTTTTGCTAAACCGATTCAAATTAATAAATATTTGCCAGGCAATATGGCCGCACGCAAACGACCAGCTTTGAGCAATCTATATAACTATATATGTATCATTGACCCTATTAATGTCAACATGATAACAGGGTTGCCATATCTAAACTGTCATTACCCACTGGTAGCCATTTGGACAGGTCGTTGGAATGCCTAATTCTTAGAGAATGTACTAGATCTAGTACAATTGTACTAGACTTACAACACTGCATACAGGGTTGCCATATCTTAACTGTCAGTTGCCACTGACAGGAGTTTGACAGGTCGTTGGAACGTCTCATTAGTAGAAGAGCACGTTCAGGTGATTTTATACGTGAGTTGACTAGTTTTCTTAGATGGCCCAGGTTACTCTAGAGTAATTCTCATTGGCCCAAAATTTCTGAACTGCAACAAAAGTATACATCAACGAATTTGAAAATTAAAGTTTTTCATAGTTATTTATTAGGGAGTTTTAGCAAATGTACGTAAGATTTTCCTAACGTTACGTTAAACTTAGATTGTGACCTTTTTCATAAAGATTGAACGGAGTAGATTAGTCTATCCCTAAGGTAACGTTAGCGGATGGTTAGCGGCTGTATGCTAAAACTTCCTGTTTAGAACCGATTCCACCGTTGTGTTAAACGGAGATTAAAATGACGTTGTTAATGTAAAAATGTCATTTTAAACTTCGTTTAACACAACGGTGGAATCGGCCCTTAAAGACAATGTAATATTCGATGTTCATCGCTTCCAGTTGTTACTCCTGTAGTTATTCTTTTTAATCACTTAGTTTTTAGCTGTTTTCTTTTTATTTCAATGTTTACTTATTCACAGCCTTATTTATAATCGAGATTATAATGAAAGACATAAAATTTTTGATTATTTATTTTAAAACAAACTTAACTTTATAAAATTCCATGTACAAACACTTTTATGACATACAAAAGAACATTACTGTTCTGTTAAATTTACTCAAATGAACCCAGTTCAAACTTGGTGAAAAAGAGTACATTCTGGACTAATTTGACTACTTTCTGAACGAGAGTGGCTAAGGTTCGTATTGATAAACAGAACTCAGCTGAGTCGAATTTGGCTGAACTAAAATCGAAGTTCGGTTATATCGGGTGAATGTAAATAACAGTTACAGATTTGCTAATATCCATCTCTAAATTCCAGTGTAACACCGGAACCTTTGGAGACGTTGTAACCGAACTTCGATTTTAGTTCAAGGACGACTTACCCAAGTCTGACTCAGCTGAGTTCTGTTTATAAATACGGACCTAAATGTCAAATTCACTGTTCTGGAACGAACCAAGATCAAATTGATCACACTCTTTTTGATCGGAGCGTGTTTCCTGAACGCGCTGCTAATGTCAGTACAGAGTGGTGTGGGCATGCGCATTCTAACGCTAACCACCTGTTTTTAACCTGTCAACTACAAACATAAACAAAAATAAAGTTACCCGTCGACATCAATTTTGTTTACATTTTATGTTTTATATTAACACTGTTGTAATCTTCGTACTATAAACTTTTGTAATAAACTTCGTTTATTAACCGATAATCTGTGATTATTATTAACATGAATACATACAGACGATCACCTCAAAGTGAAATGGATGCCAAAGATTTAACTGCAATTTGCAAAGAAAGGATAGAATTATACAAAATCCTAGAAGAAGTTAAATTAGAAAACTTTGAGATTGGAAGCCAAAAATGGTCAGATTATATAAAATCGAAAATAAAGGAGAACAATCTGAAAACTTACTTAGATTTATTGACTGATGAAGAATCTTCTTCCACTTTCAAAAAATCTCAAAAAAAGGATAATATAGCACATTGGATGTTAGGATTAGGTAAGTTGATTAATAATCTATTTAATTGTTTAAATTTTGTTGCATGACACATTACAAGTTGGTTAATAATGTTGAATAAAGTAAGTAAATATATGGAATATTGCCAAGGTCTTTGTATTTTACTGACGCATTAAATTTGATGAAATTTAGTTTTAAATGATGTGTTTTATACTCCAGTATAATAATTCCATCCCGTTTTAGCATTGACTGTATGTTTAAAACAAAAAAAAATCTATAAAAAAGGGGTGTCGATATGTATTGCAGATTATTATCATTTCTTCAGAATGTCATCATTATTTTGTAACTTTTTCGAAGTTTACAGTCATGAAGAGGTTCTAACGACTTAAGAGTATCGATTTTAAAAGTGAAATTAATATTTTGAATGTATAATAAGTTATAAAAGTAATTTTAAATATTAGAGGAATTTGATGATTTTCTCATGAATCTCATCATAAGATCTTGATCAAATTTATATGGGGCTATTATTGAAGTGTTTTCTTTCTAACAAAAAAAGAATCTTAGAAATGGAGTAACTTGTTAAAGAATTATCACTGAATATACATTGAAAAAAATGGGATTCTCCTTTTTTTGAAGTCTGCTAATAAAAATAAAGAATGCACCCTTGGCTCATGTTTGAATTCAAGGTGTCCTGTACAAATTCAAACTTGCAATGTGGACTTTTTTCAGTAAACACTAATACAAACAATATTCTTCTATGCTTTCTTGACAGCGTCATGTGTGTCATATAATGTTTCATCTAAATAACACATTTTTTAAAATTGTTGAATATATTCCAGATAGCTGAAGGGATCTTGATGTTTTTTAACTACCATACATTAATGTCTTCAGTTTTTTACCTAATAAACCATTAGAATTGTTAGAAGGAACTTTATTAGATTATCAGTTGAAAAAAAAAGTGTGAATAGTATTGTAAGACTAGAATGATGTTAGGAGTTAAAATACATGTATTAGAACAAAAGGCAGGTGTACCAGGAGCAAGAAAGCAGCAAAGCAGACGATTTAATATACAGTGAGCATCATAAGTCTTACCCCCCCCCCCTAACTAACTCGTTACTGGGGTCTTGTTAGGAAAATCGCCGAGACAGGTCGATTTTTGATTTCTACAATGTACATTTTTGCATGATTAGTTTACCCTTAATTTCATCCCTTACTGGAGGGGAGCAACCCTTTCGAAAAATTTAAATGGCATGGGGTGGTGAGTGATAGCTCATTTGAAAGAGAGTTTTATTCTCTATTCAACCATGTAAAAAAATTTGAAATTTGCTTCATTACGTGTTGATTTATTAATGTTTAAAAATAACAAAACCTCACAAAATAGGAGAGCAACTGGACTAACAGTGGCCTTCTAATGGCAAAAAGTCTTACTTCACGTCTTTTAATTCTAAGGATGAGTGCGCTACGTTAATTTCCGTTATTCTGAAACAACAATTAGTCGAGAATTAATGAAGTAAATTTCAAATTTTTTTACACGGTTGAATAGAGAATAAAACCCATTTTCAAATGAGCTTTCACTCACCACCCCATGCCATTTAAATTTTTCGAAAGGGTTGCTCCCCTCCAGTAAGGGATGAAATTAAGGGTAAACTATTCATACAAAAATGTACATTGTAGAAATCAAAAATCGACGTGTCTCAGCGATTTTCCTAACAAGACTCCAGTAACGAGTTAGCAAGGGGGGGTAAGTAAGACTTATGGTGCTCACTGTATAATTTTTTTGGAATGTTTCTCTACGCCCTGGTCTTCTATCACTTATGGGCATTTTAGATATATCTGTTTTTAGGTTATTGCGACACAGAAGAACTTCAAAACGTTTTCGTAACTTGGGAACTGCAATGGTTCCATTTAATATTCATGAACTCTTCTGAACAAGCTCGAAATCAATTTTTGATAAAAAACAATTTAGTCTATAAAGAAGTAAGTCATAACGATATAATCGACCACGGGGAAGAGATTGAGGCTTGCTTGGGATGCGACTGTTCTAAAATCCCAAAATTATATCAAATACATTGGACAGAAATACCTGAAGTTGTAGGTGTTAGAAAAGCGTATTTGTTTATGGGTGAAACTCATTTTCTTCCAGAAAATATTGTTTATTGCGTTAAACGTAAATTAAAAAACGAGTTTTTTGAGAGTTTAATGTTTCAAAAAGAGAATTTTCATAAACTTAAAGATCAGAGGCAAACATATTTCATAAAAAGTCTTCCATTAATCGTCCCCCGAAAACATTATAACATTATTGATGGAGTTAGTTTGTCTAACATTGATGAGCTAGCAAAGACTCATTATCCTCTTTGCATGAGACATCTACATCGATTGTTAAGACAAGAACACCATCTAAAATACGACGGCAAGATGCAATACGGCATATTTTTATACTATTTAGGATTACCGTATGAGGACGCCATGCAATTATGGCGGGAAGAGTTCACGAAAAAAATAGGAGTTAAATTATTTAATGCAAAATATCAATATTTATTCAAACACCAATATGGTAGAGTTGGTCGTAAATATGAATACCCCTCTTCTACCTGTCAATATATTATCAATTATCGCCTCCCGATGTATCAGCAGACCCATGGATGCCCTTTTAAACATTGGTCTCCTCAAAAATTAAGAGACACCCTCGAACAAGATTGTCACGGTCAAGATATTGGAGATATAGAAGATTTAGTTCGAGAGGGCAAGTACCAAAGAGCTTGCACTAAGTACTTATGTAAGACTAAAAACATTCACGAAGGGAAAGTTGCAACCATTGATAGTCCCAATGGTTATGTCCAAATAAGTATTAAAGAAAGCTCCGATTGTTTGGATAGTTTGTTTTCGATGGGGAAGATTTGATTAAAATACGACTTTAAACTCAAAATTTTGACATTAAGCGCGGGATTTTGACTTTAAACTTGAAATTTGGACTTTAAAATGCCAAATTTTGAGATTAAAGTCGAAAATTCCGAGTTTTAAGTGGATATTTTGGGTCGAAATTTCGGGTTTAAAGTCTAAAATAACTGCTTCCAAATAATGTGGAAGCCTTTTTAGATCAAATGCAGTTATTTATTCTTGCTAATTCTAGTTTAAAGTGGAAATTGGATTTAAAACATGAAATTTCGACTTAAACTCAAAATTTTTACTTTAAACTGGAAATTCCGACTTTAAATGCGGAATTTTGACTTCAAAATCGAAATTTTGAGTTAAAAGTCAAAATTCCGAGTTTACAGTTGAAAGTATTGGTTTAAAGTCGAAACTCCAAATTTAAAGCCTAAAGTAACTTCGTCCAAATTATGTGGAAGCCTTTTTAGTGCAAATCCAGTTATTTATTACTGGATTACCTTACTGGTTTACCTTAAGTACTACACTACTGCTATTCCTCGTTTTAAAATTTGAAATTTCGACGTTGAATTCAAAATTTTGACTTTATAAAATGCAAATTCCGACTTTAAACGCGGAATTTTGACTTCAAAATCGAAATTTTTCAGTTTAAAGTCGAAATTCCGCGTTTAAAGTATGGGTTTAAAGTCCAAACTCCGAATTTAAAGTCTAAAGTAACTTCTTTTAAACTATGTGGAAGCCTTTTTGATCAAATCCAGTTATTTTTCTTGCTATTCCGAGTTTAAAGTGAAAACATCGATTTAAAACATGAAATTTCGACTTGAACTCAAAATTTTGACTTTAAACTGGAAATTCTGACTTTAAATGAGGAATTTTGACTTCAAAATCGAAATTTTTGAGTTAAAAGTCGAAATTCCGAGTTTAAAGTTCAAACTGTGGGTTTAAAGTCAAAACTCCAAATTTAAAGTCTAAAGTAACCTTGTCCAAATTATGCGGAAGCCTTTTTAGAGCAAAATCAGTTATTTACTCTTGCTATTCCGAGATTAAAGTGGAAACATCCTTTTAAAACTGAAAATTTTGACTTTAAACCGGAAATTCCGACTTTAAATGCGGAATTTTTTCCTACAAAATCAAAATTTTTGAGTTTAAAGGCCAAATTCCGATTTTTAAAACGCCAAATTTTGAGTTCAAAGTAAAAATTCCGAGTTTTAAGTGGATATTTTGGGTTTAAAGTCAAAATATTGGGTTTAAAGTCTAAAACAACTGCTTCCAAATTATGTGGAAGAGCCTTTTTAGAACAAATCCAGTTATTTATTCCTGTTTTTCCGAGTTTAAAGTGGAAACATTGTTTTAAAACCCGAAATTTCGACGTTTGGACTCAAAATTTTGACTTGGAAGAAGTTACTTTCGACTTTAAATGCGGAATTTTGACTTCAAATTGAAATTTATAGTTTAAAGTCAAAATTCCGAATTTAAAGTCGAAAGTAACTTCTTCCAAATAATGTGGAAGCCTTTTTAAAGCAAAAGATCTTTTTTATACATAAGTTATATACAAGATTTTATACAGGGTATTATTACTCAAGAACTTTTTTTAGTTCAGAATGTTAATTTTTTTATTTTTTTTATTTATTGTTATTTATTTTTAAATATATTTTTAAAACAAATCTGTTCTTTCATTTCGATATCTTGGATTAAATTATCGACTAAACTTGGTTACGAAATAATTTTATAAAGTAATAAAAATTGTAAACTTTTATTTGAGAAATTTACTTAAAAATTTGAAATTTTTACATTTTGTCAAATTTCTCGAGTACGGACCATTTTAGGAAAATTTTGTATGAAACAAAAATTATAGAGAACAATATAAGAAAAAACTTTTATTTAAACAATTTTCTTCTCTAAATGTAAATAACAGATATATTTCATAAAATAGAAAAACGATCCCCTATAAAGTACCCCCCAGATGTTCCGAATTTAACGCTTTTTTCTTCATCCGTTTTTTGAGTTTTCTTCAAAATTCAAAATTAACACTTTTTGTTAAATATCTCGAATACGGTCCATTTTAAAGAAATTTTGTATGGAACAAGAATTATAGAAAATAATATAACAAACAACTTTTATTTGAAGAATTTTCTTTTTCAAACGTAAATAACAGATATATTCCATAAAATATAAAAATTACCCTCTATAAAGTACCCCACCAGATGTTCCGACTCTGTCCAAAATCTAATCAGTTCACCGTAGGCCTGAATAAAGCTTAAGTTTGAAATTTGGTGTTTTTCTTTGTATCCGTTCATGAGTTATCGAGGATACAGACACAATGACAAACATTATCGCGAAAATAGTCAAAACGGATTCAAAGGATCCCAAAACGTAAAAAAAATCATGATTCTTGTACTTTCTATACTTTCCTTAATATTATGTCTAAACAAATCTTTTAAAAAATATGTTCCTTTTTTACAAATTAGGTGACCTTATTAAAATAATATTTTTTTGACCTTCCTCGTGTTTTTTTTATATTTCTCGTTTTATTTTTCAACATAGTGTAAAATTTTGACCAACTAACTGAAATAAATGTAAAGAAATATGTAGGTCAAATAATTATTGTATTTTGAGCTAAACATACATTTTTTTTACAAATGAATGAAGTATGAACAATAATAATACTTATTTTCTGCCAGTTTTTTTTTTTTTTTTCGATACCAGATTGTATTTGTATTTATTTCCAGCCTTCAGTAATTGAAGATTTAAACGTTTTCCACGATCCAGTTAGCGGCGTATTTTTCGTCTATTTTTTGTTGATGTCAGCGGGTATAATTAATACGGAATTCCGTTGAAATGTCAATGTTTTTAGGAATCCTACATCTCTGAAAAATCCACCTGAACGGTGACGTACAAAAACAAAGCGCATTCGAGGGAATGAGATGTTGCCGCTTGTTCTTTTGAAAATAGACTCAATTTTTTTAATCGGGCAGAAATATAACAAAGTTTTTCTAATGTTGTTATTTCAATAGAAATTATAAAAATCAATATTTGGACACTCAGGACTTTGTTTCACCCCCTAAAATGAATGGTCATCTGAAAAGGATGATGAAACAAAAAGTTATTGCCTCCCTCCCCAAACCAGTAGAAACCAGAAACAGATTCCAGGTACTTACGAAATCTAAAGAAGAAGAAGACGAAAAAATATTAAAAAAGAGGGAAATAGTAAGAAAAGAAAGAAGGAAGAAGGCAGATAGCCAAAGAAAAAGTTCAGTGGCTGATAAACAGGCAGAAAACCAAAATAATAAAAAACAAAAACAAAAATAAAAAAAGATACGACTCAAATAAAAAAGAAGACCAATATGCCACCCATAGTTATGTAGGAGTGCCAGACGACCATACAGGAATACTTAGAGAAATCATAAAGGGGAACTTTAATCTAAAATATACGAACAATTCAACGATCGTATTCACCGAAGATAAAGAAGATTACGAAAACGTTATCAAAAACATTAAAAATGAAGAATTTTTTTTCATACATACACCAGCAAAACCGATAAGTCCCACGCATTTGTGCTGCGTGGACTAGCGGACGGTACAAAGATAGACGATCTTGAAGAGGACTTGATGCACAATTATGAAATTAAAACAAGAGCATTATACAGAATGATCACCAGAAATAGGTCCCTATTCCTTTTAGTAACCGACCCCTCTATTACGTTAGAATACCTCAACAGGAATGTCAGGGTGGTGCTGTACACCTGTATAACTTGGGAGCTGAGAAGATCAACAAAACAAATTATACAGTGCCACAACTGCCAGGCGTGGGGACACGCCACGTCCAACTGCGGAAGACAGCCAAACTGCCTAAAATATGCATCAGGTCATCATACGAGGACATGTGTCAAATCCCGTGACACCGGGAGACCTAAACGCGAAGAACAAAGAATGGGATACCAATTGCGTAAAAAACAACAAAAATGGCAACACACTCAGTGCTTTTGCAGATTCTAATGACATAGAAATTCATTACACCAAAGAAACAACGTTCTTCCCCTTTAGTGGACAAACACCAAGCATAATAGACATTGCCATGACCAAAACCATTGACAGTATACACAACATCACGACAATTACAACACTTAACTCGGACCACGACTTAGTTTATTTAGAAATCAGAACGAAAAGGAACATACAGAGACACAACGGACAATACTATGACCACAAGACAACAAATTGGGTAAAATACAGGGAAATACTGGACAAAAACATTGTAATTAACAATAATATCACGACAACGACAGAACTAGATAACGAAGTTGAGTTCAGTTATTGGTTCCTGTCCGACGGACTCGGCACACATCCCGACCAATTACGGACAAAGTGCATTTATTGATCGCTTATGCAAGAACTGTAACAAATTTTACTCGGACTGTGATATATTTAATTGTAATATTTTGGCGCTAAAAAGGGACTTGCAACTCCTGAATGTCTAAGTTTTACTCGTATCGTCCCGCGGTGTTGTGTTATTCTTCCTTTTTTAATATTTTATATTTTTTAATTTATTTTATATTGTTTTTAACTCCTACAATTGTTTGTGTTAGGTTAGATATTCTCTACTATTTAGAATTGTACATTCTGTAAGTGCTATATAAATAAACTAGCTATTGCCCCCGCGGCTTTGTTCGCGACTTTGATCGCATATAATCGTGTTATTAATATAAAAAAATACATGACTTCTTTTTTTAGTTTTTCATTAACATTTTTATATTTATTAATTTTTATTAAATTTTATTTATTTTTATTCATTTTTATCAATTTTTAAAAAATTTTAATAATTTTTAATAATTTTTAATAATTTTTATTCATTTTTATTAATTTTTATTAATTTTTAATAATTTTTATTAATTTTTAATAATTTTTATTAATTTTTATTAAACTTTATTTATTTTGATTAGGTTTTAATAATTTTTGATAATTTTATTAATTTTTATTAATTTTTAATAATTTTTATTAATTTTTAATAATTTTTTATTAATTTTTATTAATTATCACCCCTGTTTTCCCCCCTTAAAATGGGAAAATCCAAAAACCATGAAACACTTCATTATTTATTTATGATGAGAACCTACAATTCCAATTTTCAAGTTTCTACCTTTAAAAAATCGATATTTCCAAATAAACTTTCAGCCCCCCGTTTCCCCCTCTTAAAATGTGAAAATCCAAAAACCCGAAAACACGTCATTATTAATTTGTACTCATTAGCTGCAATTCCAATTTTCATGTTTCTAACTTCATAGAAAAAAAAAATTGATAGTCCCTTACAAACTTTCACCCCCCGTTTTCCTCCCTTAAATGTAAAAAATCCAAAAACCCCGAAACACGTCATTATTTATTTATGCTCAGTAGCTGTAATTTAAATTTTCATGTTTCTAACTTTAAAGAACAAAGAGTTTCATTAAAAGCTCTCTCCCCCATTTCCCCCCTTTAAAGTTAAAATTTTTAAAAATCCTTCCTTAGCGGATGCTTACGTTATAAAATAAACCTATTCCAAATTTCAGCTTTCTAGGCTCAGTAGTTTTGGCTGTACGCTGATAGGTCAGTCAGTCAGTCAGGACAAACAATTTTATATATATATAGATAAATAAAAGAAGTAAAATTCATTAAAAAAGCCACCATCCCAAGCAATTTGGCAACGTTTTAAATCGCTGAAAAAGCCAGTCGCTGAAAACTGAAAGAAAATAAAAACGTTCAAACGCGCGGCAAGCCAATATAACGCAAAACTTCGTTCCAGCGTTTAAATTTAGATAAAATTCTCCTCAACTCGATCTCTATCGACACAAATTGAAAATTTTTAGAACAGTCCATTCGAATCTTTCAGCGGTATAAGAAAAATTTTAATTAGCAGTGTTGTGACGTTATAATTTCGAAATTTTAAAGGATTATTGTGAAAAATGCCGTCATTATCATCACCAACACAATGTAAGTATATTTTTCTGCTAATCATATTCTTAATTATCATCAGAACAGCTGCACGACTTATTTTTGGAATCCTCTATTTCGCGGATTTGGAAACAAAGTGTCTCGTGTAAAAATCGAGTCACATTATTTAAAAATACAAAAATAAACTTGTTTATATTGTATCAAACTGCGTTATACGAATTTTAAAACGCACATGCGTTAGATATAATTTAAAAATATCATTAATAACAAAAGTTTTGTGTGAAAAACAAACGAGTTTGTCGGGAGGGATTTTCTAAATTCTGTTTTTCTGTTTCTCTATTATGGACTTCGACCTGATTCATAGGAAAAATAACTCGTCTGGTGCTGGTTAATTTTAAAAATAGGTCTAGATAATTTAGAGAAAAGAACGTTTTGTTCAAAAATATTGCACAGCATATTTTTTTGTTATATTAAAAATGATGGCTTTAGATTTACTTTAAAAGAAAAAGTTATGGATATATTTAAATTGTAGTGTCTTGAGTTACCTATTTTCCGAAATCTACAGGGTGGATTTTAAATGTAATAATAATTGATAATTATATTTTATTCATAACTTAAAAAAGAGTTACAAGATTTTATTAAAAGATATTTCATTTTAAGAAATTAAATATTCGCAATATTTATATGAATGTTTTTTCACAGTGAAGAAAATTTCAAACTAAACAGTATGTCAACGTTTTTAAATAGCCTATTAATTATACATCACATCTGTTAATGATTACCTTTACACACTAATAAACTTTTAAATGTTTACAACTGATACGATACTATTTATTTTACTAAAAGTATAAAAATAAAACATATATTAGCAAAATTATATGAGAGTAAATATTTTATTTTATTAAAATTAAAAGTGATTTGGGTTTTATGTCTTCAATTTCTTCTAACTCAGTTGCATTGTTTTTAAGACTTTCTACGGCTTGTTCAAGATTCGAAAGCCTGCTATCCATGTATTTATATTGTTCTGGAACTGACATAGTGTTTTTAAGATCTTTTAAGGTCTTCTCAAGATCTGAAAATCTGCCTTTCACATCTTCAATTTCTTCTAAGTCAGTTGCATTGTTTTTAAGACTTTCTACGGCTTGTTCAAGATCCGAAAGCCTGCTGTCCATGTATTCATATTGTTCTGGAACTGACATAATGTTTTTAAAATCCTCCAAGGTCTTCTCAAGATCTCAAAATTTGCCTTTCATATCTTCAATTTCTTCTAAATCTAAATTTATTAATGGCATAATATTCATAGTTGAGTGACCCCAGAAACAGGCACAAATGAGTTTTTTTTTTTAAATTTAAAGAACACGACAACCTTAATTGACAAGGGGAAGAATTGTGATATAAAACTTCCACAATTCCAACACCTCCAAAGCTAGGAATAGCCAAATTCTTCATTAAATTGCCTTTCAAATGACGTGTCACTTAACCATACTTAAAAAACTAGGGGATTACTGTCTGGTTCAAGGGGATTGGATTTATGGGTATGAATTTTATACGACAATTCGAATAACAGTTGAGGTATTTTTTAAATTTTGAAAAACTCCTTTCTGGGGGGATAAAGTTATCGTTGGTATAATATAATTAAATTCACAGACTTACTAATTTACTGACATAGATAACTAAAATTAAGATGGCTTGTCTTTAATTAAACTGTAATTTTGTTTATTGTATCATTATCAAACGATTTTCATACATTTCATCAACACTACCATCAAATCGTTCAAATTAAAAACGGTTTAATTCTGTATTAAATACACTAAACAAGTATTTTACTCGTACGCAGGTGTGGACCAAAGTTTTAGAATGACCTGCTAGATTTTTCTGGCATTTTTCGGTCAAAGAAAGAAATAACAAACCTAGGAAGATGAAGATGGTTGTGATCTAAACCGTAGGTCGTTTTAATTTAAGAACGTCCCAATAAATAGCTATTAGATACTGTAATTAACTCAATATGCCCAAAACGACTTAAAAAATCTAATCCTGAAATCATAAAATTTTTAATTGTCAATATAGCGCCCCTCGAGTTTGATTTTACTTTTTAAACGTTTTAAACGCTTCCTTATTTTTTTTAAAACCCCTCGTATAATATAGAAAAAACAAATTGTCATAGAAAATTCTGAATAACAATTTATGTAGAACTATAACACCCACATGATTTTTTTCCGTTACAATATTTTTCTGTTACGGACTTTGACCTGACTCATAGCAGTAAAATCGAGTCAAAGAACATCGGAAAAACACATCTGGCTTCTGGTTTTCCCTGCTGTTCAGACGCCCGACCGAATCGAAATATTTAAAGCAAAATAAGCAATACAGAAATAATTCGCAAGTCATAATAACCCAAATTGTTTTTTTGGCAATGTAGTGGCTATTCATAAAATCGAGAAATGCGAGATTTTATAGTAAAATAGAGCATGCCCAGATTTGAGTATTTAGGAATAATTTTCCATTATATTTCGTAATCAAACGCACATTCATAAAGACAAAGCATTTAATAAAAATTTAATAAGTCAAAACTAATATGATTTTCGTAGGTATGGGATACTGTGTGTTTTAAAGTTTGGTCTTTGCTTAAAAAGTCTTTGTTATTGGACTAAAAATAAATGTAGAATAAGGGAACAGGTATCCTTTACAAAAAACTACTCCAAAACCGTTCCAATGGTAAATTTTTTAGATTTTTATAATTTTATAGGAAAGTATTGATTTTTCGAAAAACAACCAAGACTACTATTTCAAAGAGAATATAATTTCTTACATTTTGATGTATTACTTGTTGATTTTTGACCAAAGAATTTATAAAAAAACTAAAAAGCTGTGATCTCATTATAAATCTTTTAAAAATGATTCTGTTTCTTAAGAATATCCAATACAATTGATTATGTGAAGAAAACTATTAAGAAAATAAAGTTATATAATTTAAAAACATTACCTAGTATTAGTGACGTAACTATGAACACTTTTTTGAAAATTTGCATTTCGATATTTTGTATTATGCAGCTTATAGTCATAGTATCATTCTGTATTCTATATTTGATATGTTAGCATATTTTATTTCTAATTTCAGCAATGGACACCGTATATCCCGAGCCAATGTCGAGGCTCAACAGAAGAGTAATTCCTAAAAAGAGAAGAGGAGGCTCTCACAGATATCGAACTCAACCAGTTACATTTTCAGAAATACAGGTTGGTCATTCATATTAATTCATAACATATTTGGCGCCCAGCGTGGGGCACAATTTTACAACCCTCCGATCTAGCTTAGATACTGATGTAAATTTAAAATTATGAGTCGGCGAGATTCGACTAAAATTTAACCAACAAGTTAAAGATAAAAAAAAAAATAAAAAGAAAGTTAAATTAATGCTGTCGAATAAATACGAATTGTGGCATGAGCTTGAAAGTAAGAAATTAAAAGACAGTACGTAATAAAATTTAAAAATATGATGACTGTAAAATGACTAGTTAACATAAAGAAAAAGAAATTAAATTAATTTAAGATGGATCTGACAGGTATTTAAAAATGTTTTGGTAAAAATGGTATAGATGTCGGATGGACACTTATCTTTTTCGTGGTAGCCGGTTGAGACTGGATCATTCCGATGAGGATGAAGACTGACATTTTCTTAGTATTTAAGAAACTGTATGTTGGTGAGGTTCGCCTACTCTAAGTCTTTGACTACTTTAACCTTCTTTTTCAATACACTTTAGTCCCATATATCCACAATATTTTCTAATTTTCCTACCTACGATTATTTTGACTTTTTTACTTCTTTCAGGAAGTAGACGAAGAAAACGTAACCGAAGAAACCATCCCGGAATCTTCAACATCAAAGTCCGAACTCAGCCTTTTAATTAATCAAAAATTCGAAGAATTCAAGAAGTCCAGAGACAATGACTTTGTTCTTAGTGCTCTTAATGAAGAAATATTAGTTAATAATTCCAAAACAAGTGTTCCCTTAACTACCTGCAGGTCAATAGGACGACTGCCTTCGAGGCCGTCTTTTTAATATTCCTATTTTCCTAAATATAAGAAAAGCTTTGAATAGATTTTATACGTTGATATACTCTTTAGAATAAGTAGGTAGTTTATACGAATTAAGACGGTTATTTAGATTTAGTTCATATTTAATCCGTGATTAATCTGTACTCCAGTGGCAGGACAATAGGTAGGTTAAGTTATTTTAGAATATTTCCGCTCTCATAAGATATTTAAAAGAACAACACTATAAAAAATATATAAATACATTTTAATTTCTCCCTCATTGTTTTTAATTGCTTGGTTCGATAGACACTAACCTCTTCTAAATATTTTGAGTTTAGGCTAGTTTGCAGTTAACGCATTAAAGCAACAAACTTTATTATAATATAAAAGAGACAATGGTAATTAAATAAGAAACGACTTACCTGTAAGGAAGATCGTTCTGAATTATATAAGTATACTCGTGGGCATCTTAAAAATACTCTATATCCAAATACTTCATGAACTTTTTGACTAATCCATCATGCCAAACTCGGTTAAAAGCTTTTTTAACATCTAGAACAACGGTTAATGAGATTTTTTGAGTGTTTACTGCAGTGACCGCAGTAGTGCGAACAAAATTACACTATATGTTTATATAAATTAGTGGGACGGTGGACTGAACGGTGGATCGGCCGTTAAAGCACCAAACAAAACGATTAAAAACTAGTCCGACGGAAGACTGCACGATGACGTTACTGATTAGCGCAGATATCGAGGCCTGCTGAGGCTCTTTGACATAGATATAAGTAAATTCATACAAAACTATAGACATTACTCCACTATCGTTCTAACAAGCTCACCCAAATTGATATATAATGCTTGTAAAGCAAGGAGATGGCAAATTCACAATTAACATGTACGGTAAATCGGCTTTGAGATCGGCCACGGCCTATTTTAGGTCATTGCGGGACGGAGCTTCATGAAGACAATTTAGAAGCAATCCCGTATTGTATATATTACTGTATAATGCTAAATGATATGTATATATTTGTAAATAGTTAATAAATGATTTTTGAATTGAATATCGACGCCTGCCTCGATATCTGCGTTGGCGATGGATTTCACCGTCCAGACTCGTAATATAGCAACAAATTCACAAAATACCCAACACACAAGTAAATTCATTTCAATTATCGATCACAAACTCGTCAATATTGCCATAATATAATCATTCGATAAAGAGATGGCACCTTAAAATCCAGAAATTATTAAATTGGGCAATGGAATTACAGGCTAGGGCGTCTTGCGCGCCCAATTTAGTCGAGAATTGAGGGGTTTTTTGACTCGTAGGTTCGCGAGTGTCAATTATACTCCCTATTGTGTATACCACCAATGAATTGTACATATAATGTAAATAAGGAGATTTTAAATTGAATTGAAAGCGGGAGTACCTCAGGGTTTATTAGTACTCTCACATCACCTATATACCACATATCAATGGGTAATAATGGGATGCAGACGGTATTATACGCTAATGACACTTGCATATAGACATCATCGGCTTCAGCAGATAAGGTCGAAATCCATCAAAATCATAACCGCTGTTGAGAGCGAAAAAGTTTGTAGAAACACAAAAAAAGTTAGGAGAAAATCGATAAATCATTGAAATCCAGGACGAAGAGGATGAAATAGGGGAACAATACTACAGCTCTGTAAACAGTGAGGAAGGTTCAATCAAAAGCTACGAAACAATACAAATGTGCCGTGAATATTCTCTCAAAAACAGTGAAAACCATAAAATTCAAAGCTCTGAGTAAGTCCAATACACTAACCTCCACTAACTTGGGTATCAGCAAAGAGCTGGAGGCAGAAACCCCCTCGAAAATACTTAAAGAAAGTAAAGACGCTGGCACAGGTGAGGACAACCAAATATCGACACACAGTGTAGAGGTCGAAATCACCGACAGGTCGAAATTCATCAAAATTTAACCGCTGTTAAAAGCGAAAAAGTTTGTAGAAACACAAAAAAGTTAGTAGAAAATCGATAGAATCATTGAAATCTAGTACAAAGAGGACAAAATAGGGGAACAATACTACAGCTCTGTAGACAGCGAGGAAGGTTCGGTTAAAGATGTGAGTATGGAGGCAGATACTGACGAATCGTATCAAAAAAGTATGGAGAATACTAATCCAAACAGAGACATCGAGAATATTAATATGAACGTTAATAACAATTACGGCATACAGCAGGACAGACACGAAGACATCCTAGATATATCTTAGTACCTGTGTAATGTAAATGAAAAGTAAAATATATAAATAAAGATTTTTGAAATGAATTAATGAATTAATTCGGAGATCGAGGCTTGTCTTGAACTCAATTCAAGCGATGGATTTCACTATTCAGTCTTGGAAAATAGCAATACACATACAGGGACTATCACATATGACACACATTCACACAAGGACAACCCTGGTTTTTCGAAGTTTTTCCCAGGGCACAAGTAAATTCACACAAAAACTTACACTATACTTTTAACTTTCGATCTGATAAGGAGATGGCACATCAGTAGTCAAAAAATATAAATTGGGGCCAGGTATTAATAGACCATTCTAAAACTGAAATAAAAAATAGAATGTTTCATTTAAAAAAATACATTTTAGCGTTAAATACAGTATTACTATTCTAAAACTGAAATAAAATACAGAGTGTTCTATTTAAACAATATATATTTTTATTTACTAAAATTTCATTTGAAATTTTGTATGTTTCTAACATAAATTGATTTACACACTAAATAGAACACCCTGTATAAGAAACCATATAGTAATTTTGCAAATTTTTGATGCTTTCTAATATTCTTACCTGATTGTGTTGCTGAAGTTGAAACGCTTACCTTGGTTTTATTATTCTGATACACTCACTTTCAAAAGTCTTGCATCCCCAAAATAATATTTTTATTTAAATTTGAAACCTTTCTATTAAATATTAAACAAAATCTTACCCCAAAATAAGATGCTTTTATCGTCAGAAAAAATTATTTGTTAATATGTAACGCTAAAATACCCCTTTTATGTCGTCTGTCAAAATGTCAATTGTTATTCATTCAAGAATTAGGCATTCCAACGACTTGTCCAAATGGCTACCAGTGGATAATGACAGTTTAGATATGGCAACCCTGTTGTCATTAACAGGGTCAATGTACATATATAGTTATATAGATTGCTCAAAGCTGGTCGTTTACAAGCGGCCATATTGCCTGGCAAATATTTATTAATTTGAATCGGTTTAGAAAAAATGTGTTTTAAAACTAATTTTTAGCCTTTAGACATTAAAAAAAAATAATTGCTTACATTTTTACTTCAAGGCATAAGCTTATGTTTATTTTGAAAAATATGGATGATCATTCTATGTAACTATCTATTTCATTGACGTTGTCAAATCACCAGGCCTACAGGGTTGCCATCATTTTGCTATATCATAACCCGTCAAAACCCACTGGTAGCCATTCAGTTTGGAATGCCTAATTAGGCATTTCAAACAAAATAGCTACTCCAATAGGGTTTGAAAGATTATGATATGGCAACCCTGTAGGCTAGGTGATTTGACAGGGTCAATGATATAGATAGTTATATAGATTGATCATCCATGTTTTTCAAAATAGATATAAGTAAAAATGTTAGTAATTATTTTTTTTACTATATTCAAAGGTTTTTAAAACACATTTTTGCTTTAATAAACACTTGCCAGGCAATATGGCTACTCGCAAACGGCCTGCTTTGAGCAATCTATATAACTATACATGTATCATTGACCCTGTCAATGAAAACTGGACAGGGATTCTATGGAACAAAGATAGTCGTCTCAACACGTGCCTAATTGAAAGATGAGAACCCCAATGCAGATCCACAGGGTTGCCACATCTAAAAACACATCTAAACTGTCAGTTCATATTTTGACAAGTCGTTGGAATGCCTAATAAAGAAAATGGCCGTTGTCGTTAGAATTCACGTCATGTATTTATTTAATAAAAATTAGAATTGGAAGTCTATAGTAATTAATGAAGAATATTTATATTTTATTTTTGAATAATACAGGGTGATGCAAGACTATTGAAAATTAATGTAATTTCTAATATTTCCTATAGAAGTAATTATGCTATTTCTTGATTTGTTACTGTTGCTTCTTGAGTACAGATTATGCTACAAATGAAAGATTATGTAAAATTTCTCAAATAAATATGTAATATATCAGTTGGAGAATAAAACATTTTTAATTTTTTAAGAATTTTATTTAAATTTGTTATATTGAACTAGGAGGTAGTTTTGTATACAATAAATAATGTATATTAGCATGGTAAACAGTACGGAATTTATTTATCGATTTGGAACGTATTTAACTCTGTAAATATAATATATTCTGAATTTTAAAAATTATCACCTTATTATTTATTACGTCACTTAAAACTAGACATATCACGCAATGTTTTTTTATTTACAAATAAATAAGTACCTATATAAATAATATTAAATGATCTACCTAAACTACTGAACAGATTTGGTAGTTGCATCCCAGGTTTAAGCTTTTGAACTAACTTCTTTAAGATTTTTTTATATAAAATTTTCTACAGAGCACCAGTTTTTGATTCTAAGTAGATTCTGGAAACAAGATTATTTTAAAACCATAGAAATCAGAACTATTTTTACATTAATCTTCCCTTTAAGGTGAAAAAAAAGAAAATGGCTGTTCACAGATGGATTTAGACGAGAACTTTCAAGAAAAGGATACTAGTATACAATATATACAATAATATTAGAAACAAATCCTAAGAACTGAAATTTATCATGACTTTCTAAGAGATAAAGTAATCTTTACTGTTTAAAATATATTTAAACATAACAGATAATGTAAATGCCGGACCTGTGCTTAATCCGCACGTGTACATTAACGACGTTGCCAAACCAACGTAATTGCATCATATATTGTTATTTTAACTCAAAGCTTGAAGACAAAAAGGTTTCAAAGTTAACCATTTCTCTCTAGTGAGATAAGATATCGGTATATAATTTGTATTCCAGAAAAGAAGAGACGCATTTAAAGAGGAAAAAACTGTTGAAGAAAATGTTTTGTTCTAGTAGAGGGGAAAAGGGAAAGAAAAAGGATTCGTAGCGATGGGGCATCAAAAGAATACGATGGGGAATCAAAAGGATGCAGGGGAATCGAAAGGAAGCGATGGATGATCAAAAGGATGTAATGGGGTATCAAAAGAATGCGATGGGACACCAAAAGGATGTCAAATATGTTTTTAAAGCTATTTAAAATTTAGTTATTTTTTATTATTGGACATCATCGCTATGATTATTTTATGTTATCATACCAGGTACCATCAATTATTAATGTTTACATTCGTTACTGAATGTCTTCAAGCAATCTCATAGATTTAGAAATATCAGAAGAAATTGAAAGCGTTCCTAGTACATCCAACAATGCTAGACGTAATAAGGAAGAGCAAAAAATGAGATATATTTTCTGAGATCAAGATCAAAATTAACTCTGTCCACGGATTTTGATGCCTTGGCGATGTTAGCTGAAGGTACAGTTTTTATAGCAGTAGAAGAAAGTATGAATTGAAAAGATTGGAAAGGAGCTATGGAAGTAAAAATTCAATCTTTGTTAGAAATAAGCACTTGGGAGTTGGAAGCGTTATCTTCAGAAGTAATTTCTAATAAATGGGGTTTTCGAATCAAAGATTTAAATGAAAACATAGTCAGGTACGAAGCATGTTTGGTTATAAAAGGTTTTTCACAAAAGCCTGGGATTGTTTTTAAACAAACTATTTTAGAAGTGGCTGCACTAATGAAGCAATTTTAAATTCATCAAGGAAAATCTGATAGAGTAGAAACTAAAAAAGGGACAATAAGCCTACAGTTTTAGTACGACCTACACTCTAATTCAGAGAGAGATATAGACATTCAAGGTTTATATCTTTGTCGGTTATAAGCATGTAGGGTTTGGTTTAACACAGAACACTGCAGCTTCTTGGGTTATGGCTTTATTGTGTATTTCCCTGAATAGTCATGTGACTTCACTTTTACTAGGTTTCAAGTAGCAATAGTAACAAGTAATACAAGTATCAAATAGCACTAGTACAAAGTAGCTCTAGTGCAAAATAACATTAAAACCAAGTAGCACTAGTACAAAGTAGCATTAGTACAATGCAGCAATAATACCAAGTGTGTCTAGGACATTATTTTCGATTCTAGATAAAAAAAGGGCGTATCGTCGCCTAGGAAGAACTTTGCATTCGAAGATGACATGGTATTAAATTTCTTCTTCTACTGAAAGTCTACACGTAGTAGGACCATTGTGTTATCTCATAACACAAAGATTTTTCAGCAAGCAGTGTCTTGTTAGTAATTCCACAATGGTGGAAGTCTTATTTTGTTAATCTTAATTTTTACAGGCGAAAATAAGCAGTAACTAAGCCTTTTGGAGGCTTCAGTTATTATACTCTTTACACAGTAGTATGTGAAGAGTATTTATTATAGGTTTACAAAAATAATGATATCAACTTGAAAATTTCACGAAAATATGAGGGGACAAAATCTATTGATTATGAAAAACATCTGAATAAGAATGGGGGGTTAAAATATTTAACTCAAAAACGAAAACTGATATCAACTTGAAATTTTTAGACAAAACATATTTATTTAAAAAAAAAATTGATTAAACATGGGGAGTTAGGAGTGGTTAAAATATAATAAAATTCGTAATTTAAAAACTAAAAGCAATATAAACAATAAATTTTTAGTCTATAAGAAGATGAAGTCTATTGACTCTAAAAAAAAAACTGAATAAATTGGGAGATTAAGGGGGTTAAAATATAAAAAAAATTAACTCTAAAACGAAAAATGATATAAACTTGCAAAAATCAAGCTTTGTAAGGGGACAAAGCTTATTTATTTTTTAAAAAAATGTGATTAAAATGGGGGTTAAGGAAAGATGAAACTAAAAAAAATATCATAAATTAAAAACGAAAAGAGATATCAACATGAAATTTTTAGTGAAAATCAAGTTCTATAAGCAGATGAAGACTATTGATCCTGAATAAAAACCGACTAAATTAGGGGACTAAGGAGGGGTTAAAATATAAAAAAAAACTTATTTTTTTTGCAAAAAGCTTTATAAGGGGGCAAAGCCTATTTAAAAAAAAAATCTGATTAAAAATGGGGGTTAAAGGAGGGTAAAACTAAAAAAAAAATCATAAATTAAAACAAAAAGCGATATCAACATAAAATTTTTAGGGAAAATCAAGCTCAATACCTATTGATTCTCAAAAAAATATGAATAAATTTTGGGTGTTAAGGGGGCGTTAAAATATAAAAAAATCCTAACTCAAAAACAAAAAATGATATATGCACTTAAATTTTTTTTGCAAAAATCAAGTTTTATCAGAAAAAGAAGCTGTTTAATTTTTAAAAAATGAATGATTTATGGGGAGGGGGTTGAAATAAAAAAATCATAAATAAAAACGAAAAGCAATATCAACATGAAACTTTTAGCAAAAAATCAAACTGGTATAAGGAGATGAAGCTTACTGATTCTGAAAAAATCTTAATAAAATGGGGGGTTAAAGGGGATTGAAATAATAAAAAAAATCATAACTCAAATAGCAAAATTTTATCAACTTGAAATCTTTATTTAAAATAAAGCCCTATAATGGGATAAATCTCAGTGGCGCAACCAGAATTTGGGGGGGGGGGGGGGGGGGGGGGGGGGGGGGTAAAAAAAAAATTGAGAGTATTAATTTTTTACCTAGTTTAATTTTTCAAATTTCAAAATCGTTTGGGTTCGCGTCTGGGTCTGGGGGGATTTTAACCTCTAAAACCTCCTTCGCTGCGGCGCTGACAAAACCTGAAGATTTTAAAAAAAATCTAATTAAAAATGGGGATAAAAAAAATTAAATTTAGTTTATAACTGTGAAAACCATAAAACCTAATTTAAAAAAAAACTTTGTAGAATCCATAAAATCTAATAAAAAAAAAACTGTAGAATCCACCTAAATATTTCTAGTTAAAAAAATGTTAGCAATTTCTATTATTTTAATTTAATAAAAAACAATTAGATTCAGTTTATAACTAATTTAAATAGAAACTTTGTAGAATCCCCCAAAATATTTTAAAGTTAAAAAATGTTCGCAATTTCTATTACTTGAATTTAATAAATATAAAATTAGATTCAGTTTATAACTAATTTAAAAAGAAACTTTGTAGAATCCACAAAAATATTTCCAATTAAAAAATGTTCGCAATTTCTTTTTTAAATTTAATAAAAAATAATTAGATTCAGTTCCAGCTTACCAATAATCTAGCACCACACCGTTCCTCAACTTATCAACCTGGGATGTGTCATTTGGTAAAAGCTACCTACAAAACGGACTATTACCTAGAAGAGCCATTACTCTTAGAATTATTATTGGCTTGACTAGAAATAATTCTATTCTCTTTTTCGTCCTCTTCCGCGGGAGATTGTCTGATCGTCTCGACAGGATGGAGGGTTACAATGGATTGTCTCCTGACCGGCGTCACAGGAGTCGAATGCAAGATGGCGTACAGCGGACCCTCTCGCTCTTTGGCAGGACTAACTAGGATCGTAGGACTAGGACTAACTAGGATAGAAGGCTGCTCGTCTTCTAGTTGCATGCTGTTTTCGGCAGCTGAAGGAATGGTGGTGAGGAATCTTACAGTCAGTCTTCCTGGAGAACCTGGATTAAAAATATTTATTGTAGCATACAAATTGTTATGTATATGAGTATACCTACTTAATAAGACCTTAAAATGTTGAACAATATTAAGAAAATATTGTTGATTAAGGAAGATGTCTGAGGAGTCATACCTTTTTTTTAGTTGATAAAATGTCTGTAATATATAATGATTGTGGTCTGTCAAATGTCAAATTAATAAAAATATTATAAACATAATAGAAAGAATATTTATTTATCAAGGGATAGATGTAAAATCTATGCAATCTCATCCTTTAATATTGATAAACCTTATATAGATACCAAAATTATCGAATTAAGAACTAATGTCTTAGATTTTGGATTGAGATCTGTACATTCTGTCACTTATTTGACACTTAAACCACGACTCTTTGGATCGTAACCAGTAGTAAGTTTTAATATCTTCCTCAACTTGTTCTGTTTCTTCACCTTAGCCATCAACTTTGTTTTATTTTTTTTTATTTTCTGGAAGTTTGTCGCACTAGCTCAAGTATCTTCAAAGGTAACGATGTTCCTTTTAGTACATCTGGCCTCGCAATTTCTGTTATTTTAATTTAATAAATAATTAAGATTCAGTTTAAAACTGTAGAAACTAAAAAACCTAAATTTAAAAAAAAACTTTGTAGAATCTATAAAATTTAATTTAAAAAAGAAACTTTGTAGAATCCACAAAAATATTTCCAGTTAAAAAAATGGTCGCAATTTCTACTATTTTAATTTAATAAAAAATAATTAGATTTTATAACTATAGAAACCATAAAAACTTTGTAGAAACCATAAAACCTAATTTAAAAAAGAAACTTTGTAAAATTCACAAAAAATATTTCCAGTTAAAATTTTTTCGCAATTTCTACTATTTTAATTTAATAAAAAATAATTAGATTCAGTTTATAACTGTAGAAACCATAAAACCTAAATTTAAAAAAAAACTTTGTAGAAACCATAAAATCTAATTTAAAAAAGAAACTTTGTAAAATTCACAAAAAATATTTCCAGTTAAAATTTTTTCGCAATTTCTACTATTTTAATTTAATAAAAAATAATTAGATTTAGTTTATAACTGTAGAAACCATAAAACCTAAATTTAAAAAAAAACTTTGTAGAAACCATAAAACCTAATTTAAAAAAGAAACTTTGTAAAATTCACAAAAAATATTTCCAGTTAAAATTTTTTCGCAATTTCTACTATTTTAATTTAATAAAAAATAATTAGATTCAGTTTATAACTGTAGAAACCATAAAACCTAAATTTAAAAAAAAACTTTGTAGAAACCATAAAACCTAATTTAAAAAAGAAACTTTGTAAAATTCACAAAAAATATTTCCAGTTAAAATTTTTTCGCAATTTCTACTATTTTAATTTAATAAAAAATAATTAGATTCAGTTTATAACTGTAGAAACCATAAAACCTAAATTTAAAAAAAAAACTTTGTAGAAACCATAAAATCTAATTTAAAAAAGAAACTTTGTAAAATTCACAAAAAATATTTCCAGTTAAAATTTTTTCGCAATTTCTACTATTTTAATTTAATAAAAAATAATTAGATTCAGTTTATAACTGTAGAAACCATAAAACCTAAATTTAAAAAAGAAACTTTGTAGAATCGACCAAAATATTTGAAGTAAAAAAATGTTTTACAATTTCTATTATTTTAATTTAATAAAAAATAACTAGGTTCAGTTTATAACAAAAAAAAAAAAAACTTTGTAGAATCCACCAAAATATTTCCAGTTAAAAAAATGTCATCATCAAAGCTATGGCTTCTTTTTTAGCAGCAAAATAATAAATCCAAAAGATCCTTCTGTATTTTTCATCATAAAGTCTTTTGAGACGTTAATGGTAAGGGAAGAATTTCTACCTTTTGAGGTACTTATAGCCTTACCATTATTAACGTCATTGTTAGTCTTCAGCAGATGTAATAAATTTTCATTTTTAGGATCTTTTAAAGATTTGGTAATTGTCTCCACCTTATCAGACATTATGGACATTATTTAACTCTTGCTGCGTTAATTTCTGCTACTGATATATCATTTTGTTTTTGACCTTTTGAGGTACTTGTAGCCTCATAATCATTAACGTCTTTATTAGTCTTCGACAAATATAATAAATTATCATTTTTAGCATCTTTTAAAGATGTCGTAATTGTCTCCACCTCATCAGACATTATGGACATTATTCGATTCTTGCTGCGTTATCACATTAGTTGTCATTGCGGGCTGATTGGCATTATTGGTGATGACTGTCGATTGCATGAACATTCATTCTCAAAAATAAGCTTTGTGTAATTTTTAAAGTAGCTGTGCTACCTGATAATGATTTATAACCAGTGGCGGTCCGTGACCAAACTATTGGGGGTTCACACTGATAGAATATAGACCTCATTACCGATTTAAGTAAAAACCTCTTACTGTTTTAGAAAGGTACATTATAAAAATTGAAAGGTTATAACTCTGCTAAAACTGATGAAAATAAAAAGTTAATACATAGAAAACAAAATTGTTGATATCACTTACCTGGTGGTTCAGATTCATCCTGTACGGCACACTGGCGCGTCAAACGAGGTTTAACTCGACCCCTTGTGGCGTCGCTCGAGTTACTTGACCTCGATATTCGCCATGTACTGGTGCTAGCTGTAGTAGCCGACCCGGACGAGTCGTTTCTAGAACTGGACAGGTTAGAATCCTGCGATGTTTTCCTGGTGATCAACCACGATGAGGCTCTTCTCTTGGGATCGAGCAAACGAAGAGGTATACCGCAATGGTGGTTGTGGCGCCAGGAATCTGATCTATATATTAATAAAAAAAAAGTTTAAATCAATAATATTTTGAAGATAATTCAAAAATGATTAAATACGAAAACATTTGATTAGATTTTGAGCATAGTCGGAACATCTGGGAGTAAACTTGATATTTTTGAATGTAATAAAATTCATATAGTTTATAGGATATTGAATTCTGAAAATTAAAAAGTATATTAAGTTGCCCCCCCCCCCCGCCCCCTAAAAATTAGAAAATATTATTTTTAATAAAAGTTTGGAAAAATATAAAAAAATGTTTCAAGTAATTTTGATAGATATTTTTAAGATAAATATAAAAATGTATATTTTATTCCCCCCTTCCTTTAAAAAAAATTATAAAAATAAAATATAGTTAATAAAGGTAAGTTATAGCACTTTTGATCACCACAGGTTTTATCCCCCTCTTGCACCCCTTTTTTAATAAAATAAATTTTTATTCTTGGGAATTTTGAAAAAAAATTGTGATGTTCCATTCTGTGCTGATTAGATTTTGAACATAGTCGGAACATCTGGGAGGGTATTTTATAGGGGGTCGTTTTTATATTTTATGGAATATATGTGTTATTTTCGTTTGAAGAAGAAAATTCTTTAAATAAAAGTTGCTTGTAATATTATTCTCTATAATTTTTGGTTTATACAAAATTTTTCTAAAATGGTCCATATTCAAGAAATTTGACAAAAAGTGTAAAATTTGAATTTTTTTTGAAAATTGTTTAAATAAAAGTTGTTTGTTAAGTAATTCTCTATAATTATTGTTTAATAAAAATTTCTCTAAAATGGACCGTACTCGAGATATTTGAGAAAATGTACAAATTTTGAATTTGAAGATAATTCAAAAATGGATAAAGAGGAAAACACCAAATCCTAAATTTAAGCTTATATGCACCCTATGGTGAACTGATTAGATTTTGAACATAGTCGAAACGTCTGGGGGATATTTTATGGGCGGTCGTTTTTATATTTTATGGAATATATCGGTTATTTATGCTTAGAGAAGAAAATTCTTTAAACAAAAGTTGCTTGTAATATTATTCTCTATAATTTTTGGTTTATACAAAATTTTCCTAAAATGGTCCGTATTCAAGAAATTTGACAAAAAGTGTAAAATTTTAATTTTTTAAAAAATTGTTTAAATAAAAGTTGTTTGTAAAGTCATTCTCTATAATTATTGTTTAACAAAAATTTCTCTAAAATGGACCGTACTCGAGATATTTGAGAAAATGTACAAATTTTGAATTTTGAAGATAATTCAAAAACGAACAAAAAATTTGAAGGTAACTCAAAAATGGATATTAAGGAAAACACCAAAAATTTAATTTAAGCTTATATTCATCCTGTGGTGAACTGATTAGATTTTGAACATAGTCGGAACATCTGGGAGGGTACTCTATGGGGGTCGTTTTTATATTTTATGTAATATATCCGATATTTATGCGTAGAGAAGAAAATTCTTTAAATAAAAGTTGCTTGTAATATTATTCTCTATAATTTTTGTTTTATACATAATTTTCCTAAAATGGTCCGTATTCGAGAAATTTGACAAAAGTGCATAATTTGAATTTTGAAAAAAATTCTTCAAACAAAAGTTATTTGTTAAGTCATTCTCTATATTATTGTTTTTTACAAAATTTCTCTAAAATGGACCGTATTCGAGATATTTAAAAAAAAGTGCTAATTTTGAATTTTGAAAATCACCCACAACTTTAAAACATTAATGTACAAAATTATCAACAAAAATTAAATGTATATTCACCTGGACGAGCTGAAGTTCTCACTAGACGACACCGACGAAGCCCTCTTGTGCTGCTTCTGCTGAATCTCCGCTATTTGATAAGTATATTGATCATTTCGAGGCCTGTGCCTAGCAGGTCTTCTAACGCAAAGCAACCACCTGGCTTTGTTGAGCAACCATTCCCTAGTAGTAGTCTTCCGATCTTTCTTACTCTTTTGCTGGTTCTGGTTCTCACCGAGCAACTTCACGTTGCACGTACACTGCGGCACGTGATGCTCCTGCTTTTCTCTAGAAGATCTATCAGCCAAACTGTTCGTATTGGCTGGAGTTTGCCTATTGCTAAAATTCGAACTATGCCTACATCTACCGATACCTCTAGTGACTCTGCTTTCTTCGATAGCTTTGCAGATCATTACACAGTCCTTTTTGAATTGTTTAGTGAGTATAGCGTAAAGGAATGGATTACAACATGAGTTTAAGGGTAGAACGAACACCGTAAACACTTTGGCTTGCTCTAGGGAAATTAATTGCAGTCCAAACGATGCTGTAAGGGCAAAAAAAGCTATCGGGGACCAACATAAAAAGTCTGTAAATACTAGTAAAGCCATACGCTTGGCTATACGAGAATCGTTAGAGTTCCACGCTTGGGAACCTCTAATCGCACAGTACATTTTTAAATAACATCCCATTAAAATTAAAAACGCTACACCATTGATAAACATTAAAAACACTACGTAAGTAAGACTGGCAGTATCACTTGTTTCGAACGGAAGACACACCGCGAATTTTCTGTAATCTGAAATGTTGAATATCGGCATAATCGCCATAACTATAGCAAAACTCCAACCGCAGATCATTATGTAACCTGCATGCTTTAAAGAAAGTCTTTTATTGAGATGCATCGCGTGGGTTATCGCGTAATTTCTTTCTAGGGTGATCACAGCGAGAGTCCAAACCGATAATTCCGAACTCAGCACTCCTAAGAACCCAGCAAGCTGACAACCTGCTGACATTTGCCATGGTATCGCGTACATCCGGAATTCCCCTAGAGTTGAAGCGTCAACTACCGCTAGAAACCCTAATAATGATAAAAAATGATTATAGGATTACATTACAATCACATTAATATTCCTTACCCAAATAAACTCCCATAAAAAAATCAGCTGCAGCCAAATTGCACACCAAAAATCTAGGGACATCCATTTTACTCCTGGAGAATATTAACACAAAAACTACAGTCCCATTTCCAAGCATAGCGCATAAAAAAACTATCCACACTCCACATCTTAATGTCCACCAATCGAACAGATCCTGACAAGGTAAAAAAGGTCCCGGAAGAGGCAGACATTGGATTTTCCCGGGCGCCGCACCGGTAACTTCACCAGGAATTCGTAGACTGGGATCATCTTCTGCTGCGTATTCTTCTATGTACGATGGAAAGTTTCCGGGATAAGTAAAATCCGAACGAATGTTTTCCCAGATTTCTCCAAACTTTTTTCCGAATTTTTGGCTAATATTTTCTAAAAGAAAAAGGAAAGTGGTGCTATACATTATATTTTCCACCGTAAGAAAGTAACAGGTACAGCATTATACAAAATTGCAACAAGTTTATACAACAAGCAACCGGATGTAGCCACATTCGTGTCAGGATGATGTTTAAGAAGATATAGGAAGATAAAGATGTAGGAAGATGTTTAGGAATATGTAGGAAGCTGTTTAGGAAGACCAGCGCAATGGACACTGGCAGTACCACACCAACATTGTATTTTTATTAGTTTGGACCTTTTATTCGAGATGAATCATCTCTCTTAAGTACCAGGTTAATAGTCGCCAATTTTTTTGTGTTTGGTACAAGCAGAAAGTAGGGTTACCACCTTTTTGAAAAGTGAATAAAGGACTATGATGGTGATAGAGGATCTGGTGTTCAAAAGGTATGAACTTGTAAAAGAAGGTCGGCGAATGTGTAACAAAAAGTCCTCGTCCTTCTACCAAGCTTCTGAAAAGAACAGGGTGACGAATGTGTGACAAAAAGTCCTCGAAGGATCTCAGCTGTTATATTTTTGTACAAGCCAGGTCCGTTTCAAAGATATCAAAGAGTAGAACAGGACAGGTGGCAACCCTAGCAGAGAGTTATACTATACGATATCACACCCAGAGGGGGCGTGACTTAACAAATCACTTCACCGTCTTTAAAACCAGCTTTGCAAACCAATTGATAAATTCATTCCTATTTCATCACTCTCATAGAAGACTTTTTCAAGAGAATAGCATAGTGTTCACTGTCTATTTTTAACTGTTTATTTTTGTCCTATTTTTGTCCGTTTATTTTTGTTTGTCTATTTAGGTTTGTATATTTTTGTCTGTCTATTTTTGTCTATCTATTTTTGTCTGTCTATTTTTGTCTATCTATTTTTGTCTGTCTATTTTTGTCCGTCCATTTTTGACCGTCTATTTTTGTCTGTCTATTTTTGTTTGTCTATTTGGGTTTGTCTATTTTAACTGTCTATTCTTAACTGTCTATTTTTAACTGTCTATTTTTAACTGTTTATTTTTGTCCATTTATTTTTGTCCATCTATTTTTGCCTGTCTATTTTTGCCTGTCCATTTTTGCCTGTCTATTTTTGTCCGTCTATTTTTGTCCGTCTATTTTTATCTGTCTTTTTTGTCTATCTATTTTGGTTTGTTTATTTTTGTCTGTCTATTTTTGTCTGTCTATTTTTAACTGTCCATTTTTGTCTGTCTATTTTTTCTGTCTACTGTTTCTGTCTATTTTTGTCTGTCTATTTTTGCCTGTCTATTTTTGTCCGTCTATTTTTGTGCGTCTATTTTTGTCCGTCTATTTTTGTCTATCTATTTTTGTCTGTCTATTTTTGTCTGTCTATTTTTGTCCGTCTATTTTTGTTTGTCTATTTTTGTCTACATTTGTCCATTTTTGTCTATTTTTGTCTATTTTTGTCTATTTTTGTCTATTTTTGTATATTTTTGTCTATTTTTGTCTATTTTTTATTAACTTTTTGTTTACTTTTGTCCATTTTTTATCTATTTTTTATTTTGTCTATTTTTGTTTAATTTTATTTAATTTTGTTTAATTTTGTTTAATTTTGTCTTATTTTGTCTTATTTTGTCTTATTTTATCTTATTTTGTCTATTATTTTCTGAGATAAAAATAATTTTAAAAAATGTTCTAAGCACATTGTACATTACGTCTTATAAAACTCAAATAATTTTATAAAGCTCAAGTCGAGCACATTATTATGACATTTCATCAAGACTCAGAGAACTTCTAGACTGGTGTTATTCAGAAAATTTCTAGGTTCTAGAAAGTTTATTATTAATATGTTATCGGTGTGCTTCTGCTCTTTACTACATAATTCTTGCAGTCCCCATACAAATTCGTGTCAGGATGATGTTTTGGAAGATGTTTAGGAAGATGTAGAGATGTATGAAGATGTAGGAAGATGTAGGAAGCTGTAAGAAGATGTTTAGGAAGGTGTAGGAAGACGTTTACAATCAGGAAGATGTTTAGGATTAGGAATATGTTTAGGAAGACCAGCGCAGTAAACAGTGGCAGTACCACACCAACATTGCATTTTTATTAGTTTGTACCCTTTACTAGTGATGAATCATCTCTTTTGTTAACAAATATATATATACTTACGTTGCGAAGGCCACAGATCCACGGAGCTATTCCAGAAATTCAAATCGATGTCTTCGATATCCGGGAACACTATGATGTCCTTTGCTTTAGCGGGTGGAGGATTCGATGGTATGAGTGGTAGGAACGCGCAACAATGGTAGGCGTACGCTAGCACCAAAGTTTGAATTCGAGGAAAATCTGTTGGCGGCGGAAAGTCTTTTAGATTTGGATTGTTGAACGTTTTCAAATGTAAAAGTCGTTCCAAGCCTGCTGATGGTAGGTGAGGAAAGATGTTGTTTCCCAGATTCCTAGAAGAATAGGTATTTGAGTATTAAGAGGTGGCGCCATCTAAGGTGGTAATAACCAGACATTTTCAACCGTACTAATTCCAGACATCCGTTTTATTAAACTCATCGTGTTACGTATTTGTCAACATTATGAGATAAAAATTTAAAGTGACGTCTTATTGTATTACTTCAAATAATGCAATCTGCAAAACGGTTAAAAATAGATTTAATGTCCGTATTATAGCCTGAAATTTGAAAATCTATAAAAGTATGAGATAAAATTTTCAGTTGGCGTATTACACCGTCAGCGTTTGATTTATATATATTTTCAGTAGGATTTTATAGCAAATTGTAAAAATATTTATAGATCGATTTAATTAAGATAGATTTATCACATGTGCAAGCAACTGCAACGCTGCAGAATTATTAGAGATAATATTGCGAAAAATTACTTAATTTTAGAAAGGTTTTTAATAGTACGGTAAAATTTTTAGTACAGGAAAATACGTGATAAATTTAAGTACTTACAAATCTTCAATTTTTGAAATTGACATGAAAGCATCTGGATGAATGTATGATATACGATTGTCCTCAAGATCCCTAAAACAAAAAATGTATGTAGTGACATGCGTGAAATCAAAATGGCGCACTTTTAGAACTATAGCGTTGCACTGTAACGGTTACAGTTCAGTGGTTGGAATACATTTTAATAAATTTCAACAAATGCAATATTAAAATAATTTTTTTTCTAGAAACCAACAGTCAATCAGTCAGGTAACAAATGAAAATATCGTATAACAAACTTTTATTATTTTTTAAACTACAATAAAGATACTTCAACTTACTAATTTTGTTTTTGTTTTTTGTTTTTATGTTTTTAGTATTTTTCGCTAATTTGTTTATTGTTTGTTTTTTGTTTTCTTCTCGTTTTTTGTTTTTCTGTTATTTTTCTCAAACATAATAAAATAAATGACAGTGAAAAAAATTATGAAGACTAAACTCGATTGACAAATTCAAATTAAAGCTGATAGACAACTCGTTCCTATTCAAATCCAGAAACTGATTTGAGAGTACACAAATTGGTTTGTGATTAATTTTGATTGTTTTTGTTTTTTTTTGTTTTTTAGTTTGTTTTGTTTATTTTGTTTATTTTGTTTATTTTGTTTATTTTGTTTATTTTGTTTATTTTGTTTATTTTGTTTATTTTGTTTATTTTGTTTATTTTGTATATTTTGTATATTTTGTTTATTTTGTTTATTTTGTTTATTTTGTATATTTTGTATATTTTGTTTATTTTGTTTATTTTGTTTATTTTGTTTATTTTGTTTATTTTGTTTATTTTGTTTATTTTGTTTATTTTGTTTATTTTGTTTATTTTGTTTATTTTGTTTATTTTGTTTATTTTGTTTATTTTGTTTATTTTGTTTATTTTGTTTATTTTGTTTATTTTGTTTATTTTGTTTATTTTGTTTATTTTGTTTATTTTGTTTATTTTGTTTATTTTGTTTATTTTGTTTATTTTGTTTATTTTGTTTATTTTGTTTATTTTGTTTATTTTGTTTATTTTGTTTATTTTGTTTATTTTGTTTATTTTGTTTATTTTGTTTATTTTGTTTATTTTGTTTATTTTGTTTATTTTGTTTATTTTTTTTTATTTTGTTTATTTTATTTTGTTTATTCTTTGTTTTTTATTTTGTTTTTTGTTTTTTTTTTTCAACCATAATAAAATAAATGAAAAAAATTATGAAAACTGGTTTGTGATTAGTTTTGGTTGTTAGAACAATATATTTTTCTTTTGTTTGTTTTTCTTTTTTAGTTATTTTGTTTATTTTATTTTTTTTTATTTTTTGTTTTTTTTCTCAACCATAATAAAATAAATGAAAAAAATTATGAAAACTGGTTTGTGATTAGTTTTGGTTGTTAGAACAATATATTTTTCTTCTGTTTGTTTTGCTTTTTGTTTTTTAGTTATTTTGTTTATTTTGTTTTTCTTTATTTTGTTTATTTTTTATTCTGTTTTTGCTTTTTTTTGTTATTTTTCTCAACCATAATAAAATAAATGAAAAAAAAAATGAAAACTGGTTTGTGATTAGTTTTGGTTGTAGAACAATAGATTTTTGTTTTGTTTGTTTTACTTTTTGTTTTTTTAATTATTTTGTTTAGTTTGTTTATTTTTTTATTTTGTTTATTTTTTTATTTTATTTTTTTTATTTTTTTATTTTTTTTTATTTCGTTTATTAAATTAAATAAAATAATAGATACTCACAACACTTGTAATTTCGAAAGATTGTAGAAAGCATCCTGGGGAATTTGTTGAATCTGATTATGAGCCAAAAGTAGATCGTGCATCATGTACATGCTTCTGAACGGCTTGCCCTCCAACGATTTTATATCATTACTAGCCAGATCTCTAAAAAATATTTCATTCTGAAGAATATATGCTAGCTGAAAATAGTATATACTTACAGTACCCTCATTTCTCTACAATTACTTAAATCCGGAACCGAGGAGAGTTTATTTGATTTTAAATCGCTGGAAATAAAAAAATAATTAGATTATAAGGTTTGAATCAACAAAGGTAGATATTTTTATATATTTTTTATATATTTTTATATATTTTTTATATATTTTTATATATTTTTATATATTTTTATATATTTTTATATATTTTTATATATTTTTATATATTTATTTTTACATATTTTTATATATTTTTATATATTTTTATATATTTTTATATATTTTTATCGTAACTACAATCGCCTCTTAAGTGAATTTCAAGTCATTTAAAAAAGATAAAGATTTGGCTAAGTATTTTAAATCAATTCACTCCACTAAAAGAGTCAATATAGTAGAAAAAATAGATCTTCCTAGAAGATTGAAATATATCCAATGCAATAAAAAGTTTATATTCTTACAGACTTTTCAAGCGCGGACAAGTAGTACACAAAGTATCCGGCAAAGATGATATCCCTGCTCTGTCCAATCTCAATATTTCCAGGGCGCTGGTCCCGTTTAGATTCGGAAACGTGGATAGCTCTCTGGCATCGGAAAGAATCCTGCAAAAAAAAGGACGTAAATCAAAACAAATTAGATATTATTATCATTATTACATTCTGCGGGTGATTTATTTGCTTGTTTTTTTCCTGTTTCGCATTTTGTATTGTATTGTTTTGTGGAACGGAACCAGATTCCGATTGGGGTCGTGGGAGGGTTTTTAATTTCGAAAACTTATGTTTGGAGAGCAATACGTTTGAAATACCGCAATCATTTTTGCTTTCAAACTAAAAAAATAAGGCTCTTTTCAATATTTTCTATTAGGTTTTAACAACAGGAGGGCTAGCAAGGTTGGAAACATTTTTAAAAATGTATTTTCTGTTTTCATTATGAAAAGATAAAAAAATAATATAACACTAATGAGATAATAGTAAAAAATTGTCAATAATTTCAGTAATAATTTCATATTTATTATGAATAAAAATTGTATGCCGGCTTTTAATCTAAATCAACAAATACTTGGCAATTCGTTACAGTATTTACATTTTAATAGAAATCATTAAGTATTCTTTTAAACATTTTTCAATATCATATAATATACTACCAGGAAAATTTACAATAAAAAAACTAGAAAAACGTTTTGGAATGGTTGTAATTATAATCTTAGTTGTGATTATGAAAATAATGCAAAAAAAAAATTTTAACATATATTTAAAAAGGCATCTGGTATAGTCGAGATCACAGTTAATTTTTAATTTTTCACAATTTTATATCATTGTGAAAATATATGGCAACATTTGAATTGAGAGTTTTTTTATGTGAGGTCACGCTTGCATATAAAAGCAATCCAGAAAAGCTGGTGTGTGTTTTTTAAGATGAAAACACAATACACTCACTGGATGACAATAAGTTCTGGATATTTGGCGATTGTGGTTGCGGTTAGCAAAGGTTAACTGGTGAGAGCTTTTTGTGATTGATTCGTAAACTATGCGGTGAGGTTTTTGTTTTTTTTTTTTTGTATATTTCAGCTTGCTACCCATATACAAGGTGGATCATGGGAGCAGGAAGTTTTAAAAATGTTATTTTGTTATGATACATAGATTACCGCACATTTGTTTAAAAATGTTATATACAGTAGGTATGATCTTTTTTTTAATACATTACATGAACTTGATAATTTTTTCCAGTATAATAACGGACAGAAACTTCAAATGTCACTAAAATTTTGACTATCGCTTCTGTATTAGTATATATACTGTGCCAAAATGATTTTGAACACCCGGTAGAGTAATTAATTTAAAAATAATTTAAACCACCCGGCAATCCTGCCACCTTAATTTTTCGCTATTTCGTACTCACTAGGTATCTTAAAAAAAACAATCGCCCAATTAGGTACATGAACTAATCCAGCCTGAATTCTCGAGTATGATTGATTGGAATCATAATAACTGTTTAGATTGATTTATTACTGAAATGGCAAAATAATTGTGACATTTCGAAATCCATTTTTTGCCGAGGGAGTGGTACTTTATTGTTAGTGGACATTGTTGATTTTCCTAAAGCGATTTTAATGAAAATTTATGGAGCAATTATAATTTATTAGAGTGAAATTGAATTTTAATAGCGAGTCATATTAAGCCGGTACATCTTTGTTTGATTTTTTTTTACTGATAAATCAGAACTTTTTTATGTTTCAATCAAAATATTTTAATATTTAAAAATAGATAGGATGTATTAAATATTTCGCTGGATGAGTCTAGTATATAAAATCAACTATAATAACCATTTATCGGATGAGAATGACAATAGAAATATTATTAAAAAAAACTGTATATATTATTATTAATAGTAATCCCAGAATTAATACCCATGAAAAAATCCTGTCTGTATTCTTAACAGAAACAAATGGATATCAACAATTGGACAGCTATTATAGGGTAAAATACTATTCGTTCAGTGAAGATTATATTCGCCTTTTATAGATTAATCTGAAAAAAGCAAAAAAATAATATTGAAAGATAATACTTGCAGCTTTCGCAGTCGAGGCAGGAAGGAAAAAGCGGTGGCGTCCACTCCAATCAACGGATTTCCCTTAAGTTCCAAAAGAGCGAGTGCGGGAGTCTTCTGTAATAGTCCTCCTTCTATGTACTTGATTCGGTTACCGGATATCGAGCTGGAAAAACAATAGAGAATCAGGTTTCCATCTTCGATATGAATTCGGGTTATTTTCCAAAGATGACTGACAATTTGGGAAATTGGCGCTGACAATAATCTTTTATTTAGGCTGGATTATAATGGCATACTTTTTATATTTTCAGTATTCACATAGTATTTTAAAATATTTGTTTTTATTATTAGTCTTGGAGCATGACAATTTAATTACTAAAGTTTCTTTGGTCAAATCATCAAAATTCCGTATAATGACATATAAAAATATTGCCTTAAAATCGAAAAAATCCAACGATTCAGGATGGTGAACTATGGGGCCTAGTGAGGGTTGTGGTGCAACCCACCATATCTACGTTAAACATATAAATATATCTTAGATTTTATTAATTATCAAGTCAAATAATTATTTAGTTACCAAATGATTTTATCAATAGAACACAATGCGTGAGAATCAACTGCCTACAGCCACAGCTGACCACACACTCGACACTCAAGGCGACTCACCTCGTTCTGCCTGGGGAGGTGTCAGCGGTACTTTGCTACCACAAACGTTACGCCGCACCCCCCCCTCTTGACTGCCGCTGTCCTATACATTATATTATAATGAGCAATCACACACAAATTTGTTTACCTGCTAATATATATTTAAAAAAATTGTCTACAATAATCGTACAAGTTATTATATTACTATTAAGAATATAATTCAAGTGATGCCTTTTCGGCCAATCTCTGGGTTAGTTTAACACGAAAATAAACTTAAAAGAAAACAACAAATTTGATAAAAAAAGTGATAAATTACTAGTTAACTTCTCAGACATCCTACATAAGTTAAAACTATAATGGTTACGTTATTCTCGAACTTTTCTAAAAGAAACACCTACCCCGTTTCGGTCTCAGTGCTAGATGATGCGTTCCTCCAACAAAATAAAACTTTTAACTACTTTCTCGCTACGAATCCGATATGAAAAATGTATGGCGCAAAACTTCCCAACAACTCTCCAAATATTTCATTAAATAATTTGACGAAGAATACTCCGTAAATACCGGGTGTTGTTGTGTATGAGAATGTCTGTGGAAAATTATAACAAGAACATTTTAAGTGCCTTTAATGTCCCTTAAGCGCAGAGTTAAAAATAAAAATAGCTTCTTTTTTGTACTTACAATTCTTGTAGGTCGGACAGTTTTGTGATTGCAGCTGGTATTTGAGTCAGGAAGTTATCGTCTAGCTCGCTAAAACAAAAAGTTCGTTTTTGGGTTATTTGCTACGTAAAATAGTGGAAATGACGCTTCTTTATCTTATTTGAAAGAAATACTATACTCGGAGAAAATATTGGAGGTGAGTCATATGCATGATCAACACTATTGTCTATGAATGAAAATTCAAACAGAGTCAGCATAGGCCGCGTATCAAATACCAAATAATAAATATACGTTTTTGATAGTTTTCAAGAAGTGAATATATTTATTCCTTAATGACTTCGTTATCTGTGTTTAATGGTTTTAAAAACACCGCTTTTAAAAACGTGTCATCTCCGTTCTTGGCAATTTCGTTGATGGTTACATTAATTTAGTTATACAGACAAAAAAGTCCGTTCATGTGTGGATCAAGTAAAGAGTCAAAACCGCTAAATCAGTTGAAATCAGTTTTAACTCTGCAATAGAGAATAAAATTTTGTAAGATAATACCCCAATATTTGGAAGCGATGACAAATGAATGTGTTTCAAGTAAATAAACGAGAGACGGGTTACAGATTGAATATTGTCAGCACAGGCACAAAGACAGTTGAAAACTAACTTTCGACGAAGTTAGATTTGTATCGCTTTAACTATTTACGATAATTATTTTATATTTTATAAACACTTTCTTGTATAAGTGCTCTTTTCTGATATACGAGTAGGTGTTCATGTTTGTGCCTTACAATTTGGTAGTGGTAGTGCATATTCCAGGAGTTATATTTATTGTGTAGTATATTAGGTAGGTACTTTAAATAGTAAAATATTGGTATCTTTATAAATTTAATAAAAACAATTTAATAGTAGAATTACAATAGTAATGGATTCAGAGGCGGGTCCAAGTGAAACCCAATTACGTCGGCAAAAGCCCTTATCAAAGGATGAAAAGAACATTATATGGAAAGTGTATGATAGGCTGAAATAGACACTTCCTACAAATGAAGCTGTAAACCGCAGTTCTTTTTTAACTGGAGTATCTGTTTCAACAATTGAACGTATTGTACGCGAAAAGACAAAAAAAGGCTCCTTAGAAGCCCCTAAAACGCATACCCGTGGTCAAAAATTGTTGAAATTGGACGATAACCAAAAACAAATCATTCGAAGAACTGTACATTCTTTTTTTTTTTCGAAAACAAAGCCCCAACACTTAAAGTTGTTCTTACAAAATTAAGAGAAAACGAAGAAATTTCATTAATGAGTCGTAAAACTTTACGAAAAATGTTATGGGGCCTAAAATTTCGTTTTGTCAAACAGTGTAGGAAATCAATTTTAATTGAGAAGTCAGATATAGTGTCCTGGCTACGGCGTTATTTACGAAATATTAAAGAGTTTAGAGCTGCTAAAAAAAAAAAAGATACTATCACGATGAAACGTGGGTGAATGCTGGACACACGGTATCTAAGATATGGCAAGATACTTTTGTAACTAGTAATCGACAAGCTTTTATAGAGGGATTATCTACAGGTTTGAAAGCACCATCAGGTAAAGGACAGCACCTAATTGTTACCCATATCGGAAATGACAGTGGATTTTTGGAAAATAGCGCTCTTGTGTTTATATCGAAAAACAGGAGGACATGAATGCGGAATGCTTTGAAAAATGGTTTACTGAAGTATTACAGCGTTTAGAACTAAATTCAGTTATTGTACTAGATAACGCTTCTTATCACAGTCGACGAGTCGAACGCATTCCCATAATATCCAGTAGGAAAGCGGATATGCAAACCTGTCTTCGGGATAAAACAATAACATTTACTGAGGAGATGCTTAAAGTGAAATTAATGGACCTAATAAAGGAACACCGCCATAAATATATTCAATATCTTGTCGACTTCCCCCTTATCACTGCGAATTAAATCCTATTGAACTAATTTGGGCGCAAGTGAAAGGGTTTGTAGCTCAAGAAAATAAAACTTTTAAAATAGCCGATGCCGTTCAAAGTTTATTAAAAACCGGTATAGAACGTATAAAACCTGAAGAAAGGCAGAATTCTATTTCCCATGTAATTAAGGAAAAAAATAATATGTGGCGCTTGGACGGTATGATCGAAACGATAGTTGAACCTTTAGTCATAACTTTAAGTTCCGACGATAAAGACGATTCCAGTGATAGTTCTTCAGAATCAATAGATTACGAAACTTCATAGATTTAGAATTCAAGTAAGTGATACCAAGCTTAATTTACATATTTTTATAATAAACAAAATACAATTATAAACATAGATGAATTATTATAACAAAAGTAGATAACCAACCTACTTACATCTAGTAATATTCACAAATACCCATTTAATTTGCCAATATAGTATTTCTGCGACACTGGAAGAGTGCATTTTGATATGATAACGATACCTTTTGCAGTTTTAAGGCGCACCTTCTTCAATATTTTGTTCTAGTATAATACCCCATTTAATTTTCCAATAGTGTTTCTACGCCACTGGCATATTTACATATTTTAACAATAAACAAAACAAAATTATAAACATAAATGATTAATATTACTACAAAAATAGATAACCAACCTACTTTCATATATTATTTACTATTACCGCATTTAATTTGCCAATAGTTTTTATACGCCACTGACGTAATTCATTTTGGCAATAAACATGCATTTATGACTAGATGGCACGTGATACCGATAACTTCTGCAGTTTTAATCGCGTGATTCCATTCATTATGCTCTGGTATAGTATTATTGTTGTACGTGAACAGGGAGGAATCACTTTCTTTAATATTTTGTCCGAGTATAGTACAAGAGGAGCCGATTCTTCAATATAGCGCAGTCGGTACACTTACAAACTATTTAAAAAGAAAATAGCAATCAATTAGGAATATTGCTTACAAGGTGTAACAAAATGAGAATCCTAAGAAATAGGGATTCGTCTGGTAAAGGCCATTTATATAACTAGGGTTGCGGAAAATAGCGAGGCAGTTTTTTTAAAAAATTAAGTCCTTTCTGTGTTAAATTTCTAAAAAAAAAAATTTTCAGTAAAATCTAAAAATAAAAAAGGTCCATAGCTTCTATTTTAGTGGCAAACTTCTAAAAAAAATACTTTAGCCACTAAAGCTGCCGGGCCCCGGGATTATGAACCCCTCTCGTCAGGCTTATATACAGACGGTTCAACAATTTTGGTACTTTAAAATATCTGATATAATTTATAACCTACCTTTTTGTTACACACTGTATTTCAATAGTAAATAAATATAAAAAAAAAGAATAAACTTACAGAACTCTCAATGATGTAACATTGGAGAAAGCATCTTCGGATATGAATGTTATTTTGTTGCGTTTCATCAATCTGAAAAAGAGAAAATAGACAAATTAAAATAATAGATACTTTTGACTAGAGCTTTTTGATTTGGCACAAGACATTCAATTCAACACGTCCTCATTTTTCTTAATTAACTAGTAACCAATAAATGTATATAAATAAACAAGTAGAGCTTTTTGATTTGGCACAAGACAATCGGCACATCCTCGTTTTTCTAAATAAACCGGTACCCAAATGAGTAAGCGACTTCAAAATTGATATATAAATAAACAACCGGTTCGATAATAATTATTTAAATCATTTTCTTCGAAAAGAAACGATTTTCTTACAAATGAGTGAGTCGTTAAAAAAACCAGAAATTATGATAATATCGTCTAATATTACTAATATTTCGTATATCTATAATTAATCTTAAATAAAACTATTTTTATTGTCGATTATTAATGAGATTTTAATTTACGTTCCTACGTCAAATTCGTGTTGTAAGTTACATCACATTTTTCGTTCCCAGGATATGATGATAATATAAAATTAGAAGTACTTAGAAATATATCCGATATAGGTAATATCAAAACCCATACTGTCATATAATAAATAGAATTTTTCTTAAACTAACGGTCGTCACCCCTATTAAATATTTAAAAAAGCCTTAAAAATAGAATGGTTAAATTTTTAGAGGATAATAAGGTAATTTTAGAAAAACAATTTGAATTTAAAGAAAGTTTATCAACTAAAGATGCCATAGGAAAACTTGTTCATAATATATCAACATATCTAGAAAAGTAACCAATCTATTTGTGTGTTTCTGGACCTTACAAAGGCCTTCGACATTGTGTATCCATACACAAATGTTGCTTGCATTGGAGGATGTAGGAAACTAATCATTTCGAGACTATTTATCAAAACGATTACAAGTAGTAAACACAGATAATGTTAAAAGTTCAGAAACTACTTTTAACTATGGGTTACCCCAAGGAACTGTCCTAGGACCGATCTTATTTAAAGTATATATTAATGTTATAATTAATGCGGTTTTTAATGGAAAGATTTTTAGCTTTGCAGATGACACTGCTCTCCTATATACTGACACAAAATCGGATGATTTAAAAATAAAAATTGAAAATGATTTAGAACCGATATTTGATTGGTTTAGCCAAAAGTTACTGATTAAAAATTATGAAAAAAAAACGCTTATTTGCCATTCTCTAATAAATCTTTTAAATTTACATAACCTAAAATTTTTATATTTGTCATTAGTTGAGTCAAAGTTAAGATATGCTATAATGAGCTGGGCAAGTACAGCATATTGCTGTCTTAGACAACTTAATGTACTACAAAAAAGAATCAAAAAAATAATTTATAACAAAAATATTAATTATCGATCAAATACATTAGTTTTAAAAACCTCAATGTTTGACATCGGATCAAAATATCTAATTTATTTATAAAGATCTAAAATTATTTAAAAAAGTTTGTCACAAGTAAAAAAATATTAGATTACGGTGTCATACTTATTTATCATGGACAATTTATAATCATCTACCAGAAATTTATAAAATAAACTCTACTAACATGATAAAATATATTGAGAAGCAGAGCCAACCCTGTCTAGCAAGCGATCTTCAAGCCTGCCACCCGACTTATGATCGAAATACCGCTGACGCGTCTTGAATATATCAGAACAAGCGGTACGTGACGTTAAGTCATAGAGATGGAATTCTAGGACATTCCATATCGTCTAGAGACTTCTCATCTGGAGTGGGCTTTGTATAAATAGCGCAATTTCGTCGACAGACGAATAGTTTAGAATAAAGTATTGGACTGAAAAGTTAAATTGTAATAAATTAGAATTCTGAGTTAGTGCCTAAGTATTATATACAATAATTAGTAGGTACGTCATAAATAAATTAAACTACCGGCACATTATATTTAAAAAAATTAGGTAGACTTTATTATTTGAAACCAACAATCTGTCTTACAAATATGCATATCATTGTGTTTAAATTTGTGAATTTGTTAAATTTTTATGTCTTTTCTTTTTGATAATTAACTATTTCTGTTGTGTGCTGATTTCACAATTATTTTTAGCTTCTCAGATGCAGCCATTTTGTTGGTTTGTCAATTTTACAGAAATACGCATAATAATTTCAATCTCAATCTTTGGATCAAACATTAATTGATTCTTGACTAAATAGTAAATGAAATGTCAAAATTATAATAATTATAAAAACTGGTGTAGTTCAGTTTAGATAACAGGTTCATTTTAAATGATTTTACCATTAAAATTTGTTTACTTGAATAATAATTTATTTACTTATATTATGAATTAAATAAAATAAAAATGTGTCAAAATATTAATCATAATAAATATTTAACAAACGTTGTAGCAACCAGTTGCAAAAAATGTTGAGATTTGATTATTTAAATATGAAATTTTATAGAAAACGAAAAGCAATAGATATCTAATCTTACGTAATATTTGCTAGACTTATAATTAACATAAAACCTTCATCTAATCGTCTTTATATAAAAAATTACATAAAATAAAGTTATTTTTAACATTTATGAAAATATTTGCAGAAAATAGTAAAATGAACCAGTTTTTTTTTTATAAAATCAAGATCATGGAACATGAATAATCAAGTAAAAATTACATATTTATATTGGAGAAACTTTTAATATCGCTAATGCACACTTTTATTTATTATCCTAGTTTTTTCTTGTAGAACACCGCAGTAAAAGAAAGGAAACAGATAAAACAAATTTTCCATCATTTCCATAACTATCTTAATAATATATTATCATAGAGTTACAATCCCAATACAAAATCTTATCTATCCCTTCTGAGAATCCTTTATGGGCTAAAATTTGAAAATACAACGAATAGTTACATGCATAAATTTTAATATCTTCCAGTAAATTGCTCGTGTGCAGATTTAGTTGTAAATCATCCTAGAGATACAGGCGATCCAGTGTAACTCCCGCCTTTGCCCAATTTATCTGAATATAAGGCAAAACTGGGTATAACATCACCCACTCATGTATCGCAGCTGTTATTCGAATTCGGTGCATGTGTAATTCCGTTTTATTATCAAGGATTATCAAGGATTCACGTAATGGAGGCAGAATGTGTAAAGGATAGTTGTAATTTGAATGCTGGTCAATATTCATTACAACATTTTATTCCAAATATTTGCCGAGATATGAACAAAATTAAAATATGTAAAACGAATTTTGATCTGGCAAACTGAATATCTTATGGATGTATTTGTGACTATAATGTGCTTTTCTTGTGAAAATTGATTAAAAATGTAGACTATATGTAAGGAGCTCATAGCTTCATTGATACAGTATCTTGAATAAGAACGCGATAACAATGGTCCTTTACTACCTTTAACTGCTGTTAGAAGAGTAAGTTTTTACTATTTACTAATCTCAGTTTTTAGTGTGTATCGGCAGCACTTAACTTAAATTTGTCCACTGTAAGTGCTAAGAACGATATCGTTTTAAAATTGCCTCCAAAAAAGCTTCTTCGTACAAAAAAAATAACTAATATAAGAACTCTAGATACAAGTACAATTCGAGATGTTATTTACAACATGTATGAAGCTAGTAAGTGTAGATTATTCATCTAATTATAAATACCTATACATTTGTTTGCAGACGAACACGTAATTTTGGATTCTTTATTAGAAAAATTGGAAGAAAAAGAATTGTTTAATAGATGCCACATGTCATTATGCATCCTATTAAAAGATATTGGTTTTAAATGGAAAAAAGATGGTCCAAAGCGAGGGCTTATGGAACTTTCCGATGTTGCTGTGAAACGAACTGTAGTTTTAAGAAATTACATGAAGGAAAAGGAAACAGGTTCATTTCAGTTTGTTTTTATTGATGAGACGTGGATTTTTCAAAATGGGACTATAAACCGTTCTTGGCAAGATAAAAAAAAAAATAAAAGTGTGTAAACCACAAAATTTGATGGTAAAAGGTACGTAAATAATTACTGGAATATAGCACATGCTTAAAGTGACCATCCGTCCCGATTTAGGTGAAACAGTCCCGATTTTAAAACACTATTCCCGATTTAACATGTGTCTCTATTTTGTTCCGCTTTTGTCCCACTTTTGACTGATTACAACAATTTTATCCCGCTTTCGTTCGACTAAAAACGATTTTGTCCCACTTTTAAACCTTTATGGTAATGGGTTTTTACTCTTCAATAATAAAAATAAATCATATCATATTAACATGTGCTTCTTAAGGACGAGATTTGGCCAATTGTATCATATGTAGACTTAGGTATTTCTTTTATAAAAAACAAAGGACCAAGATTTCTTCCAAAAATATATTAAGATGAATATACAAATGATCAAAACTTGATAGTTTAATTAAACTGCTGAAAAATGGTATGGAATGAGCAAATTTTTTTTGGTAACGTTTATTTTTACTATGTTTGTTTATATTTTAAAAAGAAGGTAAAAGTCTATTTTTATGTATGAGAGAGTAATAAAACAGCATTTCTAATGCAAAACTTAGTACGGTCATTTTAAATATTTTTACAGAATAATCTAAATATTTCCTAAAATTGTAATAAATGTACCTGCTATTACAAGTTTTGGGTCTTTTATTGGTCCTTTATAAACATAAGCTGTACAGAACAATAGAAAAAGGTTTGGACAGGCCAAAAGCCCTGTGTATTAAAGATTACATAGCCGTATCTTAAGATTATTTTCAATAAGTACCTATTTGCCAATTTTGTTTTATTTTAATTCCAAGAATTTCTTACAGTAATCGAATTATAAATAGATAAATAATAAATACCTTCCCAACAAATTTCACCGAAAATGCGATTATAGGTTTTCCATTTAGTAAGGAGGTCCAAGTTGTGTATTCTCGACAGTTTACTAAATGTCGTTTAGTTGCAACTTGCAAGGTGCAGTGTTAATTCTAGTGTGATCATGGAAAATTTGGAAGGGTCGCGTAAACGACAAAAAATCGGTCCTTTAACAGTTAATGAAAAAACATTAATATTTAATTGTTTTAAATCATTTACAGACAAACATTTATGTAAAAGTGTTGATGACACAGTGGAATTAGTTAGTAGTACGCTTGGTGTTGGGAAATCTACGATTTACAGAGTTGTTAAAGAAGAGAAATGTGGCGAGTTTCAAACAGCACGTAAAGCTCCAGGAAAACCAAAATTTCAATTAGAAAATCTTTTAAAAGAAAGACTTAGAAGGAAAGTGCATGCGTTCTTCTTTAGAAAAGAATTTCCGACAGTAGACAAAGTTCTTGCCACGGTTCAGGATGATAAGGATTACCCTGAAATGAGTCGAAGCACACTAGTACCGGTGACTACCATGAGGACATGAATGCTGATGTCTTTAAAGAGTGGTTCGAACAAATTATAGATCTTCTTCCTCAGAACTGTATAATAGTTAGTAATGGATAATGCAAGTTATCACTCGAGAAAAAATGCCCACAACCAAGTGGTTAAAAAAAGATTTACAGAATTGGCTAAATTCAAAGAATATTAAGTTCCATCCCGGTTCTGTGAGAAAAGAACTGTATCATTTGTGTTCCCTTCATAAAGAGAAATTAAAAAAATATGAAATTGCAAAAAATCGTGGGATGACGGTGGTTAGATCACCACCATATCATTGCGAAGTAAACCCGATTAAACTGATATAGGCACAGATAAAGGGAGAAGTTTCAAGAAAAAATAATTCTTTTAAAATGAGTGATGTTAAACAGTTGTTTTTGGAGGCTGTAAATAATGTGAAGCCTGAAAACTGGGAAAAGACGGTAAATCATACGATTAAAGAAGAAGAGAAAATGTGGAAGTTGGACAATATTACTGATGAAATGATCGAGCCACTCATTGTAAATATTGGTTGCGACAGTTCATCTTCTGATTTCGATTCTGATTTGGATTTGTAGGTAAGAAGTAGTTTTTATATTAAAATTATTATTTATGAACGTAACGTTGTTTAAAAGTCAAAGTTTAAACCCTTATATACCTACATAACCCGTTTGACACAATGTTCCTAACATACCTTGTGGAAAAATAAAACATTTTAGAAAAAATTGCACTTTTTTACCTTCAGCTGTTTAGAAGTTATAAGCAGGTTAATTAGGTGAAAATATAAGTGTATACTCGAGGAATAACTTCATTTTAACTGTCTACTAACAGAAGTGGTACGCCTATGGATTACGAACGCTTTATTATTTTAATACTCTCTCATACATAAAAATAGACTATAGTAAACAGCAAAAAGTCTATTAAAGAATAAAATGAATAACAAACTAAAACTAACTGTGCAGCTATTTTAGAACCAAAGATGATTTCTGCATCTACTGATTAATATTTCAATATTAAAACCACCAAATTTTCAAACGATTTGTTCGAATTAATTAATTTGAAATATTTATATATTCTTATTTTAGTCCCCATTTTCAGTAGAACAACTAACTTGAAGGAGATAACACTGATTGGTACCGCAAAGTACCTACGAGGCAAATACATTAAATTTGAATTTATTAAATTAGTTAATATCGTATCAAATTACTGAGAATGATGTTTGTTTATCCCAACTTCATTAGAACTAATTAAAAGGTCATCTATTAAAAATTACACCAAATTCAGTCAAAAGTTAATAAAAATTAAATAAATAGGAATCGCTTCCAAGTTTTAACGGTTGTTCGTTCTTGTGTGTCACATTTCGAACATCATGGGTGTGATGGGTGTCAAAGCTTTACAGTGGATTCAGTTCGTGGCGAAAGGTGTAAGCGAGGTTGATGCTGACCAGGGAAAAGAGTGGCCTCAAGCTCTAGCTATACTTATCGGTAAGTTTAATAATAATAATTATACCTAATTTGTTTATTAGTACAATAATATTTAATTTGAAAATTCGGATTTACATAATTTTGTAATTATATATTTTTATTTGTTATTATTTAAAAATATTCGAAATAAATCTTGATTATTTAATAAGAGGATGATAATCAACCATTTTTTAAAAGAATAAAATATTTGTGATTATATATTTTTATTTTTTAAAAATATTCTATATAAATCTTGATTATTTAATGATAATCAACCATTTTTTAGAAGAATAAAATAAATATTTATTAAAATGAGGTTCAGTTTTGTATCTGGAAATCCTACAACTCAAAATTCGTTAATAAAATAATTATTTTAATTTTAACAAAAATTTTTTTCAACGTCAGGTATTAATAAAAAAAAATATTTTTCTTTATTATTTTATTAAATATTCTTAAACTTAAAGGCCTGAAATATACTATAATAAAAATTAATTATTTAAAAAAACTATTCTTATAAATAATTTTAAATTCAATTCTTTGTATCATAATTTAAAAAATTAAAAAAATATTAGTATTTTCGTTTTTGAGCTTTTTGAATCTCACAATCTGTAAGAACATATTCCAAATATTAACTCTAATTTATACGGTTTTTATACCCCAGCTAAAAGCTGTTAATTTATTATTTATTTAGGTAGAATTATCTAGAAAAAATAATAAAAAAAATTTTGTCACGTCTGGTTTGAGAAATATTTATTTAACTTTATTTAACTAGATTACATATTTTGGTATTAATACTAAAAAAAAAAAATTATAGATGATTAATTTTGCCTTCTTTTAATCTTATAGTGGACCAACAGTAATCCCCTAATATGTTTTCATCCCAAAATCCTTGATGTCGTTTAAAAAAAACTTTAAATTTTGGTGGAAACACTCCACTTTTTCGTCACTCATACTTCCTAAGTTTGCAGGGTTAAATTTTCGTCATACGAGTAATTGTATAATGACAGACGACCTGAGAACGACATACAGACAATTTGCGTCGTCTGTGTGATTAAATTTTCGTCATACGAATAATCGTATATTGACAGACGACCTGGGAACAACATACAGACACCTAGTGTCGTCTGTGTGATTAAATTTTCGGTATACGAGTAATCGCATAATGACAGACGACCTGAGAACAATATACAGACACTTTCTGTCGTCTGTGATTATATTTTTTGATCATACGCGAAATCGTATAATGACAGACGACCTGGGAACAACATACAGACACTTTGCGTCGTCTGTGTGATTATATTTTCATCATACGAGTAATCGTATAATGACAGACGACCTGGGAACAACATATACACACTTTGCGTCGTCTGTGTGATTAAATTTTCGTCATACGAGTAATCGTATAATGATAGACGACCTGGGAACAACATACAGACACTTTGCGTCGTCTGTGTGATTAAATTTTCGTCATACGAGTAATCGTATATTGACAGACGACCTGGGAACAACATACAGACACTTTGCGTCATCTGTGTGATTATATTTTCGCCATACGAGTAATCGTATATTAACAGACGACCTGGGAACAACATACAGACACTTTGCGTCGTCTGGGTGATTAAATTTTCGTTATACGAGTAATCGCATAATGACAGACGACCTGGGAACAATATACAGACACTTTCTGTCGTCTGTGTGATTATATTTTTTGATCATACGAGTAATCGTATAATGACAGACGACCTGGGAACAACATACATACACTTTGTGTCGTCTGTGTGATTACATTTTCGTCATACGAGTAATCGTATAATGACAGACGACCTGGGAACAACATACAGACACTTTGCGTCGCCTGTGTGATTAAATTTTCGTCATACGAGTAATCGCATAATGACAGACGACCTGGGAACAATATACAGACACTTTCTGTCGTCTGTGTGATTATATTTTTTGATCATACGAGTAATCGTATAATGACAGACGACCTGGGAACAACATATACACACTTTGCGTCGTCTGTGTGATTAAATTTTCGTCATACGAGTAATCGTATAATGATAGACGACTTGGGGTAGTGTTTGCATGCCGAGCATGTTTGTTGAATAATTGAAAATGTTCTATTAAGAGGTGAAGTTGTCCTTGATAGCTGATTTGGTAAAATCAGTGGACGTAGTACATAGATACGTGAGTTAGAATTCTCGTGGTCGCATTTAAGGATCAAAAATAGTTTTTATTATTTTGTAGGAGGTGATTTTGGGATTTGTTTAGGGATTTCTAAGTTTTTGGATCTTTAACCCACAAATTTCCGAAAAATGGTTTAAATTAAAGTTGTTAGGTGTCCCTGCATAAATTGAAAAAGAGAATATATTCACCTTTTCAAAAAAAAGTATCCTTCATACAAGTGTTTTCTGGTTTTAAAAATAATAATCCAAACAGTGAAATAAAGACAAAAATGTAAAAAAGAATAAACAAAATATTTTTAAAGCAAATAAATATTAAATTTTATGAATTATTATTTTTGAAACAAGCAAAATTTTTTATATAGAATAACATTTTCTCTAAAAGTTTATAATAAAAAAGTTTTTCCTTTTTTCACTGCGTCTTGCATAACTATCATGTACAGGGTGAGTCAGTATAGGCAGTAAAGACTTATTTTCGACTCGTTTTAGTTCAAATGTATAAAATTAACAATGTTTTCTATAAGTTATAACATTAATATATGACCCAAAATTTTTTTCTTTATCCGTTTTTAAGTTTTCTTCAAAATTTACACTTTTTCACAAATATCTCGAATACGGTCCATTTTAGAGAAATTATATCACAGACAACTTTTATTTGAATAATTTTCATAAAAATTTGATTTTTTTTTACATTTTGTCAAATTTCTCGAATACGGACCAATAAAAAAAAAATTGTATGGAACAAAAATTATACAAAATAATATAAGAAGTAACTTTTATTTGAAGAATTTTCTTCTCCAAACGTAAATAACAGATGTATTTCATAAAATATAAAAATTACCTCCTATATCCCAGATGTTCCGACTCTGCCTAAAATCTAATCAGTTCACCGCAAGCCGTAATAAAGCTTAATTTTATATTTTGGTGCTTTTCTTTGTATCTGTCCATGAGTTATCGTGGATACAGACACACACATACATCATCGTGAAAATAGTCAAAACTGACCCCAAAACGTAAAAATCCGTCGAAAACTCGAGGTCGAAAAAATCATGATTCCTATACTTTCCTTATCTGTATACAGATAGGAAAATAAAAACCGTATATGTCACATATACAGTTTTGATTGTCTATCTATGTACTTTAAAATCTCAAATTATAATTAAAAAAAAAAACAACGTATACAGGGCGAATTTTTTGATACAAATGGTCGAGATTAATTTTCCTAAGCCTATCCTAAAATTTTAAACTTTGGAGGATTCGAATTAAATGCTAGACTACAGTGTACAGTTTCACCAAAAAATAAGAGAAATCTAGGAATTCTTGTAGATTTTATTCACAAAACGTATATTAATAATGCTCATATAATATACTCCTAAGGGACTCTACACATGGTTGAAGTCTGTAAGGTTCTTTATGACTCACCCCGTATTTATTTTTGCATGTTTTAACCGTACTTCAAAAACGGAGGAGGTTCTCAATTCGCCCGAAATTTGCAGTGGGTTCTACTACTATTAGAAAACATAATATAAACATAATTTTTATGTTAAATTATTGTTTTTTTTTTTAAATTTAATAATTTCAATGATTTTCGAAAAAAAAAATAGTTCAATATCTGGAAAAAAAACTGTGATTCTGGCTATTAAATAATTATGTAGACTGAGATTGGTGTACAAGTGAAATATAAGTGGAAAATACCTATTATACCTTTTCCATTTTCATTTATTAAATAATTGTTGTAAAATCACGTACAAAAAGTGCCTGATGAAATTTTTACAAAAAAATTCCCCTTGAACATCCTATATTTTTTTCCACAGCAACAATTAGTAAAATCTCCATATTATTAGTCCAAAAACATCAGTTTGGTCTATATCCCCATAGTTATGACTAACCATGTACAATAATTTTCTCTGACCCACTCTAGATTTTAAATTAGATATTTTAAAATACATATTAATTAACACATATATTTTAATTTACAAAATAACCAAAAATGTTTTCAACAAGCTTTTAAATATAATTTAAAATTAAAATTCGTGATAAAATATTTTACTATTATTACTATTTTGATAATGATATCCTAAAATGCAAAAAACATCAACACATTAAAGAAAATATTTTCTGATAATTATAGAAACAACAACTCATTAACCTAAAACGGCTTTAATCTTAGAAACCATGTTTAATTTGTGTAGGTATGCCTAATAGGTTTAAAAACATTATAAATCAATCATTGCATCTGCAGAATTGATTATATTTAATAATAAAACGGTGGTTAACTATTTAATAAAGTAAAATATTAATAATTTCGCGTCATTAACATTAACTGACATTAGTTAAAATACACCGTATTGACTTAAGGCATTCACATGAGAAATTTGACTACTCTTATAACTCGTATTGCAATCACATATATCACTATCAAATTGAAAAAATCTTCTGTAAAATGTAAGTTACGGGGTATTAGAATTAGACCATCTTTAATCAAAATACCTTGTACTAATTGATATATAAACAAGTCTTCTGTACATCAAGAATGTCTAAACGCATTTATAATTTTCTAATATAAGTACTATAGATTTGTTATGTCATGGAAAAAGAAATACTTGTAAATTTTTCAATAGAAAATGATGTTATGCTTCTACAAGATCAGAAGTAGTGTCCAGAAACCTATTTAGAAATGGTTCTGTTCAGAAGTTAATTAGTAATTCAACACAATTTGTGTTGTGAAGAGGTAAATGTCGTATTCATTATCACCCGACAGGATTGCTACTTTTAATTGTTTTTTATTATTGATATTTAAGCTATACCAATTAAAGACATGGCTTATGCTGTAAATAATATCGTACTCGTAGGAAATGCGTACCAGTCTTAGCTCGTTAAATAATATACTATTAATCTCACTATTAATAATTATACTTTCAATTTTGACGAATTTTTATTTATTTATTTACCAAAACTCAAACAGGCCTATTGGCCTTTTCACATGAGTAGTTTTCTTAACATAACAGCCAAATATATGTAATTTTATAACATGATGCTCAAATTATAATAAGTACAACCGAAAAAAATACAGAAAAAAGTGCTGAACTGAGAGTCATATAAAATCATTTTAAATTGGATATGACCAATTATCCAATCTATATTGCTCATTGAATTGAAATTATTAGCAAGTCTTATGATATGAGTTAACGGAGATTGTAGAGGACTTTTAGAAATATTATATTTTAATGATGATCTGATACGTCTTGATGGAACATTAAATGGTACTAACAAAATCATAGATTGCTTATGTCTATTAATTAGCGAAGGTACTATAAATTCTTCCCTAAGCATAGAGGTTCTTATTTCGATATAATCAGGCCAGACATGATATTTTTTATAATAAAAATATCACAAATAGTATATTAAAGTATAAGTGGTGGATGACGTTTTCCGGGTTTTCCTCATCTGTAAGTCAAATGACATCATCAATCATCTTTAAGTCGCCCCGGAGCGCCACGGCAAATAATAATAATAGCCGTCCCTTTCCCCGGACAAGCTCAGCTTTTGGGGTTAAAATTCACTCGTAAGGAAGTGAATTAGGGAGAGTATTATTATTATTATTATTATTATAAGTGGATATAACGGTCTTTAAAATAGGCGCGATTTTTCGAGCACGACGGCGCAGCCGGAGTGCTCGAAATAGAGCAAGTGTTTTAAAGACCAGTTATCCATGAATACTTTACGCTATTTTTTTTTATTGCTATACTTTGAAATCCTAAATATTGGTATTATTTCTACAAAAAAATGGAAATAAGAACTAATAACTGAAAATGGTTGAATTTGTGATGTAACATCAGTATACTTCGTTGTCATGAAAATGAGACAAACAAAAATTTATTTTCAATCTGTCACGTAAGATTAATTGTCGCAACAGTTGTTATTGTTTACAAGTATTAGAAATTAAAAATTTAAAAAACCGACTTCAAAAACGTGCAGATGCCATCACCACATCTTAACTAAATTTATATGGGACCACCCCTGAGGTACCCCCTTACGAACAAAAAAAAGAATCATATAAATCGGACAAGGTGGTAAAGCATTATCGCTAAACATACATAAAAAATGAAGAGTTTGAGGATTTTCTCATGGACCCAATTATTAGATTTTAACCAAATTTATATGGGACCACCCCTGAAGTAGCCCCTTTCCAACAAAAAATTATTGAAATCGGACACCGTGTTACAGAATTATCGCTGAACATACATAAAAAAAAATATCGCGACGAATTGAAAACCTCTCCCTTTTTTGAAGTCGGTTAATAATTAACACAAATTGTAATGATGAGTTTAAAATTTATCAAAAAACTTAGTAACAAATATAATAATTAAAAAAGTACTAAATTAAATTTTAGGAAGCAAATATTGTAATATTGTTTAATTATCGGAGATAAGATAATATTTTTACTAATAATGGTCAATTAACCATGGGTTATTTTTCAAAATTATTTTGTTTACTTTTTAAAAAGCCACGTTTGTATGGCCCCTATCAAAATTATTTTAAAGTGTACTGTTTTCCACTAATTAACTAAACGAAAATTTCCAGAGTTATTAGGAAAGTAAATAAATTACTCATTTTATCTATATACTCGTATAATTACATGTAGGTATTAATTACGCCATTATTTTCGATATGTTACAAATTTATGCTATGGCCAATTTGCCAATTAGGAGTAGAGCTTCAGAATAATTATGATAATTGGAAACAGGTCAAATTCTAAATTGAAATTTTGAATCTAAGTTTTTCGTTTTCTTCGTTTTTTTTTCTTTCTTTTTTGCACGATTCCTTCACCATCTGTTGCTTTAATATCCCTCTCTTACTATTTAATCCCTCCTTGATTACTACCCCTTGTCAATCTTAAAATCCTCTATTACAATTCTATTTTTTTAACTTCCAAATGACCAACCAACAAACTGTGACCCTCCTGTTTTTAAAGTAATTTTACATTTCAAACACCTTACCATCCAAGCTTTGCTCTAAGAAAATACTTTTATATATATATATATATATATATATATATATATAAAATACCGATATAAATGTTACATTTAAGCTGAAATTGACATGTGTCTATAAGCATGCGCAGTATGTATAACATATTCAAAATTGATTTGAACAATAAAAAATCTGCTATTCTTCTGTTGAACATTAAAAAAGCATTTGACTGTGTCTGGTACAACGGCCTCCTATTTCAACTAAAACTTCTTAATGTGCCTGATGGTCTTATAATTCTTATCAAAAACTTCCTTCAATAAATTTTACGAACATTCAAGGTTTTCTATGATTTTCCAAGGATTTCTTTGATTTTCTACGAATATCCGACTGTCTGTCCCCTTTTCAACGTTTCGCTCTCCCTCTTCAGTTTCAGCAGTGGTGTCTTCTTCTTCTTATTCTTCTTCATCATCATCTTAGGTCTTCACTGCTCTATGTATGATTTCTAAGTATTCTTGAGTGCTCCTCCAAAGTTTAGGCCTTTTTGGCTGCCCCCTTCCTATCATTTTGACAGCTGCATCGACATTGAGACTTGGCATATGACACGTGGCGCTATCTCATGATGCCTTTTGGAAGTAGCGAGCAGCCATCTTGGATTGCTTAACCGAGACGCAAACCGCTGACTTAGCCGAGTCGCCCCCACTGACAGGTGGCGTGGCGTCTCCACTCCCCCATCCCCCTGATCGCCATCCTGAGGTAGCAGATGTCAGGTTAGATCGCTGAGTAATTCCCCACACTCCCCCGTTTTCCCACCGAGAAACACGCTTAGGTCCTTAGGGTTACTGAGTCTAATTTTGTTCTTCAACGTTTTCGAGTTCTTTACATAATTCCGTTTGAATCGGACCACTAATAACTGAGAAACACTTTAGGCCCTTTTGGCAATCGCATGATTTTTCCGTTCGGCGTTAATAGAGATTTAATTCCACCCACTCCTCCACCCACTCCCCCGTTAGTTAATAATAAGATTTTCGGCCCGTGACGTCATCGTAAAAAATGGCAAAATAAACCTTAGGTTAGATTATTGATATATGACACATGTAGGTTAGGTTACTTCGTGGCTATAAAATCTCTGGTTAGATTGGGAACACAAAAATGCTATTATTATTACTATTATTATTATTATTATTATTATTATTATTATTATTATTATTAGAAGATATGTGGATACTATTTCATACAAAGATATCCTCAGAACAAATTAAAACCTTGTGATTCTTTAATCAAATCGCATATTTAAGTCCCTAATTATTTATTTTTTCCTCAATTCTCTAAGCAAACATTAATTATTCTTTATTTTTTCCAGGTTGCTTAGCTGCATTGACAAACGGTTTGCTGACATCCTGGGCGTCTCCATTTCTACTAAAAATCACCAAAGATAAAATCAACTATGATATCACAGAAGAAGAAGCTTCGTATTTTACCATCATCCATCCAGCCGCCATGATGGTTACTTGCGTCATGTTCTCGTATTTATGCGACATCATTGGAAGAAAGAAAACTCTATTGTTGATTAGCATACCGCATTTATTGTCTTGGATATTAGCGGCATTTGCGAAAAGTGTTTATGTCTTTTATGCTTCAAGAATTTTCGCTGGAATATCAGATGGGTGTTTATTCGCAGCGTTGCCGATGTATATAGGAGAAGTTGCTAGTCCGAAAGTGAGGGGTACTTGGGGGAACGGTATGGTTTCAGCTATGTACTTAGGAGAATTTTTGATTCATATAATAGGTTGCTATTTTGGAGTAGCAGATACTTCCTACATATGCATCCCACTGACTGTTTTATTCTTTATCTTCTTCTCCTTCATGCCTGAATCTCCATACTTTTACATTATGAAAGGGAATCATGAGAAGGGTAAACAAGCATTGAGATTTCTAAAACGAAAACAAAATATTGACGATGATTATTTAGCTTTGACAAACGATGTTAAAAGACAGATGTCAGAATCTGGTAGTTGGAAAGATTTGTTTTGCATTAAAACGAATAGGAAAGCATTAATTTCAGCTGTATTCTTAAGATCGTCTCAACAACTTGGAGGAACTAGCGTCTTCATAATGAATACTGAATTTGTTTTTGAAAAAGCTAAAGGTGGAGTCAGCCCTGAAACTTCCTCTATGATCTATTTAGGGTTATGTTTCGTTTTAAATATTATAGTAATTGTTTTTGTGGTAGATAAATTAGGTAGACGACTATCTTATATATTATCATTATCACTATCTTCAATTCCTCTTTTAATATTAACGTTATACTTTTATTTCGATCAATTTCACCCAGAGTTAGGAATTGGTGATAACAATTGGATTCCTATAGCTGCAATGATAGTATATCAACTATTTAATTCATTTGGAATGGCAGTTATTCCTACTTTGATGATAGGAGAGTTATTCTCCACTAGTATCAAATCAAAAGCTATGACAATGTTGATTATGGATTTCGGTTTGATGATATTTTTGACCAATAATATTCTGTTTAATTTAGACCGATACGTTGGTTTATATGGACCATTTCTATTCTTCGCTTTGTCGAACATTATTTCTGTCATTTTGGCATTCTTTTTGATACCGGAAACTAGAGGAAAGACGTTAGAAGAAATTCAGCAGTCATTGAAACTTGGGAAAATTAAATAGACGTGATTGACAGGAAACAAGTATCCGACCAATGCTGGGTCAAAGGTCTTTCATTTTTCGTACATTGAAGAGCTGGCACTACCAAAGATTTTATATTCAGAGTTGTATTTTGGAACAATATAAAAGAAGAAGAATTATATGTAAAAGTTGTTATGTTTAAATAATAACAGTAGACATTATGGTTAATGTTATGTTTCTTATAGAAATAGATTTATTTATTTATTTTATTTTTGTTTTGTTTTTATTTATTATCCTATAAACCTTCTCCTATTCGTCTTTCAAGTTGTAATCATGGAATTTCCTACTAGTTTTTTCTCACATGTTCAAAATTTGTATTTATATTGTTATTTGTATAAAGTAAAGTCAGAAATTTGCAACCGAGGCATAGCCGAGACCAAATAACTTCTCGTTAGAGTAAGTCATATTACCAGAAGGTGTAGATTGTATGTTAGATGTGGATCAACCAAAGATCAATCAAAGATATGCGGTGAACTTTAATCAGTAAGCCGTGTCCATAGAAAGCTAAATTAGTTGACATGGGTATAGTTGTAACAGACCAAGAACTTCTTAAAGTTTTAATTGATGCAAACGTTGCTGGTGGTTATTAATCAGTAGAATTATCTTGTGGTTTGACTGCTGTTGATAAGCTTTTAGGATGAACCTTAATGGGTAAGTACCAAGCACCAGGAGCAGGGCCCCCGCAACATATCGAAAATATATTCTCTATAGAGTCGACCATCCCAACAAAGACGGCTACAAGTGACACTTCTAACGATGAAGTTTCTACTAAACCGGTGACTGAGAATACTAGTATTCTTACATCAGAGGACCCCGGTTTATGGCCCAGAAGCATTACCAATGACGAAGTCAGAATATTGGTTGAGCGCGGTCCTCCTTTGATAGGAAACAATTATCAATTTCCAAAGACAAAAGAAAATTTTCAAGTAAGTACTTTGTCAGAAAACTAGGAAATGGAGAAGAAGCAAATAGAATTTGGCTCATTTACTCAGTTTCGAAAAAAATCGATATTTTGTTTTTGTTGTAAAATTTTCAGTAATATTTTCAATAGTTTTTCTGATACTCATGGTTTTTCTGATTGGCAAAGACATGAAACATCGTTTGTACATAATGTTCACATGAATACATGGATGAATTTAAAAAAAAAATATTAAAACTATCCACAACCGTAAACGATCATCACTTACGGGTTTTAGAAACTGAAAAAAAAAAAAATATTGGCATGACTTTCTGGAAAGAACTGAACTGAAGGTCTACTACTAAAAATACTCATTTATAATATTCACATCAGATACATAATAAAATATCTGAATCCAGGAGTCAGTGATCAGTTTTAAACTCGACAAGAGCACCATCTATTGTTTAGTGGAAAAAATTGGTTTTTCTAAATAACAAACTGTAATATAGTGCTAAAAATATATTTATATTGCAACTAGTGACACTTTAGAACAAAGCGAAGACGTTTTTATTAATTTTGTAACTATAGTCTTTTTAAAAATCCTATTATTATATGTAATACTACTAAGTACATCGCCGAAAGATGTCTCTCTATGCCGCTATTATGTCAAGTTATACTTTTTCTTTAAAAGATCATATAATAATATATACTTACAACACTACTAAGTTGTCCATTAATGGAAAAGCATCTGCAGTTAGACTGGTGATCAAGTTGCTGCCGATGTTCCTGAAAAATATACTCATTAACATTGATCACTTATTACCTACATTTATATTCCAGATAATAAAAATATGTATATATTTATGGAAATAGATGAAATTATGTTATATCATGGTCATAAAAATAACTAATAAAAGCATTTAAAAGACTAGATATAGAAACAGGAAAATTTGTAATGGCATTTAATGAAAAACAAAAAAAAAAGAGAATTAATAAATAACTAAAATAAGAAGAACCTTTAAAAACATAAATCCACAAGATGTAATAGGGCAAAGACACATTGAAGATAGAAAATATTATTGAAAAAATGTAAAAATATTATTTAAAATACATAAGACTCCAATAAAATGAACCTTCACGTATGGAAACTGCCGTAAAACTCAAAAAAAAAAAAAAAGAGTAGAAGCTACTTTAGAGAAAGATTATGATAACTGAAAGGATCAAACATAAAAAATAAAAGGAGAAAGTCAGAAATAAATATAGAATAAATATTTGAACTTGGATGGTTTCTGAGTAACAAAACCCTTATATAAATAATTTCACACTTCGATTTCCATAAATATATACAACAACTGCAGGCTACAAAATTTTATATTCTACTATATCAGCACAGATAAAAAATGTATAAATTTTGCTACTTCCGAATTTTATCAAATTTTCTGTATGTTTTGTTTGTGAATGCCAATTATGTAATTTGGAGCCAATAGAGTAAACTGTGTACTGATGCTGTAAAAATGATAGATATGTACAAATGTTTTTAATATTAGTGTTAGTGTAAATTAATGTTAGTTCTAAATTACCAGATCCAACTAAAGCCACTAAAAAAGCAATAATTATATTTCTTCATGCAGTTTTCATTTATACAAGTGTTATTTGGTATTGTGTTATCATTATCTAGTCGTTAATTTTACTATTATAAGGGTAAGTTTTAAATAATGTGTTCGAAAAATATTTTGATTTCCTTTAGGATAAAAAATCTCAGATGATTTAGTTCAAGGTGGTTTAATTCTAGCTAAAACATTGGCAAAAATAGATAAAGTAGAAGCCGAAATTGCCAAGTTTTCCAAAATAGACTTCACAGTCGATAAGAACTCCTAGAGGTCTTTTGCTAATAAAGAATGAGAAAGAAACAGTCCAAATTTTCGAGAAGGTACTCTCAGAAACAGCGTAATAAGATGAATGAAAGAAAAAGATAAGAAAATAAAGAAAAGATAAACAGTAATGCCAAAAGACATAGAACAGACAAGCCTAAAATGCATATAATGACAGAAAAACCACTGCTTGTCTTACTAAAGTAGGCAAGAGGTATCATTATCATCAACTTCAATAAGACAAATCATACAAAGCTATTATTAAAGGTTTACCAAAGCACAGACTGGTGAATGAAATCACTGATGAACTCTCACGTCAAAACGTACAGTTTTGATCTAAGGGCAAGATTTAATTAGCTCACCATTTGATAAAAGAGGAGATGCCAGATATGAATCAGATAGAGCACTTCACGTTGAGTTTTAGACTGAATCGTTGGACTGTACAGTTCAAATTTCACAAAAATTGTAGCACAAGGTGTCCCTTTTAGACACAGGAATATACCCAATCAAGGTACCAATGATCAAGTGTGGAAGAGGCAGCAGGAAACTACCACTGCTTCTTAAAGAAGGAGAAAGTTCTTATGATGGAATTTAACAGATGCCAAGGAATAGTGGTAAAGGTAGAATCACAATGACCACCAATAGGACTAACCCGATTTAATAGATCTTAAGGCTTCCATCATGCATAGTCCAACTATCGCTTCAATGCATCTCTGTTAAATGACGATAGTTTCATGCCCTTTCATGCTCTTTTGGAAGAAATGGCAAACAAATTATTTGGTCTTGTTTTTAAGGAACCTGCAAAAAATAAACAGATGAGATGAATAGTAGTGCAGCAGGTTTTGATTGTAGTATATCAGTATGTGAACTTTCTCAACTTGGGCCTCATAAAATGGGTACCTAATCAGTGAAGATGATGATGAATAGTTCAAAACCTTTACAGCTTTTCCAAAATATAATGGACTAAGAATGTTTTTTTCGTGATACTCAGAGACAATAAATAAAACAATATGAAAATATTGAACATTTAAGATAATGAACACTTTTGGGGAATTCATATAAATATTTTTAATTAATACTTAGTATACCAAAAAGTACGATTATATGTTAGTATTAAAAATGGTTAAATTTACAAAATTACTTCGCTGAAAATTTGAAATTTGGGGTCTCAAATAATCTAGTATTTAAAAGTGTTATTGGGTCTTTTATATGTATACTATAATAGAAAATGTTTCAGAAAAAATTGGAAGTAAATATTCAGAAAAATCATTTAAATCGGTTAATTTTAGTAAAATTGTAGGTCAATGTAGTTTTATCAAATAGTATATATTAATGAATGAAATAAAGATGTCTGAAAGATAGTTTTACTTTTAGTTTTATTCAATCATTTCATTATAACTAAATGCATATAATTCACTTGCACCAAAAGTCACCACTAGATGGCGCTTGGATAAGTGATAAGCGACTCAAGATGACAGCCATCGTTTACGTGAATGAGTATAGATTAATGTTAAAGAAGAAAATTATGCGCAGTCGTGATGCCAAAAGGATTTTTTTTATCTACTCGATAAATCGCTTTAGAATTTCTCGTATGCCCTCAAAACTAGGGTTGCCAGATGTCACGCTTTTGACGTATTTGACAAAAATGTCACGCTTTTAACAAAAATGCCACTCTTTTTATGCAAATACCACGCTTTTTAATATAAAGCCGTAGAGGAACCAGATTTATACAAAAGTAGACAAATCTCCGGGTAAATGACCCTCGTTTTTACGAAAAATAAGCTGAGGACCTTTTTTTTTAGAAATTTCACAAAAAATGGACCTGATTATATAAAAATGCTTAGTATTTGAACCTAATGCTCTGTCGTCACGGTAGCCACGCTTTTCACTGGCAACCCTACTCATAACCCATTGTTATTATTATTACAAATAACTTTCCACCATTAAAATTATCAGCAATAATTGGCATATTTCTGAAAAACTGTACTCATACGCTGTAACATTAATTAATTAAATATGGATTGAACGAAAAGATATTGGACACCAATACTTTTTAAATGTCCACACTAGCACTTTACTCTCCCGAGTGAACTACATTTAAAAAGCATTGGTGTCCAAGATCCTAAGAAAAATTGGGAGGGCAAACATACATTTTCCAGAAGGTTAGATTAGAGGGCATATGAAAGGTTCTAAAGCGATTTAAAAAGTAAAAAATCCTTTTGGTATTACCATTGCACCATTAAAATTAATTTATACTTATTAACGTAAACGATGGCCGCCATCTTAGATCGCTTTGTCGATTCGCAAACCACTTATCCAAGTTTTAATCCTTAACATTAACAGGTGGCGCCATCTCGTGGTGATTTTTAGTACAAGTGATCAGGAGCCCTGTTGCTTATCTACTCATTCTTAATCAAGGTAAAAATGTATTAAATAGGTACTCCTGTTTTTACAGATATATTTAGACATTTATTGTAGAAAGAATTTAATTTAGATATCACTCAATAAAAATTAAATGCAATATATTTAATAAAATATGCAAATTTACAATTTCTACTATCACAATTTTTATAAGCCTTTAATTTGAGGTACTTTTTTTCTGAAAGATACTGTATTAAATTTCTACGATTTTCTAGAAAAGTAAGAGAATATTCTTATCCATCTATAAGTCAGCTATAAGCAATTATACAAAAAATTCATTTTTCTATTAAAAATACTTTTTACAGCGTATATTTTGGTAATGCAAGATTACAATTATTAGCATAATATACAACAACTACATTCATGCTGGGTCCTGAGATACTCACAGGACCTCGAGGTGCGCAAGAAGGGCTAGCGCCTCTGTCGGTACGATGCGCAGTCGATTGCCGTCGAGACGCAAGCTGCGCAGCGTCGTTGCCACGTGTCGGAAAGTGTCTTTATCCATATGCCATATTTCATTACTGCCAACTTGCCTGGCCCAACAAGTACAAGTCAACACACAAGTGAAAGAAGAACATTAATCATGCTTTTAGAAAACGGTGAATATATATTTTGTGTAAGTAGTACCGAATGATAACAAATGTACAGTGTGTATCAAATAGATGTATAGTAAATTTAGCCATAATTTCTGGGGTCGAAAATAATTCAATTTAAACTAACTTGCCCCAGGGTGGGCCTTTGAAAACTTACAATGGCTATATTTTTTATTAAAAAAAGATATCAAAAAAATATAAAATACCATTTTTTTTATTATAAGGGGAAATCCAAATGACATATTTTTCAAACTACCCATAATAACGTAAAATCTTAAAATACAATACCCTACTTTGGAAAGATTTTTAAACATCGTTTTCACTAGTCATAAAAATGTAGTGTCATCTCCATTATACTTTGGTTACGAGACAGTGGCTGAATATATTTTATTCACGACATTGAATTGGCAGAAGGGGTAGCAATCGAGTGGTCACCAAGGTCTCCCGATTTTACTCCAATTAACTTTTTTCTTTAGGGTTACATTAAATCTTTAGTGCATAAAATTCAGCCAGATTCCTTGGATGAATTGTGTGTCAAAATATTCCAAAATGTTAGACAAGGATTTAAAAATCGTCTTTACTTCTATTTCGAACAAAATGGCTGTCATTTTGAATGTTTATTGTAATTTTTTTTTATTTTTAATTTGTTTATGTTCACATAAAAGTTTTCTTGAATTTAAGGTTAGTTTTTGAGTTCACTCTATATGATTTTCTATGATTTTCTGATTTTCTATGATTTTCTATGATTTTCTATGATTTTCTATGATTTTCTATGATTTTCTATGATTTTCTATGATTTTCTATGATTTCCTATGATTTTCTATGATTTTCTATGATTTTCTATGATTTTCTATGATTTTCTATGATTTTCTATGATTTTCTATGATTTTCTATGATTTTCTATGATTTTCTATGATTTTCTATGATTTTCTATGATTTTCTATGATTTTCTATGATTTTCTATGATTTTCTATGATTTTCTATGATTTTCTATGATTTTCTATGATTTTCTATGATTTTCTATGATTTTCTATGATTGATTTTTTATGATTGATTTTCTATGACTTTCTACGACCAGTAAAAAGTATGTTTAATAAGATTGCCAGTATGGTTTGGATTTAAGGGGGTAATGGGGGTAGTTTGAAGAATATTTCATTTGGATTCTTCTAGGTTTTAAAAATCAGGTATTTTTATATTTTTTTGATATCTCTTTTTAATAAAAAAATATAGCCATTGTAAGTTTTCAAAGTTTCACCCTATATATTAGATATAAAAACGAATGATTATTAATAAAACTGTTTTATTCATGACACTGTTATAATTCGGTACATATTTAAAATCAAATCATGCTTAAAAATGTTCTTACACCTATTTATTATAAATACTTTGATGCAAATTACAAAAAAAATATATTGAAAACCAGTTGGTCTTGTTAGCTTTTATTATTATATAAAATATTTATTAACTACCACATCACAAGTTCAGAAACAAATTTTTCTGACAGTTTGATTCCTAATTTTAATGTTTCAATAATGTTTAAAAGATTAAAATAAAAATATGCATCAAAAAATTTAGAATATTTATTTTCGTGACAAAATATCATATTCTAAGTATATATTAAATTAAATAAAAAAAAAATATGTATGGGAAAAAATATTGTCAAAAATATATACTTGTAATATGATTAATTTAAAACACACTCAAAATCAAAAGTAATGAAAGTTACATACTTAAAGAGCATAATATGGTAACAATAGTAAAAGAATACAAAACGTATTTCTCATTGTTATTTTACTATGGCATTTATTTAGAAAGTTTAGTAAAAATACACATTGTTGTTGGTGTCATTAACGTTTATGAGCGTACTGAAATTTATCTAGCAGTCGTGACCAACCCATTTCAGATCAAGATTCCTCGACCAACCTCTTCATCGTGGTTCCAAGGTTCCATCATGGCAGGTGTTCCTTCTTCCATGGTTTCTTTAAACCGTGATACTATAATGGTTTCACTTCTACCAGGTACCACCGTGTCCTTCTGTACAGCTACTGGCACCATACTGTTCCCATATAAACAAAGGATTACCTCTTCGTCACCAACTTTGCTTACTCTGTTCTTAAAATCCAACTAGAAATCATTATACTCCTAATACAACATCTTCTTAGATATCAGCGACAATAACAGTATGAGTGAACTTTTCTAATTAGACCTGGATTTTCCCATGGATGTTAGCACTTTCACTTGTGGCAGTCCACAGTAGCAACCTTGATGGCTGCTGGTCGTATAAGGTCTGTTCAGGTTCTTCACAAAAACATTGAGAACCATCAGAGGACTAGTTCACCAGTGGACAGTTTAATAGTTGTATGCGACGAATACTTTGGAATTGAACTGTTCCACTGGTTCTCGGGCGGTTTGCATCGAGTTTTAAAGAAACCCAAACAAACCTATAATGGTCCTAGTTGCTCCAGTATCCATCAACAGTGTATACTTTTTACCATTTACTTCGGGTACACTATCATCGCTATTATATGGAATGGTTTTGAGTCGAACCTGCCACCTCTACGCCAACCTGCTTTAGTTTTCTTGCGGTATGATATTTTCATTTGTTGTGACCCTACGGCATTTGCCAGGTCACTGCAATTTCAACACCTGATGGTCTTCGTCTTCATCTTTTATCAGTAAAGTTCTTCATTATGTCAACCAGTTGGTCAAGTCTTCTTCTTTTACAGTCCTCAGTAGCTGCCTCATACTCTAAAGCAGGGCTAAACACAGTGTTTTCTGCATTTCGTAGTCACGAAGTCTATCAATAAATGTTTGGACTGCCAAACATTCCATCATATTTTTTGTGTTAAATGGATTTCTTTTCCTATGAAGACCTCTTATCTATGAAAACCTATTACCACATAATTTATCATCTCCTCGACCATTATTTGATTTTCTCACGAATTTTACTAAACTTTTAAATAATTTTTGCTTAATATTGATGGAAAAATTATTTTGCTACCATAAGCTCTTTTTGAAAGCACAGATCTTAAAACTGTTTTAGGTTCGACAAAAAAATGTAATCGAAATATCTCACGTCAAAACTGAAGATTTTTCAATCAAAATATTAGTAAATAAGTTAGTTACATTGTAGATGTACGTAAAATGGTGTCGAAGAATGTTTATGTTGATGAAAAAGTACATGTATGTAACTTAAGTAACAATACGTTAGTGTGGAGTATTTCCAAATGATCAAACTTAGTATGACATTTATTTTATACACGGTATCAATATAGTTAGAATAAAAATAAACCCTATAGTGTTCTTGCAAAAATAACCCTTCTACATAGTATCTTTATTTGCCATTATAAAACTCCTATGTGCCAGAGTTTTTTCAGTTTCTTCAACTGAAAAATGTACGGCAACATCAATGGCATCTGTCATAATATATAAATTTACTTTCCAGCAGTTGTTTGAAGCAACAGATTTGTTTTCTTTAAATGACCTTATTTCTCTCAATCCATTTATAAAAAACAATATATCTCTTATCTATATCTGGAGCTATATGGTGGCCAAGAGCTTTTTTCAACTATATATGAAAAATATTCTTTCAAAAGATCTTCATTTTCCTCTTTGGAAATATGGTTCCTTTCGAAGGCATTTTCTGTCACTTTTGGTAAAACTTGTAGCTCCAGTTCTTGGATTTATTTACACTTCCATGTTTGTTAATATAAACACATAATCTCTACATCTGTAGATCGCGCTGGCCAACCAAAATTTCGAGATTATTTCTATTTCTAAACTTTGTCTTACCAAGCAGCATCATTGCAGCTGGGTATGAATGTGGTTGCCACCATGTCTTATGTCTATTTGCTATAGCATTTTATTCAGGGATGAATCGGTTTTTAAAAATGGTGCTTGTGTAAAAACAATCAATCACAGGTACCTATTTTGCATATTGAATTTCCATGCAAACATGGAATAGAAGACACCATCTGCTGGTGGATAGAAGACATCTTACGAGGACGGCTAGTACAGGCACAAATGTTCAGTGAAACTATGCAGGTGAATATCCACAGGGGATACCGACAAGTTGCCACTGACACAGTCATCCTTATCTGAGGGAAACACCAAACCACAGTCTTCGAACTCTTGCAAAGAGCTCTTAGGCTGACAGAAATGTGGTGCGTTAGGGAAAACCTGTTGGTAAACCCTGACAAGGCACAACTCATAACCTTTACTCGGAAAACAAGGTTAGAGGTCTTAGAAACTCCGACTCTATTTGGAGGAAGGCTAAACAAAACGAACCAAGTAAAATATGTGGGTCTAATCCTAGATAGCAAACTTGGAACCAACACTTACAAAAAGTGACCAACAAATGTAAAATGATTCTCATTGTAGGGAGACGGATATATGGAAAAACATGGGGATTAAACCCAAAAATGGACCACTGGCTATATTTAGCAATAACAAGACCAATAATAACTTATGGAGCGATTGTTTGGTGGCCAAAAGTAAACCAGAAAACAGCCCTCAATACCCTCTCAGGAGTTCAGAGGCTGGCATGCCTTTGTATTATTAAATAATAAAAGATTGTGAATACTAAAATGACTTGTGGCCCATCCTTAGATATTTCCAAATCATTGGTTGTTATCGCTTGCTGTGGACATCTGTTTTCCAACTTTTTTGGCCTGCTGCTTACATTTTTAGAAATAACTTTCCATCGAGTACTTTTGAGTATTATCCAAGGGGCGACAGTTGTTCCTCAAAGCTCCCTAAATTTTCCTGGGATGAAAAATGGCCCCATTAGCTCTATTCATCGCATACCGTTGGACCGTACCGTCCGTTGGGAATCACCGATTTAAATCTAAGAATATATAACACTAAAAATCAAAATTCTAAAATATGACATTATATAAACAATATTTGGCGAAGACAAATTTTTTTTTCAATAAGTTTTTCTAAATGTCATACATAGTTTGTCTTGATGTATACTGTATAGTGAACATTTTATATTGGCAATAAACAAATACAGAAAATAAAAATGCTGAAAATAAAAATAATTATTAAAAATTGTGTAATGTAAAAATAAATAAACAAGAGTGACTTAGAATTATTATGAAGTTATTCATCTCTGAGTAACTACTTGCTGATTAAACTATAGGGATATTCTTCGTTAACCTGTCAAGTAAAACTACATGTAATTATACGCAATGGATAAAAGATCGGCTCTAAATATGATATCTAATGATTATTTATATACCACACTATTAGGAATTTCAACCTGTCCAAATGGCTGCTTGTTGGCTTTGACAGTTATATAGATTTCTCAAAGAGAGTCGCTTATTAATCAGAATCAGTTTAGCAAAAATGTCAATAATTTGTTAAATGTCTATTTAGCAATGGTCAATTACTAGTTCTTGATTCAAAATTAAAGTAAAATAAAGCAAGCAGTTCTGGATAATGTATTAACCCATTTAAAAACTAATGTAAATCCGCATCATGCCTTCGTTTTTCATGAGAGAAAAAATTATTAATTCCGGAAAATTGACGATAGTATATAGCCAGTTCGTTCCCAGATTATGAGCATAATGTCCAAAAACCTCCTCTATACATCTAAATCACATAATATTTTCTAGGTATAACATGTGTGTTATAAGAATTTTTTATATAAGACTCAAAGCTTTATCCGAAATCGTATAAACATAAGTATCAAAAGTGGTAATAAAAAAAATTGGTAATTGGAGTATCTATCTTCAAGAAAATATATGGAAATCCCAGAAGAACCGAAAATGTATATGTGCTACATATATTTAAATGGCAACATGTATGTAATCAAATTGAATTAATGTTATTTTAATACTAGATACTAGAAAAATTGACAGATATTCTATATTAAAACCTTCTTCTACTTTGCTGAATTAATCTGATTTTTCTTACAGATTAACTACTTGCTCATTAAAAAACTTTTAACATATTTTTAAAGATGATGATGAACCTCCAAAATAATATGAGCCATAAATATTTATTGCATCACCGTTTTTGTAGTGGCCATATTGGGTAAATATTCCACTAAGCGGCTGTGATAGGAAGCACTATCGCTGCATTTGGCTCGATCCGTGAAAGTAGGATTTCAAACCAACCTTTATTCTAATAAATCTACTCCATTTCCTTACCTAGAATTAGATTTGTTTCAACACACACGAAAACCGTAATATTACCGTACAAATCATGCGCTCTACGCAACATTTGTATACAGCGCACGATTTATACGGTAATATTCCGGTTTTTGCACGTGTTGGAACAAACCTATAAAAAATTAGTTCCGTTTTTAAGGCCACAGTACCACCCCCAATATTTGTAACATGAAGTAATTTTGATAGATGTCATTTATGTGTCATAAATTAAGAATCTTTTTGTTCAACAGATGGAGTAATATTCCATATTTAATAGTTCTTTTGTTCAACAGATGGCGTAATAATTTTATTAATTCTAAACAGTAACTGTTATAAAATAACAAATTCATCACCTCTAGCCACTACGCGATGATAAGTAAACGAGTTCTTGACCGTGACAAATATTTTAATAAAAGTTTTAGATTAGATTCGGCACATCGGTATATTAACTTAGTAGTTCATTCTTGTGTCCAGTCAACAAAGGACAAAGGTCTTCGTATCATTACGTAGGGACCTATTATACTATACAAGGCGTTTCGTTAAGAATGGGACATAGAAAAACTGACGATTCTCTGATTAAAAATAAGAACTAAACAAATCATGCTTAGATAAAATGTTTCTCCCAAAGAACCAAATAAAAAAAAAATATAATAAAAAAGTGTTTTTATTACCTTATTTACCTACAATACTTTATTTAGATCTGCATCAGTAAAAATTATTTTAAAAAAATTTAATCTCATTTATATGTAAGTTGGCGGCATACGGAAAACTTTTTTAAGAATTTTAAGAAAAAAAGTTATTTTTCATAAACAATTGCATGGTCAATTAATTTTAGAAAAAAAGTTACTTTATATAAAAAGTTATGCATGGTCTAAATCCTAAAATTCAATCATCTGATATCAAATTTTATCAGTCGTATACAGGGTTTGTCGAAAATAAATTTTATTTTGAGCAATATCATATTTTTTGATAAACCTTGTAAAACCGACTGATAAAATTTGAGATCGGGTGGTTGCATTTTCTGTTGCATAAATTATTATGAAGAATAACTTTTTTTCGTAAAATGAATAATAAAAAAGTTTTCTATATGCTGTCAACTTACATAGACATACTGTATGTACAAAGTACATATTACTGAGATAATGTTTTTGTAAGAAAAAAGAAATTATTCATTTTACTTCATTTGTAGAGTCGTAATTTATGTTTTTATATTTTCACTTTTTTTTATCAATTCAGAATTACAGTACTATTTTCAATTATTAATAAAAATTACGTGTGTATTTTAGATTAATAAGAAAAATAAGCATTTTTGAAATATTAATAACTAAATACTAATTAAACAACAAATGAATAGAAAAACATTTTAAACACGTTGACTGCCGAAGCAAATGTTGTGGTCGAATCTGTTGAGCCGAAGTAGTTTTTCTAAAAATTTAAGTCTGTTTTTACGTTTTAAGAGTAAAGTAGTTTAAGTAAACTACAATATCTAATAGAAGCGTGAATAAAATATATAAACGCGGCGCGGGATTAAATTATTACAAACATATGCCGCGTGCATATATTCTGAATAATATATTCAGGTTGTCCCATTAGTGCGTAATTGTTCAATATTTCAATTTGTGTTATAGATACGTAAACAATTTCTAAATAAAAGTTATATGAATTTCAAAAATAGGTATTTTAAAGATATTTTTAGACATACAGGGTTTTGCGTTTTTGTCTGACAAATTAAAGGTATATTTTTAAAATCTTGCATGAAAAATACAGTGATACTACGGCATTAAACGGTTGAAACAATTTTATATATAAAAAATTAAGAATTCTGGTCACAAAATAAAAAATATTTTCTTTTATATATTTTTGTTATCAGTTTGTATTTTTTTTTTTTTTTTAATTAAAACGAATTATAACAATAATTTAGGAAAAATATTTTTTTATTTTGGATTAGTTGTTTGCGCAGCTTTTTCAAAATAAAACACGCCTAAAAAATTGTAAGCCAGGTAGATCATCAGGCCAACAAATTGGACATGAATTTTTAACTTCTAATAAATTTACTCTATTTCCTTACCTAAAACTATTTCGTATGAAATCGCGCGAAAACCGTATTATTACCCTCCAAATCATGCGCTCTATACAAAATTTGTATAGAGCGCATGATTTGTACGGTAATATTATGGTTTTCGGACGTGCGGGAATAAACCTATAAAAAATAAGTAGTTCCGTTTTTAATCCATAAGTATCGTATCATTTTCCGATACCAGATAAAATTTTAACTATTAATTATTTGAAAATTTCTGATATATTGGCATTTTCATTTCGATTACAGTCATGCGGATATTTAAAAATATTTTCTGACCTTTTATCGTATTTTGTGATAAGTATAATTATTAATAAATTTCATTTCACTTTTGTACAAGCAGTGTTAAACAACAGTAAGGTAAGTTTGTAATAAATATATAGATATCGTAAGAAAGGTAGATATTTGTACAATCTTATTTTGTGTCAATACCTCTTTCATTAATCATTTTGGATCCATAAAAAAAACGCTGTGAAACTTTGTTGATGTATTATTGTAATTTTATTAATTATTAATTTATTATTTTATTATTTTTATCAATTCTAAAAGTTGTGATATTTTTTTTAGAATTTTTATTTAGCAATACATTTCTATACAAGATGTTTAAAAAAAAATAACGACTGATATGGTTGATAAAACTCTTAAAAATAAGTATTTTTTCATTGAGATTTTGCCTTTAGAAAGTAGATCAATTTGTCACAGATGAAGATCATTAAGTAAACAAGTATGATCTTTTAAATAAACATTGCAAATAATGTAGGATTCTATCTATGAAGCCTTAGTATTAATATAAATTTCTTAACCCCTTTTTTTTAACATTTTTCTGCACCTTTTTGGTTTATTCTGGATCCAAAAGTGCCTAAAACAGTTTTACCAGCTCAACAACTTAATTTCTTATATTTGTTGGTAAAGAATTTAATGTGTTTCGAAACCACTTGTATAACAATTATATAAAATATTTTATTTTTCTCTATTTTTTTAGGTATCTATGAATATTCGAGAAAATACGTAAAAATTCAAATGAATCAAAAATGCAATTGATGTCGTAAATATTTTTAATTATATCTGAAGAAATTTAGCAAAGGTAACATGATGAGAGGGTTAAGAAAAAAAGATGAACTATTGGAACAAAATGAAGTTGAAAAACCGTGGCCACAAATTCTTGCAATCTTGATTGGTAAGTACCAATGACCAAATTTTAAAACTTTTAGAATAAGTTTATTTATTTCTTTTACCATAGGTAACCAAATTTAAAGAGATAAAAAATAGTAATTTTTTCTCTGTTATATAGAAATTATATACAGGGTGACACATCCTATACGCGTCGATCTCTGTAGGGAAAACGACTTAAAATTTGAATTTTTTTTAATAGGGATATACAAAAACTGCAAATTAAAAATAATTTGGATTATACAGGGGTTACTATTTAAAAAAATTGTCAATGACGTCACTGCCCAAAAATGGAAAGTGGGGGAAAATTGAATTTTATTTAAAAAATCGCGCTTTAAGTAAACAAAATTGACCTGTCAGAGCATTTTTTCGAAAAACCAACTACTTCCATTATATTGAATTTATTCGTTTTATTTGAACCATACTGTATATCACTATCTTAAGACAAGAATACCTATTTTAAGTAAAAAAGGATAACATTTATTATTTGTGAGTTAAAAATAGTTAAACAGTGGCGTACGCAAAAGTTGTGGCAATATTTTCCTTTGCCTACCCCTAATTGATGCGCTTCTGAATAAAATTTAAAACTTTATACAGGGTCATTCAATATGGGCGGAACGGGTCATTCTATATGGGCGGAACATTTGATTTATGGCTTAACTAGTACTTGTACGATAATTTGACTTAGATAAAAGTTTTTGTACATTTTATGTACTATTTATTGACGTTTACAGATTTGCTGCATACGTAATGGTTTTCAAGATATGACGTCATCGGGCAATAATTTAAATAAGTCTGGGACCCACTTAATGTACCATTGATGAAATCAGACAGATCATACGAACTCGAAAAAAAATATAAATACAGGGAGATCCATTTAAAATATTGCCCGATGACATCATATCTTGAAAATCATTATGTATGCAGGAAATCTGTAAACGTCAATAAATAGTACATAAAATGTGCAAAAACTTTTATCTAAGTCAAATTATCGTACAAGTCATAGTTAAGGCATAAATCAAGTGTTCCGCCCATATAGAATGACCCGGTATATGTTTGTTACATTGGTAATAAAACGCCACAAAATTGTACTTTTTTATCACTCGAAAATAATAAAGAAAAAATCCTCTTTAACGTTTCAATTTTAACACCCTGTATATTCGAAACAAAGCAACAATATGAGTAAAAGTTTCAGTTTTGAGTTACTCTCAAAAAACTGTATAAACTGCATTGCAAAATTAACCGGACACTAAGTGTATTTTAAATAAAATTAAAAAGTATTAGAAAAACTACCAATTTTTTTTTATTGTGTATTCAATAATAAACCCTAAAATAAAAAACAAGTTCCAAAATATTGATTAATTTAACAACAAATAAAAATTTATAATAATACACAATTAGGGGGTGGGTTGGCTCAGTGGTTAGAGTCATGACTTTGAGATCGGAAGGTCTCAGGTTCGAATCCCACCGTTGGCCGGGATTTTTTCATTTAATTTAATTATTTAAAATTAATTCTGATGCCTTGGTAGGATTCCCCACTCGACCATTCACTGTTGGGTTCTAATTAACAGTGCTGTTCCTAAAGTGGCGCTGGGAAACAGTAACAAAGCCTACACAGAACACGAGGCTAATTTTTTTGATTGAAATCATAAAATAATTTCAAGATTTTGATATCAAAATCGAGTATTCCCTCCCCGAGCTCGAATAACAGCTCTCATCCTTTCTGGCATAGACTAGACCACTTTTCTTTCCCGAAAAAGCAGCCAACCACACACCAAAAAGGAATAAAATTAATGTTTTCTACTAGCGTGCGGAAAAGTCCACTTTTCCGCACTCATTTTAGTGTTAAAAGAGTCACTTTGCCGCACTTGTTAGGTAAACTACTATAACAAGCATTATTTTGTAAGTAAATATTTCTTTTCAGTCACAAAAAATAACAAACTTTTAAAAAACGAATGGATAAAGGCAACTTATATTTTGATAAATATGTTTAATTATTATACACAGCAATTCAACAAAACTAAAAGGAGAAAACTTTAAAATTTCACGTGTACGGTTAATTTTGCGGTGCAGTGTATATGTTACGGTCAAAGATGATATTTCGGTCTTTAACGATATTAGCCAGTCATTTTCGTAAATCTCCTATTTGATTGAGCATTCTGCTGAGGTTAGTGTCAATATCGTCTGTGCCCAATTTATAATACTGCCCGTAACATATATATAGAAGGAAATATCTTAAATTAACGTTTTAATAATATTAAATTGCTTTGTATTTTATGTTTTACATTTTTTTTGTTCAATTAGATTTTTCTATAGCAAAATTTAATTTTTATTCCTGACTTATGTTTCTGAAAAGAATAAAAACAATTTTTTTTTAAATTTCTGGTTGTTAATTTGAGCCACAAGCTTTGGTGGTCTAAGAGATAAGACGTTGGAACAGAAATCCAGAGGAGACAGGTTTGATCCTCGCCTAGAGCAGATTCCTTTTTAATTATATTTAGTTTGTTTTCGTCTTTCGATTTATTAAATCTTATATTAACGAACTTTATTTAATTTCTAATTAGATAAACAATTTTTTCTACTTATCTTTAATTTCTAAACTGATAAATATTCAATAACTATTTTTTTTTAATCCAAAATAATATTTATTTTTCGCAAATAGTAAGCACGCAAAATAATTACATAAGTAGGCTGATTCCATTATACTTTCTCTGATTATCATGTTATTGACCTTCAATTTTTTTGTTTTTATCAAAACGGTAGACGGCCTAAATTATCAGCACAATGTTTTTTAGAAATTAAATAACATATTTGTTTTGATAAGAATTTAAATATTACTTTCTTAGATGAAATGAACAGTATTTTTTTGTTACCAAAAGCTTTGAATAACTTAGGTTATCAATTATTAGAAAAAAGGGGAAAAAAGGGGAATTATTTGGAAATATCACAAAATATCAAACTAATATAAACCTCATAGAATTATTTACTGTGTTAATTTGTCATGATAAAATTCAACTATATCATAGTATAATTTGTCTACTAGATAGGCATATAGATATTTTCTAAAATTACTGAAAGTGTTCCTGTTATTGCCCCTGTAAATGTATAGGAGAGTGAATTAAATACATACACTTTCCAAACACATCTTACTTAAAACAATTTTCTATACAGGGTGTTTCTTAATAACATACTCCAATATTAATTTTTATTTTAAAAAAAGCAGTGACGTACTAGTTTTTTTTTTTCAAAAATATCTAGTCTGAGTCCAGTATGGACAACACTGTTAGAAATAAAAAAATGTTTTTAAGTTTAAAAAATGCATTTTAATGCACAGAGGTCGTACACCAAATTTCATAAAAAGATTTAAAGAGGTATAAAAATGACAATATAAAACTGATTTTTTTCATTAAAATTTTAATACCCTGTATCTCAAGATTAAGGCGTTTAACATATACATTCATATGAATTTTTCTTTTTAAAATGGGTCCAAGAATCACGCCCCAAAATATGAGCATGTTATTATGAAACATCCTGTATAATATATTTATTGCCAAAGAAAATAATGAAAAATTTAAATTTTACACTTCTCCTCAAATTTTTCCATTACGGTACATTTTAGAGAAATTATGTATAAAACAAGACTTATAAAGAATGGCATCATTAATAACTCTATTTATACAATTTTCTTAAAAATTGAATTTTAAACGTTTTGTCAAATTTCTTGAATACGGACCATTTTAGAAAAATTATGTGTAGAACAAAAATAATAAAAAAATACGTGTGGCACTCGTGGACTGCCGCGGTAAAACTATTGCATAGCATTTTTTATCAACTTATGCAATTATAATTATTTATTTATTTTATTTATGCAGTATTTTTTTAAATTTTTACATTTTTGGATTTTTAAATTTTTGGATTTTTAGATTTTTAGATTTTTAGATTTTTAGATTTTTAGATTTTTAGATTTTTAGATTTTTAGATTTTTAGAGATTTTTAGAGATTTTTAGAGATTTTTAGAGATTTTTTAGAAATTTTTAGATATTTTTAGAGATTTTTTAGAGATTTTTAGAGATTTTTAGAGATTTTTTAGAGAATTTTAGAATTTTTTAAGAGATTTTTAGAGATTTTTTAGAGATTTTTAGAGAATTTTTTAGAGATTTTTTAGAGATTTTTTTAGAGATTTTTTAGAGATTTTTAGGGATTTTTAGAGATTTTAGTTAACACTGATAAAATAAAAATTAAGTTTATAAATCTTGCAAAAAAAAATTATGTCTAATATTTACGCCAGCCGGGAACATTTGTGATACCAATTTATTAGAAGCCAGAGAAAGCTCTTCTAGTTCTTGTATTGCATAAACGTTCCAGTCCGCAGACGTATATTTAACTCCGCTTCATACTAATACGAATAGGGTCGGATAAAACCTTCCACGGCTTTCAACGCCGCACCGCTGTACCGGTCGGAGTGGGGGGGGGGTGTTAGGATTTATTTTCGTTACGGAATTTCTTAATTCGGTCGCCGCGCTCAAAGCCCATGATAAGAGCTATGCAATAGCTTAAAACAGTATTACAAGCAACTTTTATTTAAAAAATTGTCTTCTCCAAGCGTAAATAGCATATAGTCTATAAAGTAGAAAAACGACAGTCCATAAAGTAGCCCCCATATGTTTCGACTATGCCCATAGTTTAATAAGCCCATTGCAGGATGGATCTGTATACAGACGTGACACCTAGGTTCTTCTTCTTTCTAAACTGAAGTAATTTTTTGCTTTAACGTGATCGTTTTGGAAATTTTCTAAACAACTACTATAACCTTATATATTTTGTTGTAGGTTCTTTAGCTGGCATCACAGATGGCATCCATTACTCCTGGACCTCACCTTTCATCGTTAAAATAACAGAAGACAAAACAAACTACAACATAACCGAAGAACAAGCCTCATACTTTCCCACCATCCAACCAGTAGCTATGATCCTATTCTGCCCGATATTTTCAGTACTAGCTGATAAAATAGGAAGAAAACAAACGTTCCTCCTGATCACATATCCTCAGATACTGAGCTGGATCCTTTCGATCGTCGCTAAAGATGCCACGGTGTTCTATCTTTCCAGATTTTGCGCTGGTATAGCAAACGGTTGTCTTTTTGCAGTATTTCCTACGTATGTAGGGGAGATTTCTAATCCGACTGTACGCGGTACCTGGGGGAATTTGATAGCGACATCTATGTATTTCGGTGAATTGATTGTGAACGTAGTTGGCAGCTATTGTGGGGTGAAAGAGACAGCGTTTATTTTTTTACCGTTACCAGTTTTATTTCTGTTACTATTCTCTATGATGCCAGAATCGCCTTACTGGTTCATTATGAAGGGACAAGAAGAGAATGCTAAAAAGTCTTTAAGGTTCTTAACGCGGAAGAAAGATGTAGATCAAGATTATTTTAAATTGAAATTAGATGTGGATAGACAGTTATCAGAGTCGGGTACTTGGAGTGATCTAATTAGAATTGACAGTAATAGAAGGGCGTTGGTAGCAGGAGCGTTTTTAAGATTAACACAGCAAACTTCTGGAATGGGTATATTTCTGGTATACAACCAGTTTATATTCGAAAAATCTGGAGGAAGTTTAAGCCGTGAATTCTGTTCTATAATTTATTCAGCTTTGTATGTAGTTTTAAATATTTTCGTAGTTACTTTTATAGTTAATCGATTTCCAAGAAGGATACTGTATTTTGTATCGCTAACTGGTGCTGCTATTATGTTGTATTTACTAGCAACATTCTTTTATGTAGAAGAAAGGTACAAGCTGAACAATTCTGGTTTTGGTTGGGTTCCTATAACAGGCACAATAGTTTATCAAATATTCATGGGTTGTGGGTTGTGTGTTATACCAACTTTGATGATGAGCGAATTATATTCAACTAGTATTAAAGCCAAGGCGATGATTGTACTTATGATAGCATTTGCTGGTGGCAATATAATTATAAATCCACTATTTTATTATTTGAATACCAATTTCGGATTTCATACTCCTTTTTATTTTTTTGCTGCATGCAATACTGCGGCTATTGCTGTTTGTTATTTCATTGTTCCGGAAACTAGGGGGAAGACGTTGGAAGAAATTCAGCAAATATTAAAGAATGGTATTTCTAGGTGATGTTGCTGTGGTCAATTTTTATAAGACTGACAAATTATATATATTTTTTCATAACTTGTTTTTTTTTTTCACCCTAATTGTGTAAATATATTTTCTAATTATGTTACTAAGTTACTGTTATTTCTGGTAGAGTAGTTATGAATATGATTGTTAAAATTAATATATTCTCTTAAATAAGGTGGGGCCAAACCATTTAATATTTTATATTCAAACACCATAGTCAAATAGTATGATCTCTGATAAACCGAAATCCATTGCAGTGATCTATACATTTTTGTTGTTAAAAACCTCTTATAACTAGCTTAAATTTGTACTTTCACTTTTCTTGATTCTAAAAACCCAACTGTATCAAAATTTTTCTTTAATTGAACTCTTCAATATCTACATAGTCCCAAATTTAATTTCTTAAGGAAGAATTAATGAAGAAATTTGATAAAAATAGGAAAAAAGATAAGGAAGAATTCATAAAGAAAATGGATGGAAAGGAAAGTAAAATAAAGGAAAAGATTAAACAGAATGAAGATGTACAACATAAAGAAATTCAAGAACTTTAGACATGGTAACAAAAATTTTAATGGAAAAATAGAAGAAGTTATGGATAATAACATTGATGAAGTTGGAAGTGAAAAGTTAGAAGAAATAATAAAAAGGAATAAAGAACTAATATAAAACTCAATATTTCGCTATTATTTAATAACCATCAGAAGAATTCTGTAAAGAGCATTTGGTATTCAACACAAAATAAATGAATTGAAAATAAAAATAAACCTACAGTTATTTCTTTATACAACATGATCCCATAACGAAATTCACAAATAGACTAAATTTTGTTTTTTACAAGACCCTCAAACCACTATTTTGAAATATCTATAAATAGATTTCTATTGTTTTTTTGAAGTAATCTTATGTGTTATTTTTTAAAGATAATTTTGTTTCTTTAAGTGACAGAACAATTCAATCCTCTATACACAATAATTTAGCATAAAAAATATATTTAAGCCTGTCTAAAATTATTATCAATATTTTGAAGGTCAAAATTTAAACATCAGTTACAAAAAAACAAATTTGCTACACTAAATTAGATAAAAGAAGCGTTAGCAACACGAATAGAAATTAGAATTTTATTACAAGAAAAGAAATTGTGTAAAAACAAAATATTTGTTGTAGGATCAACTGATTTTCATATTATTTTTGTTATATTTACAAAAGCGTAATAATTATTTAACATTATTTATTGCAGAAAATACAATTTAAAAAATTGTTTGTCAAACAATAATAATCGTAATATTGTAATTACAAACACTGAAAATAAGTATTTTGAAACTGATACAGGGTTTTTAAAAACAATTTTTATTGATTAAAATACATACGTCTTTATTTAACAAAAGCTATACAAAATATGCCTAATAAAACATAAAAGATTAAAAGCATTGAAATAATATGACAAGAATAATATATGTTTAAATGACAGCTGTATGTGCCAAATTTTTTCATTATTTGGCAAAATTCCAGTGTAGTATGATTCAGAACTCTCCTAAAGAAGACGGTAAGTCCTCAGAAGAAGATGACAAGCCTTCGGAAGAAGATGATAAGTCTTCAGAAGAAGATGAGAATCCTCCGAAAAATTTAAAAACCTAAGCATCTCGAATGACCCCAGGAACTCGATGAACCCAAGAACCTCGAACCCGAGCACCCCGAACCCAAGCATTCAATAAAAGATCCCAAGCACCTCGAAGAACCCAAGCACCTCAAAGTAACAAAGCACTTCCTAAAAGATAACCGGCAGTTACTAAACACAAAATCAATTGGAAAAAATCAATAACTGAATTTCTAGGAAGTGAGTTACTTCCTGAAGAAATTTTGAAATTGAATACTCCATGCCTATTTTTTGGCAGAAGAATTTTTGACTGAAGTCGTTCGCCAGACGTGTACATATAGTGTTCAGATACGATCCAATAGACCAATATGTATAAGTCTTGAGGAAATTTAAAGATTTATAGGGGTAATTCTATGGATGTCAATAATTAGACAACCCACTACTAGACGCTTTTGATCTTCACAAATTGCTGATGTCATGCCAGTTAATCGTTTCGAATTAATTATTATATTAGGAAAGCTTGTTTGGCTTTACCTTTCGAAGAACACCTGTCATGTGATGAACAAATAATTCCATTCAAGGGTAGAATAAACATAAAAACTTATAACCCTAAGAAGCCCCATAAATGGTGTTACAAGATGTGGGTTTTTAGTGGAATTTCTGACATGTTTTGTAAGTGGACAAAAATGAACCTGATTTGGGAGCCTCAAGTAATGTGGTCCTTCGTCTGGGTAGACCTATTTCACCTGATAGAAAAAATAATGAAGCATAAAGGATGAAGAGACCACTAAATTTGATGGTGTCGATATCCATAGTGTGCAATGGTATGACAACAAAAATGTTACACTCATTTCTGACTACTGTGGAACTTATCCGGTCACAAAGTAAAGAGATTTTTCAAATCTGAAAACACCAAGAAGGAGATAGAATGCCCTGACATAGTCAAACAATATAATTCCCATATAGGTGGCGTTGATTTACAAGACTCGCTAATAGGATTTTATCCAATAAAATTGAAAAAATGGTAGATGTTGTGGTTATCAATTCTTGGCTCTGACAGAAGAATAAACCGACAACTTGGAGTGAAGGATAAAGTAATACCTCTCCTATCATTCAAGACCATGTTATCTGAACAGTTATGCAACAAAGGGCTCACAACATCTCAGACGCGAGGTTGCCCAAGCTCCCTAACTTCTGAACCACCAGTGAAGAGAAGATGTATATAACCTGGACCAAATCCTTTTGTACAGACTGATAGTATAGCTCATTGGCCAGCATGGACAGTTGTAAACTACTTGGATGCAAAGGAAAATCTTGTGTGAAATGCAAAAAGTGCCAAAAATTCATTTATGCTTCAATATTAAAAAAAAAATTTGTTTCGTGCGGTTTCAAGAATAAATAATTTTTTTTGTTACGCAAAATTTTTTTAATAAACGTTCAATACCAATGGGTTTTTTTTATCTTTAAATGCACAAAGTACCCAAAAGTGAATAAAAAAATGAGGGAAGTGGGGGTTTCCAAAAAAAAAGTGTTAATTATGTTATTTTCTTATTTTCTACATTAAAAAGATTAAATTTTAATTTTTTGAAGAAGTTTTAAAAACTATAATTCATGCAATAAAGGCTTAATACTAACAGCTATTAACTAAACAAAAAATTCGAAATAGTACAATAACTGCTCAAAATGACCTCCCATAACATTTAAACAGAGTTGTATTCGATATTCAAATGAGCTCTCCACATTTCTAGCCATTGGAATACTACTGTTTTGAAAAACAACTCTAATTCTACTTTTTATGTATTATCTTGTAATTACAGGTATTTTATACATCTCATTTTTCACATACCCCCACAGAAAAAATCAACTTTTGTTAGATCTGGCGATCTAGCTAACCACTCAATTGGTCCTTCCCTACCTATCCATCGTTTTGAGAATTAATCGTCAAGTTGACCATGAATTACTGCATTATGATGTATTCGAGCCCCATCATGTAGATACCATTTGCTGACGTATACGAAGAGGAACATTTTCAAGATTCTCCAAAAAGTCTAAATAAATTTCACTGTTAACTGTTTCCTCAAAAAAATATGGTTCAATTACATAATCACCAACAATACTACACCAAAAATTTAAAGACCATCCTGTTTGAGAAGTAGTAACTATCGCATAAGGATTTTCTCTGGCATATTAGTGAAAATTATGTCGATATAATAAATCATTTTTATGGAATGTCGACTCTTCTTCGAAAAGTACATTATCAAAAAATGTTTAAAGTGACCTCTACATGATTCTGTAAGCTTTATATTAGCCAATATTCGAATTGCTCTGTTTTGTATTACAAAGACTTCTTGAAAGTGTGAACCTCCCCAAAAAATAATAAATAATAGAGTAGACCATAATACACTGATATAAAATAAGAATGATCTACGACTTTTTAAACTTGTTTCAATGCAAAACAAGCTCTGCTGAGCCTTCCACAAAGTGATTGAAGATGTTGCACCCCAGTTAGATGCTCATCAATGATTACGCCGAGAAATTTTGTCGATTTAGAATATGGACTCTATCTATAATTTGTATTTAAAACTTTTATTCCTATCCCTCAAAACAACGGAGATATCAAACTCGGGAGTATAAGTTGATCACTCTGTATAAGGAAACTAGGCTATTTGCAGATACTTAACAGATAGTAATTAAAGAAGGAATTAAAAAAATATCCCTACTCAAAAATCTATCGATCCTAGTTATTACAATAAAATCATTTCTCATATCAAAAAATCGACTTTGTTTAAACTAAGGTTTTATCTAAATATTTTGTATTAATTTTAAAAGTCTAAAATAAAAAATCGTATCTAATTTTAGTTAGAAACTATAGCAACTACCTAAGTTATTTCAATAAAGCAGTAATACAAATAAATCTCGTCTGGAAAATAGGATGAACGCGATTTTTGTCTAGCGATAACTTGAAAATTGTTAACTAATTCTAAAATAAATATTATTTTAAATTCATTTCAGACCCCCCGTTATTTAATTTGTTAATACACTGGGTTTAAATGAACAATGTTGATTTGAAATATATATAATAAGTACATATAAGGTATTATTACATCATTATTTTTCACAAAAAGACCATCACCTATACCACTTATTTACTTAGTGATCTGACGCACTTGTTCCATTTTATTTTAAAAATATTTAATTAATCAACCATATAAATATATAAAATTAGTATATATTTCTCTTATTTACTATATTTGTAGGGTAGTTATTTTATAATAAAATCATGGTAGTGTTAACAAAAATCCCTGCAACCAGCAAAGAAACTGAAAAAAATTGGCCACAGATTTTAGCTATAATAATAGGTAAATATCATTCACTGTAATTTTTCAATTAACGAAAAAAGTGCTTCTAAAGTTTAACGTTTTTAATCTATGATTAAATTAACTATTTTATTTTAAACCGAGCAATTCTGTCTCTTCAGATGTTAATTATATTTTTTATACTTATTATATACTTTATTAAGCACAATTTCAAAGAGTAAATCACCAAAAGTTAGACAAAAAAACCACTACGTTACTTGCCTTGACCCTACGTATTAATTTTTGAGCTTTCTTGATAAAAATGATCATGTAGAAGACAATACTGTGAAATCTCATAAAATAAATAGCAAAAATGGTTAAATATTATAAGATAGTAAGTATTATTTCCTTTTCTAACCAAAATGTTCTACAAAAACGTCTAAAATAGTCAAGTTTTTTAAGTGATACTGATATCGACAGTAAGGGGTCTATTCTGTAACAATTCCTTTATATTTAACGGCCTCTAAAAATATTGGCGGCCTTTAAAAATAGTTTCGTATTCGTTAATTTACTTCTATCATTATTTAAACAGATTTCTTTAAGATAGTCCTCTAATGTATTTTAAAGATCCGTTTAAATAATGATAGAAGTAAAGGAGAAAATATTTTTAAAGGCCGTTAAATATAAAGGAATTGTTACAGAATAGACCCCTAAGACGGTGACAGCTAAAAATGTTTAGCCTAATAAAATCAAAGGTTGAAGATGTCGATCGCTTTCAGCTGTTTAAGCCATCATCGGGACACTATAAAAAAAAGAACCACTGTAATGCAATAATTGAAAAAATTGAAGGTAAAAAAATTACTTACTCTTAACCCACTATATGTCTGATTTTCTCAAGAGGCATGACGTCTCGCCAAAAGAACAATACTGTTTTATCAAAGGCCGATCCACATTAACAAACTTAATCACCTGTTTAAACGATTTGACTACGTCTTTGGACAATACAGAGCCTATCGATGTCGTATATCTTGATTTCGCTACAGCCTTTGATCGTGTTCCCAAAAAGAGATTGTTTTATAAGAAAAAGCTGGCATTTGCGCCTCTTTGCTTCTCTGGATAAGTGATTTTTTGTCAAATCGCATCTTCAAGGTAAACGTTGGACAGATATTCTCGTCAGAGTATCCAGTTCTAAGTGGTGTCCCTTAAGGTCCATTACTATTCTTGGTGTACGCTGCAGATCTAGGCAAAGACTTAAATTCTAATATTTGTGGTTACGCTGATGAGACTAAGCTATAATACTCCAATCCTGTGACAGATTCCACCCAGCTACAAAAAGACCTTGAAAATATTTCAAACCTAGCTGCTTTCTTTAAACACGGAAAAATGTGTCGTCCTGCATATAGGAAATAATAATCTGTGAACTATTATCTAAACGGTAGTTCGTTAGTAACTGTGAACTTCTATAACGACCTGGGACTCATTGTAAACTCTCCATAAACGTGGTCAGAGCACGTATCAGCGGTCTGCAAACGTTCGAACTCAATGCTCTACCTATTAAAAAAGTCCTTCACGTATGTGAACTTTAAAACATTTTCTAAACTTCATACAACCTACGTTAGACCGTTGATGGAATATGTCGAATGTGCGTGGTGTCCTGATCTGGTTTCTGATCAAAACAGATTGAAAAATGTTCAACGCTACGCTACTCGAATACCTTTCGGCAGAATCAGACCATCGTATGAAGAACGGCTTAACATGGCGAGTTTGTGTTCATTTACCCACAGAAGATTAAGATTGTAACTTACAGAATTCTTCATGGTACTTTTTTATCCAACCTTTATAGTATACTTCTACGGAATACAGATGAGCACCTACGTGGACACGAGTATAATTTAAGTAATGAAAATTCTTATCCATTGACTCTGTACCCCTTTCACTCTTACACACTGAATTCCTTTTGTGAGCTCATAGTCTATCTACTCATATTATTTAAATATATTTTCGTTACAGGTGCTTTAGCTGGCATAACCAATGGTCTCCTAATTTCTTGGCCTTCTCCATTTTTGATCAAGATTACCCACGATAACATCAACTACGACATATCTGAAGAAGAAGCTTCTTATTTCAACACTCTTCATCCCTTAGCCTTGATGATTACATGTCCAATTTTTGCAAAACTTTCAGATGTGATTGGACGGAAGAAAACGTTGCTGTTGATAGTGATACCTCAAATTTCCAGTTGGGTATTGGCAGCTTTCGCAAAATCCGTTTACGTATTCTACGCTGCTAGGATTTGTGCTGGTATAGCAGACAGCTGTCTATTTTCCACTTTACCAATTTATATTGGGGAAATAGCGAACCCATCGGTGCGAGGTACATGGGGCAATGCCATTCCAACTTCGATATTTCTTGGGGAATTTCTAATAACAATAATTGGATGCTACACTAAAGTAACACTGACATCAATTATTTGCTTACCTCTACCAGTTGTATACTTCTGCATGTTTTTGATGATGCCAGAATCGCCGTATTTTTGCATCATGAACGGAGAGGAAGAGAAAGCAAAGAACTCCCTACGATTTCTCAAACGACTTAAGAATGTTGATGAAATTTATATGAGACTTAAAGCAGATGTTGAAAGCCAACTTTCAGAGTCAGGAACATGGAAGGACCTCGTAAAAGTCGAAAGCAATAGAAAAGCTTTAATTGCAGGATTGTTTTTAAGGTTGAGTCAACAACTGTCTGGTATAAGCGTTTTCTTGATATACACTCAATTTATTTTTGAAAAATCCGGAGGAAACGTTAGTGATGAAGTATCATCTATGGTTTATATGGGAATTTGTCTCGTTCTGAATTTATTTGCTACGATATTCATCGTTCCAAGATTTGGTAGAAAATTTTGTTATATGTCATCATCTGCCTTATGTAGCATAGTTCTTCTTATTATGGGTATTTACATGTTTATAGATGATAAACTAGAAATAGATGTAAGTGCATTCAGCTGGATCCCAGCAACCGGTATGGTTGTATTCCAAGTTTTTGCTTGCTATGGTCTAGGTGTGATACCCACTTTGATGCTTAGTGAATTATATTCCGCCAGTATTAAATCGAAAGCAATGACCATCTTAGTTATTGGATTTGGACTATCAGGTTTTGTTACCAATATTGTTTTTTATTATTTAAACCTTATTTTTGGGTTCTATTCTCCTTTCTTGTTTTTCTCAGTATGTACTGTCATTTCTGCGGTGTTATCTCATTATTTAGTACCAGAAACAAGAGGTAAAACCCTTGAGGAAATTCAACAAATGTTAAAAAATAATGAAAAGCATTAAATAAGTGTAAAGTCCATAAACAAGCTATTGGCCATTATTGACGAACAAAATTATAGTTATTAATGCTTTTTAAACAATTCTTTATAAAAATTGTACCGTTTTATTACGGATTATTTAACAAAATTTAGTTACCATGTAAATTAATAAATTGTGTACATTTAATAAATGTTTTTTTAATAATTTTTTTTATTTTGTTGTTGAATACTAATTTTTAGAAAGATTTTAAATTTCAATCAAACCCTTGATATGCTGTTGAATAAATGGAAATCATAAATTTTAAAATGATTTAGCAAAAAAAAATAATATTTTCAAGCCAATACAAGGTTTGTACACATTGGATTACAAGAAATATATTTAAAGTATGTATAAAGGGAAATATATTAATATACTATAAATATATCAGACAGTTTACTTGAATAAACCCCATCAGAACCAAACAAGCTATCTATGGCATGATTACAGAAAAAAGACATATTACAATATTACAATCATAGTAAATGACATTTGCCTTAGATCATATAAGACTAGAGGTGTTACTCAAATGGGTTTGTTATGTACTGAAGGGAGTAACCCCTTTGGTGTTAGGTTCACGACGCATTATGATTGGCAAGTTAGTAGATTTATAATTGACAAATTTAAATAACGCGCGTATTTGTGATAAATGACATTTCATTTGATGTCTGTTTACAGGCTTAAAAATAACAACGGCAAAGAAAATATGCCCTCATCTGCTATTCCCAAAATTGGAACAAAAAGAAGGCCTGTGAAAATTTAAGATCACCTCTTATATTTTTAAAGACCAAACAGGTGTTGGTAATAATAGCCTTTGGAACTTTTTAAATTTAATTAAATGTATATCATTAAAAATCTGCAGAATACATTTTATGTACATTTCATTTAAAGGGATGAAAATATGCAAGACAGAGACTTTCAATCTTTAACTCTCTTTAGAAGACAAAAAATTGTTTAAAATTTTATAAACTCATGACATAGAACCTCAATATCTGTAAGCTTACATTCATCTACAATAACAGCTTCTGAAAGGGAAAGAGAACTTAAAAAAGAAAAACAAAGGTTTTTTGAAGTCAAATAAAATACTTTCTAATATAATCAAGCATTATTATGATTTCAGGAAAGCAATGCTTAAGAAAAAAATTTAAACAGTTATTTTTTGAGAAAAAATTAGCTCCTTGGCCAAAAAAATATAATTAAAAAAGCACAGCTACACTTGTGAATATAAGAAATTCCAGTAATTTTTATTAATGTTTTTAATGATGAGGAAACATTTTATTTATATATGTTATTTTAGATCAAATTAGTCAATTTTTTAGACTATTATTGCAAGTGGATCTAAGGAATTGGTTAAGAGAGCAATTAAAGATCATTCCAGAACAAAATACTCCCCTGATTAAGATTGATTGCACTAACTTCTACAGTAGGTATGAAGGCTTATACATATGTTAGGAAAAAATTTAACAATTGTCTCTCGCATCCCAGTACTTTATCAAAGTGGTATTAGGCTGGTAATGTTTCTCCTGGATTCACTGAAGAGCATTGAGATTTAAAGGCGGAGAAAGTCAAAAGGTTATAAAAAAGATTTTTTGAATCTTTTGATGGATGAAATGGCAATTATGCAAAGGGTGGAATGGACTGGCCAAAAATATATGGGATATGTTGATGTTGGCAGCAAGTTTCGACAAAATCAGTCAGTTGAAGCAAAAGAAGCTATTGTGTTCTGCTTCTAAACTAAATAAATATATTTGAAGATTTAAAAACAAAACCTGTCACAGACATCCTTACATACTAAACAAGTGTGCTTTCTTCTAGACCAGTCATATTCAACTTGCAGCCCTCCGAGCTCTTGTATGCGGCGTTCCAAGCTGTTTTGTGCAGGCCTCCAAGCTTTTTTTGTGCAGCACCAAACACTACTATTAGGAATGACCTACAAATTGTCCCAAAGCGTATTAACACAACATAAGAACCTTTTTTACTTTCCTATCTGTATACAGATATAAGGAAAGTATAGGAATTATGATTTTTTTCGACCTCGAGTTTTCGACGGTTTTTTACGTTTTGAGGTCCCCTGAATCCGTTTTGACTATTTTCGCGATGATGTGTGTGTGTGTGTGTCTGTATGTCGCATGATTCATGAACCGATCCACAGAAAAACCCAAATTTTAAACTTAAGCTTTATTCCAGCGTCTAATGAATTGATTAGATTTTGAGCAGAGTCGGAACATCTGGGGGGGTACTTTATAGGTGATCATTTTTATATTTTATAGAGTATATCTGTTATTTACGTTTGGAGAAGAAAATTCTGCAAATAAAAGTTACTTCTAATATAATTATCTATAATTTTTGTTCTATACAAAATTTTCCTAAAATGGTCCGTATTCGAGAAATTTGACAAAATGTAAAAAAAACAATTTTTTATAAAAATTGTTCAAATAAAAGTTGTTTGTAATATAATTCTCTATAATTTTTATTCTTTACATAATTTCTCTAAAATGGACCGTATTCGAAATATTTGAGAAAATGTGTAAATTTCGAATTTTGAAGAAAACTCAAAAACGGATAAAGAAAAAAACATTAAATTTTAAACTTAAGGTTTATTTCGGCTTGACGTGAAATGATTAGATTTTGGACAAAGTCGGAACATCTGGGGGGTACTTTATGGGAGGCCGTTTTTATATTTTATGGAATATATGTTATTTATGTTTGGAGAAGAAAATTGTTCAAATAAAAGTTACTTCTAATATTATTATCTATAATTTTTGCTTTATGTCAAAATTTCCTGAAATGGTCCGTATTCGAGAAATTTGACAAAATGTACAAAATTCTGATTTTTATGATAATTGTTGAACTAAAAGTTATTTGCGATATCGATCTCTATAATTTTTGTTTATATATGATTTTTCTAAAATGGACCGTAACGGAAAAGTGCTAAATTTAAATTTTTCAGTATTTTCGTTTTCAATAAATATCTATAGAAAAATGTTTCGAGGTAGATGTAGGACAATGTATATATTTAGTTTATCCTCTAAACATTTATAGAGATGCTGCAATAGGTTGTACAAAATAACCGGAAAAAGCCTATAATAACTAGATAGGAAAGTCATGTGTTGGACACATCAGATTTTTTAGAAAATATTTAAAGCAGACCCCTATTGTCACCCATTGTGCTTTATTTACATTTTAAAAAGATGACAAATATGGTTCACCCAAAAATATTGTAATAACAAACAGATTTATGTGGCCCAAACGAACAAAAGGTTGAGTACAGCTGTTTTAGACCATCACGACACTGACTGTCAAAATCTCTAGACAGAAATTTGAAGTGCTAGGTCGGGCTAGACGGCAGTACTCATGTGTTAACAAACAACAAACAAACTAGCTATCAATATTAAACTTGAACGCCACGTATATCAGAAACTTATCATAGGACTGAGCTGTGCCCATGAACACTATAGTTCGAGAAGTTGACAACTGCAACATATACCAAACTTTCAGGAAATACCATCAAAGAACATCTCTCCATAAGCCGACTGTCTGATTCTTTAAATTATAAAAAGTATTTATTTTATTTAAAACATTCTTACCTATTATTAAAATGTTGGAAAAACTGTTTCGTCTTAAAAATTTAATATTGATTTAAAACAATGAGACCCCCTGCCATATATAACGGGGTATTAACTATATTATAATAACAATTCAAATTGAATGGACAATGTTGACTATACAAATTCTATAACAAACAACCTTTTAACTAAAACATGTTATTGCATCACACGTGAGCGCTCGTAAAATTTTTTTTTTATTTAAATATGGATTTGAAAAAATATTTTTTGGGGGCATTTTAAATATTAGAATAATATTTGATTGAACTTTTGTATAAAAAGATTTTGATAATTTTAATTTTCACAGTCATCACTTAGTGCCGTCTTGAGTTATTAAGTTCCATAATCATGGGAGTAAAAACCAAATTCAGTGGACGCAGCAAAGAGTTAGAAAAATCTTGGCCACAAGTTCTGGCTATATTGATAGGTAAATAACGTTTTTTTAATAATTTTAATTTTTGAAAGATTATACTTTTTCACCTTAACGTTTAGTTTAATACTAGATATATTGCAAATGATTATACTAATAGTGACATCGTAGAGTCAAATAAATTCCGTGCTAAAATCAGACTTATTGTAAACCTGAAATTTTGACATTAGAATCCTTATTCTTATATTTATTTCTAACCTCATTTTAATAACTTTAAATTATATTTCATCTTGTTTGTTGTCTATAAATTCTATAATAGTACATAATACTGAAGAGGCATTAAAAAATATAATTTTAGAAGGTTTAGGTGACGATTATATAGAATATTTAATATTAAAATACTTCGAACGGATACCTCCACAATCTTTAATAAAGTCAGTTTTATAACTTTCCACATATCATTCTTATTATTAAATGTTGCTAAATCAATTTTTTGTTTACAGGTGCTCTAGCTGGCTTAAACAATGGTCTCTTGTTTTCATGGGCTTCGCCATTTTTAATGAAAATTGTCAACGATGATGAAAACTATGACATAACTGAAGAAGAAGCCTCTTACTTCAATATTATTCAACCTCTGTCTTTGATAATTACAAGCCCTATTTTTGCAAAACTCTCAGATGTAATTGGAAGAAAAAAAACATTGCTATTGATTGCGATACCTCAAATAGCTAGTTGGTTGTTAGCAGGCTTTGCAAAATCCGTTTACGTATTTTACGCTGCTAGAATTTGTGCTGGTATAGCAGATGGATGCCTATTTTCCACTTTACCCACTTACATTGGAGAAATAGCTAACCCATCAGTGCGAGGAACGTGGGGCAATGCTATTCCAACATCGCTATATTTTGGAGAATTTCTCATTACAGTCATTGGAAGCTACTTTGGAGTAACCCCGACGTCATTCATTTGCTTACCTTTAGCAATTTTATATTTCGCCATGTTTGCAATGATGCCAGAATCGCCATATTTCTGCATTATGAAAGGCGAAGAAGAGAACGCCAAGAGCTCCCTACGATTTCTCAAGCGACTTACGAATGTTGATGAAATTTACATGAGACTTAAAGCAGATGTTGAAAGACAACTATCAGAATCTGGCGCTTGGAAGGACCTTATTAAAATCGAAAGCAACAGAAAAGCTTTAATTGCAGGATTGTTTTTAAGGTTAAGTCAACAGCTGGCTGGTATGAGTGTTTTCTTAACATATACTCAATTCATTTTTCATAAATCTGGAAGTGATGTCAGCCATGAAGTAGCGTCTATGGTTTATATGGGGCTTTGTTCTGCCCTTAATGTATTAGCTACGATATTCATTGTTCCTAGATTTGGTAGGAAAGTTTGCTATATGACATCTTCTGCTTTATGTAGTATAGTTCTCCTTATTATGGGGATCTTCATGTTCATTAACGATGAACTTGAAGTGGATGTGAGTAGCATCAGTTGGATCCCAGTGGTTGGTATGGTAATGTTCCAAGTTTTCGCTTGTTATGGAATAGGAGTGATCCCAACTTTGATGCTTAGTGAATTGTATTCCGCTAGTATTAAATCGAAAGCGATGACGATCTTAGTTATTGCATTTGGAGTAGGAAATTTCGTCACCAGTTCTATTTTCTACAATTTAAATATTATTTTTGGATTCTATTCGCCTTTCTTATTTTTCATGATGTGTACTGCTGTTTCTGCTGTATTATCTCATTATATAATACCAGAAACAAGAGGTAAAACTCTAGAGGAAATTCAACAGATGTTAAAAAGTAACACAAAAGATTAGTGATTTTAACAATATTGCAAATTTATAAAGTACCTGTCATGACTGACCGTTTTATAACGGATTATTTAGTATATTTTAATTACTATGTAATTATATATTTTTGTGTTATAAAATGATAATAAAATTTTTAATGTACTACTTGTTATTTTTATTATTCCTTTTTTGATAGTCTTGTTACTTCTGTCAATAGTGAACAATAATAAGCACCTTTGTTTGTAAAGAAATAATTTATACTATGGTCTTGACAATAATAAAATAAAAGAAGATGAAAGAGAGAACCAGGCAGAGACTAGATACACGTCAAGTACAGTTCAAGTCTTGTTCAGGTTCAAAACGTACTGCAAACCATTCGTGATCCAGTAAAACAGTTGAATATCAAAATATTCATCGCTTAAAACTTTCAACTTTCCACTGATCATCTTGAACAGACCTGAATGTCTTTAGTGTATGCTCAAGTAGGATGTCTATGTGAAAATTCAACAGATTCGAGTGATGATTTTGTTCAATTTATAAAGAATACATCTATAAAAGAGTGTGATCATCTTGAAAAGTCCTGAAGGTCTTTAGTGTGTGTTAATTCTCCACTAAAAAATATTGCTAAACTTTTTAAATCTTTATTTTGAAACTATGAAAATGTAAAGTACAATCGTTGATAAATCTAATTTCTAAAAAATTAGTCCAAACTATTTAAATAAAAAATATACTGTGTTATAAGAGACTAAAAAATACAACACACACTATTAATTACATTAGCAGCAACAGATGTACATAAAGCATTTTTCTTCTTTTAAAAAAATTGGATTTAATTAATACTGTTCAAATTCTATAGTTCATAATATATAAAGACAAGTCTAATCTTGTAAAAAGTATTCTAGCATTTTTTTGATTTACTAATTTTCATTCTGATGCAAAACATGATGTAACGCATCACATAGTTACCGAAGGTCATTTACCCTATAGTAAGCCTTAAAGACTGGATCCTCTTGAGTAAAAAACTGCTTAAAAAATTCAAAGACTTAGATATTTGCATGCCATCATCATCTGTAGTGTCGTCACCATTACACACGGTTCCAAAGAAGTACTGTGCAGATTGGTGTCTCTGTGGTGAATTTTAAACCCATTTACACGAATTTGTTAATATTTTTGTATCAGAACAAATTTGGTTGAAAAAAATTTCAAGAATGTTTTAAAAATGCAAAAGAAATGTTAATTAAAGTATTTTTATTTAATCGTCCTAAGGAAGAGGCACAGTTGGTCCTAGTTCAACAACCACTGGTAGTACTTTAGAGCAAGGTGTTCAAAACGTTAGACAACCTTTGGCAAATTTTTCTAAAAAATTAACCAAGAGTAAACAAAATTACATGTTTTTGACGAAGTCAATTAAACACTTTCGTTGCACGCTAGAATGCGTTAAGTTCCAAGTGCCTACAGATCACAAACTTTTATAAATAGCAACGTCTTCTTAGTGGTTTCTTTAATAATTCTTTAAAAAATGTAGATAGTTATCCTATTTTAACGTGGAATTGAGGATTTTGGGTTATTAGTAACATTTAATTTTAAATCTCTGGCAGTACATTGAAACCTTAACGCACTATAATTTATACATGATTTGTTTGACAATAAAAAATTAATTTTGTAGTGTCTAGATTGGAAACTAGATAAAAATGTACCTTTTATTTATCTACATCAGTGGTCGCCAACCTGTCGATCGTGAGCTACCAGTAGCTTGCGGAGGTAATTCTGGTAGCTCTCACAACGATTTTAATTTAAAAAATACAAACTGCAAAAACCAGAGAAGCTTCCGAAAATTACACAAAAAAATCTAATTGTCATAATATTAAACATAAACAGCGGCAACGTTGCGGTGAGCGATCTGCCGCTGACGCCATCAAGCTAGAATCGGCCAGCCGGACCAACGCGTTAGTGTTCGAGAACGATCAGGATTGCTTTGAACGGGATAAATACGCACGGCACGGCAACATTGCGCTTAGTTTAAAACTGAAGGCGTAACTAACGTCCAGCGGTTGGGTTAGTAGAGAACAACAAAAAATAATATTATGGCAAGCAGTTGTAAGAAGGTAAAGACATACCACTTTCATTCGGAATGGGAAGAACAATACTTTTTTACAGAAGTTAAAGATAAAAATGTGCGTTTGTTATGTAATACTTCGGTCTCCGTTGCTAAAAAAGGAAATACTGAGAGACATCATAATACTGTACATTCTAATTAAATTATTCCCACTACATTCTGCCGCCAAAAAGGAGAAACTGTAACAGTTAAAAAAGCAGTTAATTGAGCAACAATCAATATTTTTAAAAACAGTCGACAAAAATAAGGCTGCAACTGAAGCATCGTACCGTGTGTCCCAGATAATTGCATAAAAAAAGAAACCTTATGAAGACGGGGAAATGATAAAACAGGCGTTTTTAGAAGCTGCTGATTCGTTATTTGCCAACTTTAGAAATAAAGACGAGATAGTTTCAGCTATAAAATCTATGCAACTTTCTGCTAATACAGTGATAAGACGTGTAGAAGTAATGAGCAATGATATTTTTTTATAGTTAAGAACTGACTTAGATAACTGTGTTTATTTTTCACTTCAACTGGATGAATCAACAGATGTCGTTGACACTGCCCAGATGGCCGTGTTCGTCAGGATGGTTTTAGTGATTTTACGATTAAAGAAGATCTTTGGAAGTTTATTCCACTGAAAGGACACACTACTGGACAGGAGTTGTTTTTTCATTTAAAAAATATCATTTCTTCCGAGAAAATTCCAATATCGAAAATGGTAGGCTTGACAACCGATGGCGCTCCAGCTATGGTGGGTTATGATAAGGGTCTGGTGGCCTTATGTCGTAAAGATAAAACTTTTCCGCAATTTCTCTGTTACCACTGCATTATCCATCAGCAAGCATTATGTGGAAATTTCCTGAAACTAAACAACGTTATGAAACTGGTGGTAAAAATTGTGAACAAGATTAGAGCTCAAGCGTTACAAAGAAGATTATTCAAAACCTTGGCCGATGAAGTTGACTGTCAATACGGGGATCTACTCCTTCACTCTGAAGTCCGATGGTTAAGTAGAGGACGGGTGCTGAAACGTTTTAATGATGTCCTATCTGGCATAGTTCAATTTTTCAAACAGTGCGATGAACCGATTCCGGAACTAAAAGAAAATTCAATCTGGATTAGAGATTTTGGTTTTCTCGTGGACATTACAGAGAAATTAAACGAACTTAATTTGCAGCTTCAGTGGAGAGACAAAGAACTAGCGGAAATGATTTCTGACATAAAAGCATTTATCAAAAAGCTGGAGTTTTGGGAACAAAACCTAATTAACAGCGATACCAAGCATTTTCCTATTCTTTCAGAAAAAAATATCTCAAAATCCATTAGAACCCTATGACAGCAAATATCATGTAGAAATAGTTTCTACCCTGAAGAATAACTTCAAAAATCGTTTTAAGGATTTCAACGAAATGGCTTTAGTAGTGCAGTTTGTTGTTTCACCCTTTACGGAAATTGATATCCAACAGTTTGCAACTTGTGTTATGCAGAACTTTGGCGAAGACATCGTTGCAACAGAAATGGAAGTAATTGAGTTTCAAAATGATTTAGCCTTAAAATCGTTAGTCTCAAGTACCAAATGTATCAGGCCCTTTGTAAGTAAAGACAAATATTCAGTTCTATGCCGTGTTGCCTTGAAAGTGAAAGCATTATTCAGTTCAACCTATTTGTGTGAATCTTCTTTTTCCAATATGAAGTTTATTAAGAACAAATATCGCAATCGACTTACAGATGAAAATTTGGATAATTGTATTCGAATGGCTGTATCAAATTATACTGCAAACATTAAAAAAATTATCGATGAGTCTGAGTGTCAGCCTTCTCATTGAACGTGCTTTTTATTTTTCAATGTTTATGTTCATGATAGTGCGTTACTTTTTTGTTGTTATTATTAACTATTTTTAAATCTTACGTGACATGCCGTTGTGGCTGGATAAAACTTTGTGTTTATTCTTCAAACATCTTCGTTTGGTAGGTAGGAATGTAGCTATGAACAAGTACGTACTAGTAATATTAGTTATTTTGTTATTAGTTTATTATTAGTACCTATGTATTACCAGTTAAATAGTAAAATAAATACATATAATGATAAATTAACTGTGGATTATTTCATTTACGTTGCGTTACGTGGCTTTCGTGTGGGTAGCTCGCTGTTTATTCCAAAATTAACAAAGTAGCTCAACACAGTGAGAGGTTGCGACCACTGGTCTACATCATGTACCAACCTTGATCTAAACTCTACAGTATAAAATACAGTTGAATTATTAACTTTGGTAAGCACTAGAAAACATTGAAATCTTTATATTTTTAAACACGATTGTTTACCAAATCCCAAAGCCATAACGGGCCATTTGGTGGTGGAATATCGAGTCCCATAAAACCTGAGAGACAGACTGTTTTGCCCATTTGTGAGATTATTAAAACATAATCCTTTCCTTCCAAACTAGAAGATTTTCCTGACAACAGGTAATTTAGGAATAAGAGTACAATCCACCTACATTAGGAGTAGCCCCAATAGCCTTATTAATTTTCGCTATTTCTTCTACTGGTCCAGCTATCAGACTACTGCCACTATCTGCAATGGCCTGACAACCATTCACACAATATGATTCTGCACCAATCGCCACTTTATCCATTTTGAATTGCCAATAAACTTTTCTGACCACAGGAACATAAGTAAAATCACCAGAATAATGTGCAGGATCTGACCCACCTAAAATAAGCTCTCCCCCTTGCTTGGCATCAGGATTTCTGTTTAAATAGAAAGAGAAAAATTGGTTGGGACACCAAACCTTGTTCAACCATTTTATAGAAAACTGGAGGAACTTTATCGACAGAAATTGTGTCATACGCCATTCCCAAAATACCGTCAAATTGTATGTACGCATTATTCAATATAAATGCAATAATTGTGACTTGTTTGTTTGTAGCAAAAATATCAAATGCTAAAGTGTTATAAAGCGTTGTTTGATGTCTTGAATCTATAAATGTATAAATGTAAGAATTTATTTGTTTTTTCTCTAAATTCGTTAGTACGAATAAAAATTTCTAGTTTTTATTATTTTACATATTTGTAATTATTTGTCAGCTATATATACATTATACATAAAGTTAGTCTATATTTTTAATTAATTTTTCACATTAAACTGTTTTGTCGTAACAATCAAATATTGATTTAAAACAACGAGACCCCCCTTGCTATCTACAATGGGGTATTAACGATATTACATTAACAATTCAAAGGGATTGGACAATATTGACTGTACAAATTCTATAACAAACGAATTTTAACTAGCACATGTTATTGCATCATGCTGTACATTAGAAGAAAAATGTTTTTTATTTAAATACGGATTTAAAAAATATTTGACGCAAACAGATGTCTAGGGGGCATTTCAAAATATTAGTTTAATATTTGATTAAATTTTTGTATAAAAAGGTTGTGATAATTTTATTTTTCACAGTTATCACCTAGTTGCCGTCCTGAGTTATTAAGTCTCATAATCATGGGAGTAATAACGAAATTCAGTGGACGCAGCAAAGAATTCGAAAAATCTTGGCCACAAGTTCTGGCTATATTGATAGGTAAATACATTTTTTAATAATTTTAGTTTTTGGAAGATTATACTTTTTCACTTTAACGTTTGATTTCATAATAAAAAGATATTGCAAATTTTTATACTAATACTGACATCGTAGAGTCAAATAAATTCCATGCTAAAATCAAACCTAAAATTTTGACATAAGAATCTATTATATGTATTTCTAACCTCATTTTAAATACTTTAAATTATATTTCATCTTGATTGTTGTCTACAAATTCTATAATAGTACATAATACTGAAGAGGCATTAGAAATTACAATTTTAGAAGGTTTAGATGACGATTATATAAAATATTTAATATTAAAATACTTCGAACGGATACATCCACAATTAAAGACAGGCACAATCTTTAATAAAGTCAGTTTTAGAACATAAACGATTTGCGCATGCTTAGATGTCAAAATAAGAGCGGCATTAATAGTAACTGACCTTAAGTGAACTTGCAATAACTTTCTAATATCTTAAAAAAAATGTAAAACTCAAACTCAATATCTTTCCACATATTATTCTTATCATTAAATGTTGTTAAATCAATTTTTTGTTTACAGGTGCTCTAGCTGGCTTAAACAATGGACTACTATTTTCATGGGCTTCGCCATTTTTAATGAAAATTGTCAACGATGATGAACACTATGACATAACTGAAGAAGAAGCCTCTTACTTCAATATTATTCAACCTTTATCATTGATGGTTGCAAGTCCAATTTTTGCAAAACTATCAGATGTGATTGGAAGAAAAAAAACATTGCTATTGATTGTGATACCTCAAATAGCCAGTTGGTTACTAGCAGGCTTTGCAAAATCCGTTTACGTATTCTACGCTGCTAGAGTTTGTGCTGGTATAGCAGATGGTTGCCTATTTTCCACTTTACCCACTTACATTGGAGAAATAGCTAACCCATCAGTGCGAGGAACGTGGGGCAATGCTATCCCAACATCGCTATATTTTGGAGAATTTCTCATTACAGTAATTGGAAGCTACTTTGGAGTAACCCCGACATCATTCATTTGCTTACCTTTAACAATCTTATATCTCGCCATGTTTGTAATGATGCCAGAATCGCCATATTTCTGCATTATGAAAGGCGAAGAAGAGCAAGCGAAGAGTTCCCTACGATTTCTCAAGCGACTTACGAATGTTGATGAAATTTACATGAGACTTAAAGCAGATGTTGAAAGACAACTATCAGAATCTGGAGCTTGGAAGGACCTCATTAAAATCGAAAGCAACAGAAAAGCTTTACTTGCAGGATTGTTTTTAAGGTTAAGTCAACAGCTGGCTGGTATGAGTGTTTTCTTAACATATACTCAATTTATTTTTCATAAATCCGGAAGTGACGTCAGCCACGAAATAGCGTCTATGGTTTATATGGGGCTTTGTTCTGCCCTTAATATATTAGCTACGATATTCATTGTTCCTAGATTTGGTAGGAAAGTTTGCTATATGACATCTTCTGCTTTATGTAGTATAGTTCTCCTTATTATGGGGATTTTCATGTTCATTAACGATGAACTTGAAGTGGATGTGAGTAGTTTCAGTTGGATCCCAGTGGTTGGTATGGTAATGTTCCAAGTTTTCGCTTGTTATGGAATAGGAGTGATCCCAACTTTGATGCTTAGTGAATTGTATTCCGCTAGTATTAAATCGAAAGCGATGACGATCTTAGTTATTGCATTTGGAGTAGGAAATTTCGCCACCAGTTCTATTTTCTACAATTTAAACATTATTTTTGGATTCTATTCGCCTTTCTTATTTTTCATGATGTGTACTGCTGTTTCTGCTGTATTATCTCATTATATAATCCCAGAAACAAGAGGCAAATCTTTAGAGGAAATTCAACAAATGTTAAAAAATAACAATAAACATTAATGATCTTAACAAATTGTATTTATTGTAATTTTAAAAAACAAATACCCATCATGTCTGTACTGTTTTATTATCCATGTTTTAATTACTATGTAATTATATATTTTTGTACTATAAAATATAAATAAAGTTTTTTTTTAACTACTTATTTGAAGTCTATCATACCTTCTTTGATAGTCTCGTAGTTCTTGTCAACAGAAAACAACTTTTGTGTGTGATATTTTAGAAATATCTATAGTAAAACAATCTATATAAATGAATCTATATTTTATTAATAAGAATGGCGAATGCAAATAAAAAACTATCAGTAAGTTGTCTCGTTAATTTTTATATAAAATAAATAAGTGAAACGAATTCCACAACAATTTTTGCGCGGTATAACACTAGTAGATGATAACATAGCATTAAAAATTAAAATAATAATGTTTATACAACACAGGCATTGTTTTTTTGGATATATACATGAACATATCGAACAACTTTCGTAAAAAAGCTGTTTTAAAAATAAATATTCCTCAATTATTTTATTTATTGTTAAAATTACTTTAAGGTTCTTATCCCTTTATCTTTTTTTTGTTAATTTTTGGTTTAAACGTTTGAATTAGTTACAAATATATTTAGAAAAAATTAAAATTTCTAAATCAGTACCACGGAAAAAGTTTTAAAGGCAACCGATTTCGGTTCGAGAGCCATCTTCAAGTAACATAACTTAAAAAAAAACTCAAACTTATATATTAGGGTCAGGTCGATGACCATCAGAAGTATTATTTAAAACAATTTATAATTATAATATAAAAATTATAATACATAATATAAGACAAATACTTCAAAAACTAATACTGAAGAAAAGTAAAGATTTAAAAGTGACTTACTGAGATTAAACGTTTCATAGACTTAATAGTTTAGTATAGGTTCCTAAAGAATTTTTCTACAGTTTGTTCGACTATTAAAGAAAGGACAATCTACATTATGTACATGGGAAGCAGATGCTGCCTTTCTAGTCCTACGTCTAAAGCTACTGTAACTAATGTAACTAAAATTTATAGAAACACATATCTTTAATTTATTTGGAGTTTATTAAATTCTTTCCACGGATAATTATTTCAAAAGAATTTAAAGATTTGATAAATAAATAGACCGTGTTCTGCAACAATGGTGTAACCCGTAATTTGTTTGTTTGTATGTAAACCAGTCCATTACTAATAATATTACATTCAGCGAAAATGATGTAAGCTTCATCTGGCCCAGCTGCAGCTTACAGCATTTTGTATAGTATATAAAGTGTTTATATAAAGTTCTTTCTAAACTAGTTATAATATTAAGGGAAAGACTTAGGTAATTATCAAACCTTTGATTTAAAAGATCGTTTTGTAGATGTCGAAGACAATTTATTTGATGATGATGTTGTCGATGATGATGTTGTGTCTAATACCACATTATAAAATGCTTAAAATGTCAATTGCTCTTTTATAGTTGTAAAGACAATCTGATATTGTATAAGAACATATTATACAACATGATAAGCTGATAATATGGTAAAAGTAAATTATAAATAATTATGAATCTTTTAATATATGACATTATGTATCTGTTAGTGCTATCATTAAAAGTTACAGGGTTTTGCGTCTGACAAAATTATACTTTTATTCATTATTTTAAATTTTTATTTGGTTGTCCACGATGTAATATCTAATTTAAACAATCTAATTTGTAATCCTGGTCTAGACCGGGACCCTTGGATCCGCATGCAGAGACTCTACCACTGAGCCACCCACTCCCAGCTATTTTTTTTAAATAGATTTTTATTTATTATGCATAAATTTGACATGTACATTATAAAATGCAAATTTCATACATTTATTTCAAAGAAAATAGGTTGCTGCAAGACTTTTTTGTTACCTTATATATTGTTTTACTTACGTCATGCCTGCGTCAAACCAAATAACAGCAATCGATGTCGTCAAAACGTTTGAAGGTACTATTTGGAAACGTGAGACACAGACGACAGGCAGCAAGGCACATTACAAGAAAGGCAACCGTACTTTTAATACGACATAATTTGCTGCCTTGATGCCTGTCGTCTATCTCGGTCCTTAAACGTCAAATATACATTGTTAAAGACACTCTTTAAGCTTCTAAACGAGTATTTAAAGTGTAGTTTTTTAATAAATATTTGACGTACCATTCAAAGTATCTTTTTAATATTGCAGTCTCCGAAAATAGAGAAATTGATCATACATTTTTTTTATACTATTTTTTGAAACATTTTCTCCATACATTTAGATTTCAGTATATCCTGTAAAATATTCCGCGTACAATAACTAAGATAAGATTATTCTAAAATAGAAGACTTCGTTGATAAGTTTGTTTGGTACATTAAATGATATTTGATTAATACTTAAAAGATATAATTGTTTTCTTTTTTTTTTTTCAGTAATAGAAACGAAAATTCATATACTTTGCATAATATACTATTAAAGAAATGGTTGTTAAAGCCAATTTTAGTACATCCAAAGGAGAATCTGAAAAGAATTGGGCTCAAGTACTTGCTGTTTTTATAAGTAAGTTCTTATCTTGATTTATATTAAATTTGGGGAGGTTGGTCTGATAATTGAGTCATCTCTCTAGAGGAGCCAATATAATAATTATTATAAATATATAAATAACAAATTGTTAATAACCATAAATGAGAATTCTTTCTAAAGCTGGATAAGATAACTATAATTAAAAATAAATACAATTTGTTGCAATCTATAATTTTTAAATGGAAAGAGTGGTTTTTGTGACCTCATATGATGGAACACCGTCTTTCGGAAACATTTTTTAAATTCTATTACTGTTTATACTTTGACAGCAAGCGACCGCCAGACCTACGTTATAGTGTGAAAGTTGATATTTTTCATGTGTGTGTCCATTATAGTAGATAGGATATAGAAAGTTTCAAGTCATGTACTTTAATCTAAAACATAATTTTTGAGAAATTAACAATAAAAAAGTTTTCTATAATGAGCAGAGATCTTTCGACACTATGAAAGTGTCTGGCAAACGTAACCGCTCGCGAAAATCGTCTATAATGATGTTCAGTTAAACATATTAAGTAATCAGCTTTCATACTATAAGGTTTTGTAATGAAGTCAATTTTTCCTCAATCAGTTTATTTTCATTTTTCATTTTTACTTTCCTGTCTGTATACAGATATAAGGAAAGTATAGGAATCATGATTTTTTTCGACCTCGAGTTTTCGACGGATTTTTACGTTTTGAGGTCCCCTGAATCAGTTTTGACTATTTTCGCGATGATGTATGTGTGTCTCTGTGTGTGTGTGTGTATGTGTGTGTGTGTGTGTGTGTGTCGTGTGTGTGTGTGTGTGTGTGTGTGTGTGTGTGTGTGTGTGTGTGTGTGTGTGTGTGTGTGTGTGTCGTGTGTGTGTGTGTGTGTGTGTGTGTGTGTGTGTGTGTGTGTGTGTGTGTGTGTGTGTGTGTGTGTGTGTGTGTGTGTGTGTGTGTGTGTGTGTGTGTGTGTGTGTGTGTGTGTGTGTGTGTGTGTGTGTGTGTGTGTGTGTGTGTGTGTGTGTGTGTGTGTGTGTGTGTGTGTGTGTGTGTGTGTGTGTGTGTGTGTGTGTGTGTGTGTGTGTGTGTGTGTGTGTGTGTGTGTGTGTGTGTGTGTGTGTGTGTGTGTGTGTGTGTGTGTGTGTGTGTGTGTGTGTGTGTGTGTGTGTGTGTGTGTGTGTGTGTGTGTGTGTGTGTGTGTGTGTGTGTGTGTGTGTGTGTGTGTGTGTGTGTGTGTGTGTGTGTGTGTGTGTGTGTGTGTGTGTGTGTGTGTGTGTGTGTGTGTGTGTGTGTGTGTGTGTGTGTGTGTGTGTGTGTGTGTGTGTGTGTGTGTGTGTGTGTGTGTGTGTGTGTGTGTGTGTGTGTGTGTGTGTGTGTGTGTGTGTGTGTGTGTGTGTGTGTGTGTGTGTGTGTGTGTGTGTGTGTGTGTGTGTGTGTGTGTGTGTGTGTGTGTGTGTGTGTGTGTGTGTGTGTGTGTGTGTGTGTGTGTGTGTGTGTGTGTGTGTGTGTGTGTGTGTGTGTGTGTGTGTGTGTGTGTGTGTGTGTGTGTGTGTGTGTGTGTGTGTGTGTGTGTGTGTGTGTGTGTGTGTGTGTGTGTGTGTGTGTGTGTGTGTGTGTGTGTGTGTGTGTGTGTGTGTGTGTGTGTGTGTGTGTGTCGCATAACTCATGAACCGATACACAGAAAAACACCAAATTTTAAACTTAAGCTTTATTCCAGCGTCTAATGAACTGATTAGATTTTGGGCAGAGTCGGAACATCTGGGGGGTACTTTATAGGTGGTCATTTTTATATTTTATGGAATATATCTGTTATTTACGTTTGGAGAAGAAAATTATTATTATCTATAATTTTAACGAAGTTTTCGAGGAGACATTTTCCCTCTTTTAATAGTTTGTTTATTCTTTTACCGTATATTTAAATAAGCTTAAATAGCATCCTGTCCCTGTCTGAACGGGCTCGTGATGACGATCAGTTCATTCTTGGATTAGGTGCTATCTGCGTTAGTTTACTTTTTGCCTTTGTATTCTTCATTTTTTCGTGCAAATTGCAAATTAAAAAAAATCTTAAATAGCTTCATTACCCTATCTGAGCGGGCTCGTGATGACGACTAGCTCATTCTGGGATAATAGACTACCTCGGGTATAAATTTATTTTTTCCTTTTCGTGTATTTACTATAAGTAAATCTTTCGCGTCCCTGTCTCCTCGCACTCTCTATGACCGTTTAGCTAATTTTTCCTTACCGAAATAGTAAAATACCTACATTTTAGTTTAATTACCGACTTAACAGTCAAGTTAATAATTTTTTTTCTGCGACCGAAACATTCATTTTATTTTAATTCAATTTTGACGTCTGATTGAGACTAGTCGGGATTCAATACCGTCCGTTTTGTTGTTTAAGACAAATTAACATTGTCAGAAATTCGTTTTATGCCAATCCGGCGATCATTTTGTATCAAGTCGTTAATTTCTGCAATTTTTGTGTCATTTCTCGCAGTTTGTGGTCGACCGGGACGAGGTTCATCTTCAACTGATTCACAACCGTCTTTAAACTTTTTATGCCACTCAAACACTCTACGTCGTGATAAACTATTATCTAGATATGCACCTTTAATCATTTCAAAAGTTTCAGTTGGTGTTTTACCCAATCGAACATAAAATTTTATCGCGTATCTGCTCCACTTTCATTTTTCGATGGGTACGCAAAACACTGACAATTCAATAATTAATTTGTAACAAATGTCGAAAGTTAAATCAAAGCCTACTTGCGGGGTAGTACATTAAATATAAGGCTTTCATGTCTCATTTTTTGGGTTATAAAATGTTACCTCTGAAAGAAGTTATAGCACCAGTCTCGTTATATACTGATATATCCGCGTATATCATAATAAATATAAAGTTAACTTTCTTATTCATTCAAGAAGCACTGCGGGACACGCCCTCTTAAGCTATTATCTAAGTTAGACTAGATACAGACTGTTGAGTCCTGTAACTCACACCCAAATTCACGACAGCTTCAATCCTAATTATAGAACCAAAGATATTATCATTCCTTCATATCAATAATGACAACACCTACATTTTTCTAATATACATATAATAATTATTTTACAATATTTTATTTATTTCAGGTGGACTTGCTGGTATAAGCAACGGTCTCCTGTTCTCCTGGCCTTCCCCGTATTTAGTAAAAATTACTCAAGACAAAGTTAACTATGACATTACAGAAGAAGCAGGTTCCTATTTCAACATAATCCATCCATTATCATTAATATGTGCCTGTCCGTTTTTTGCAAAATTAATCGACATAATCGGAAGAAAAAGAACAATGTTGCTAATAGTCATTCCTCAAATTGCAAGTTGGTTGCTATCAGGTTTTGCAAAATCTGTTTACGTGTTTTACGCAGCTAGAGTTTGCGCTGGATTAGCAGATGGATGCATTTTTGCTGTATTACCAGCTTATATTGGAGAAGTAGCGAACCCCTCAGTTAGAGGCAAATGGGGGAATATAATTCCTACATCGATGTATTTGGGAGAGTTTTTAATAACTATAATTGGTAGTTATTTTGATGTGAAAACTGCGAGTTTTATTTGTTTGCCTTTACCTATATTATTCCTAATTTTATTTTCTTTAATGCCGGAATCTCCCTATTACTACATTATAAAAGGACGAGAAGAAAATGCTAAACAATCTTTGAGGTTTTTGAAACGAATTAATAATATTGATGATATTTACCAACAGCTTAAATGTGATGTCGAAAGACAAATTGCAGAATCTGGAACTTGGTGCGATCTGTTTAAGATTAAAAGTAACAGGAAAGCTTTGGTTGCAGGACTGTTTTTAAGATTTACACAGCAGTTGTCGGGTTTTAGCGTTTTTCTAACTTTCACCCAACTTATATTCCAAAAATCTGGTGGGAATATTTCGCACGAAACATCATCTATAGTTTATTTAGGATTTTGTATTGCTTTAAATTTAATAGCAATGATTTTTATAGTTCCTAGATTTAATAGACTAACTTGTTTTGTATCATCTACAGCTCTTTGTGGTATTACAATGCTAATTTTGGCTATATACCTTTATGTTGACGAGTGTCTACATGTAGATGTAAGTTCTTTCAATTGGATACCTCTTACGATGATGGTACTTTATCAAATTTTCGCATCTTATGGAATAGCAGTGATACCAACTTTAATGCTTAGTGAACTGTATTCAGCTAGTGTCAAATCTAAAGCAATGACGCTTTTATCGATGTCATTTGGAGCTGGGATATTTATTGCTAGTTCACTTTTTTATCAGTTAAATATTAATTTTGGTTTTTATTCGCCATTTTTCTTCTTTTTCGCGTGCTGTGGAGTTTCGACAGCTGCGTCTTACTACATCATTCCGGAAACGAGAGGAAAAACTCTTGAAGAGATTCAGGTGATGTTGAAAGCCATATAGATTTTTTATTCACAATTGAATGTGATCAAAATGTACAAATTTATTAAAATTTTTAATAAAAAAATATATTTACATACTTCTTTTTTTATACTATTAAAATGAGCTAGTGGCTAGTAACATTGATATTACGAGTAACACCATGGTTCTTTAATATGCTTACAGATAACGCTTTAATACTCATTTACGTGATAAATATTAGGACTTGTCTACGTCTCTGTTTACTTCTAAAAATGTATAAGAGGGAGTACAAATTTTAAGATAAAAATGAGACATAAATACAAATTTTCTGTGTTTTAGATAAAGAGGAATAACCAGTTTTCTATTCTCTCGAATTCAAGAGTAGCTACTATAGAGTTAAAGCTGTTTCCCGGCAAAATAAGATATGTAAAAAAACACTCTCCTTTTTCTAATATTTCAAATAAAAAAAATTCAAAGTCACTCTTACTTTTACAAACTACATAAATGTATTTATATTTAAATAAAAAGCTTTACTAGGATAAAAATACTTACAATGTTTGCAGCTTTCCTAAAGGTGCTAAAGCTTCACTCGGAATTGATTTCAATCCACAACCTTGCAGCAATCTGAAACAGACAAAAACAAAGAAATTCATAAACAAAATTTTACAGACTTTAAATAATAAGAAATTTTGATATTTCACAACATTTTGAAGCATTGTTGTACATAATTTTTGTAATAAAATAACGAATGTTCTTCATTAAAATATGACAACATTGTTCAAAATAAATTTGAAATTTTGAGAAGGCACCATATATATAAAAATACGTGAACTATTTTGATGTAATTTTGGTTGCGTTATTATGGTTAAAATTATTTTTTTCTACATAAATGAAGGTAAAAAATGAAACATTTCTTGTGTAAAGCCTCTAATGAGATTATATTCTATTTTCTGAAAAATTTTTTTTTGCAAATTTTTGATGACTTTTTAACATGTCAAAGTTTGACTATTTCGTTGTTTCATTTTATCAATTTTTTTCCACTTTATAATTTATTCAGGAAATAGTAAAATACCATTTAAATATTATAAAAGAAAATTCGCATAGAAAGTCCGGGTAATATGTAAAAAAATTCCCGTATGGTGACATTTGCTAACGCCTTCTTAAAATGTTTGTTATTAATTATTTAAAAATTTTGCAAAAAGAGTAAAAAATGGTTTGGACCAAAGTTATTTATTTTTACTAAACTAACAATATGGTGAATTTAAAACTATATAAAACTAATGTGTGTTACTTTGCAATCTTTTCTCCAAAATTTAATTTAGTTTTTCTGAACATAAAAAAATTATCAAAATAATCTAAACTTTGCTAATTTTTTTGACTAAATCAAATTTTGGAAAAGTGGCTCTAGAGGAATACCACATATTTAAGATACACGTAAATATTATTCGCCAGGAGCTTGCTGGGATATAGGTAATTATTTCGTAGAGCTGCATTCGCTAGCCGTAGTTAATATACATACATTTGTTATTCAATCAAATGTTCGTTGGGACTCCTATTTGGATTAAATTTTTATTATGGAATGTTACTTATATGGACATCCGTCCACACTTCATTCGCTCGAATCGCGGCAAACGCCAGCGTACCTTCGCCTATGCCCCTTTGTGTCAACGAATCCAAACTATAATCTTAAAGTTAAGACATCCTGTATATAAATTTTATTCTGATAACAATTGTTCGTCCATTTCCCCAAAAATAAACCTCAAAACCTTTAAAAATGATAAAAGCAAATAATTCCGTAGAGTATGACTCATTAGGAAAAAGTCTCTGGTTTTTTATCACAACGTTATCAATTTTTTTATTCAGTCACACAAGTTTATATCAAATGTTACGATGTCTATTACTAAATATAGTATATTGAGTGTCTTAATAGTTCTTCTGTATTTCGGTGGTGTTAAATGTGAATTTTGTATAAAAGGTGACTTTAAATTAAAAAATTATTTTATTTTTTACGAGTATAAAGCATGTAAACTGACTCCTTTCTATATAGGAGTTGTGGAAGAAGTTATATCAACAAGTTACAACCCTCCATTGTGTTTTATTCGGATTAATACAAACGGCACTAACTATGTTTTACTTATGTTAGAAACCGTAAATATTTGCAGTGAAACGTTATGGAAAACTGATAAAGCATCTGTGTATGTTCAAGAAAAAGTTGGGACTAATAATTATACAAATTTAGAATTTCTGACTGATTTGCTTAAACCAACCAAAAATAGTATTTTTTGCGACGAAAATCTAGAAAATCTAAAAAAGCTAGATAATCTAAAAAATTTAGAAAATCGAGAAGATATAGAAAATCTAGTAAAATCCATTATTTCAGTATCATATTCAACACTATTATTAATAGTTTTTTTAATAATATTTATGATATCAAAGTCTGCATGGGGAGTTATAACAAATTGGTATATTTTGAGAACGTCTAATGTGTTAAGCAAGAAAGTTATTGTGATTAAAAGTTTTTCGCAAAGTTTAACGATTCAAGAACTGTTGGAGAGGACGCAGTCAGTTAAATGTTGTGATAGAGATAGAAACATGTACAAATCAAACATTGATCCTTTCGAAATTCTTGATAATGAATTTTATTCTGATAGATAGAAGTGCATATATTTGATTATGTATTTATGTATATTTCTTTTTAATAATAAATTTTAGAAAACATTTATTTAATTTATTTTTCTTCAATTGCCAGATATTTGTTGAAAGACAATCAAAAGAGTAACATATCCATAGTTAAATTTGTGGCTGTTTAAATGGCACTTGTCAAATATGTCAATATAAATCTAATAATAATGTTTGTTGAATGGGCCATGTTCACATGTGAGATATGCTTTTTTTATAAATTATATTGTAATATTTGGTCACTATACAAGTTATTCTAAATAATCAGTTTGTTAAAAAAGCCAAAAATTAAAATCATTTATAATTTAAAATTTGAAATGTGTACGTCATTGGTAATAAACCAATCAATTTGTGTCGAAGTTTTGTTTGTTATACAAAACCAAGTCAACGAACAAAACGACACATAGAATGTCGAAGTAATAATAATAATAATAATAATAATAATAATAAATGATAATAAGGTCTTTATTTTCACATCATAAAACAAAATTAAAGTATATTTACAATATTCTAAAAATACATATTTAATAATGTTGTGAAAATAAGGCGAGGTGTCAGCTGAGTGAGTTATACTAAACATAAGCATAGCTCTGAAATGAGAGACATGAAAACCATCTTGTGGTATTAAATACAACAATTATTTTTGAAATCTATTCAGTTAGATTTATCGAATTAGTTCATAGAACAAAATATGCTTAAAAATGCATTTTTCACAAGATGCGCTACACAAGAAAGATCCATCGAAAAAAATTAATGAGCGCAGCGCCATCTATATATTGACCTATTTAAAATCAATTTATATCTAAAACTGAAGCTCTCTTAATGCTCTGTGAACTGGCTTTTACAGAATTAACATATTTCTATTACTTTCCAAAATATCCGGCCTGGGACTTTTTATTGGTACACCCTGTATACATATTTAAATAAATTTTGGGTCCTAAACAAAGCAGATTAGGAATTTTCTTTTTATAAAAAATACCTAAAGGAAATTGAATCTTGAAATGTGTGTTGAAAATTGATACGAGTCATGAAACTGTATCTGAAAAGTATTTAAATATTAACAGCTATTTTTCTTTATCATTTTCCAAAGTGAAATTAATGAAAAGCCATTAATCTCATTTCCGGATGCTTTTCGGTAAACCGAACGAACTATACGTGTAGTACACGTTGTGCTCTCCACGGGAGATATAAATAAATCTTCGCCGTAATATGTTGACAATATAAAGCTCCGGGGATTCCCCTCTAAATCATAAAGAAGGACACTTTTTGTGTACCAGAAACGGAAATGCGAAAGAAAATTCTGTTGGAAAAAGGAAATTTAATAAAGAATAGGAAGGTGATCAATAAATAATAAGAGTTCAAACATATACAGGGTGAGTATGTTTAGAGGGAGTTGTGGTAAGTGCAAAATCACCAATTAAAAAGAATAGTAGTTTTAATCGTTTTTGGTGAAAAATAATTTTAAATTGTTCGGGAATTATTTTTATTATAGTCGGTTTCAAGTCCTTGCGAACCTTAGGATCAACCAGAAAAAAATACGTGAAGAAATTCAGAATCTTGGAAAACCACCAAAAATTGTTGTTAATGATTTTTATAAAATTGTGTTTGTCGTTTAAGTTTTTATTTTTTAAAAATGAACACCCCACTTTATCTTTTCCAATGGGAATATTATATTCTAGTTCCTGTGTTTTTATAGAAATTTTTGATGCTTTTTTTAATATGTTTTTTTAATGTTCATAAATTCTTTCTTATTCCATTTTCTCACTTATTTCCACTTTACATGAACTAGTTAGAACATTATAAAAGCAAATCTGCATAGATTTATTTCGTGGATGTATTATATAGTTATAGAGTTTACTGTATAGAGTTTTTATTCCTGATTTTGAAAAAAAAAAAGCTTCAAACAAAACACAAAGACATAAATATGTAAATTTGTAAAATATCTCTAGCTATTTATTGAGAAAATCATGACAGAGGGTTGCATTTATTGTTTTAAAAAGTAACATTGTCACAAAATTGATATATTAAACATGAATGACATATGCAAAATTTTTATTTCGTAATATTATATTTTAAATACAAAATAATGGGTAAAATAAGAAAGCATTTCTATGGTGTATGGGAAAAGGAGTATAAGTCAAAATTTTGGGCATTTGACATCTATACTTAATGTAAATAAAACGTGGGATAAGTCAATACTTAGGAACTTCATAATATAAACTACAAAAATAATTACCGGTTTCTAGTGGGAAAATCAGTATAAGTCGACTTATAAGACATACTAGCTATTGCCCGCGGCTTTGCTCGCATATAGTCGTGTTATTAATATAAAAAAATTCATGACTTCCTTTTTTATTAATTTTTATTAGTTTTATTGATTTCCATTCATTTTTTTATATTTATTCATTTTTTTTTAATTTTTATTCATTTGTATTCATTTTAATTCATGTTTATTCATGTTTATTCATTTCTATTCATTTTTAATAATTTTTATTCATTTTTATTAATTATTATTAATTTTTAATAATTTTTATTAATATTTATTAATATTTATTAATTTTTATTAATTTTTATTAATATTTATTAATTTTATTAATTTTTGTTAATTTTTAATAATTTTTAATAATTTTTAATAATTTTTATTAATTTTTAATAATTTTTAATAATTTTTAATAATTTTTATTAATTTTTAATAATTTTTATTAATATTTATTAATTTTTAATAATTTTTATTAATTTTTATTAATTTTTAATAATTTATTAATTTTTATTAATTTTATTAATTTTATTAATTTTATTAATTTTTATTAATTTTTATTAATTTTTATTAATTTTTGTTAATTTTTATTAATTTTTAATAATTTTTAATAATTTTTATTAATTTTTATTAATTTTTATTAATTTTTATTAATTTTTATTAATTTTTAATAATTTTTAATAATTTTTAATAATTTTTATTAATATTTATTAATTTTTATTAATTGTTATTAATTTTTATTAATTTTTAATAATTTTTATTATTTTTTATTAATTTTTATTAATTTTTATTAATTTTTATTAATTTTTATTAATTTTTATTAATTTTTATTAATTTTTATTAATTTTTATTAATTTTTATTAATTTTTATTAATTTTTATTAATTTTTATTAATTTTTATTAATTTTTATTAATTTTTATTAATTTAATTTTTATTAATTTTTATTAATTTTTATTAATTTTTATTAATTTTTATTAATTTTTATTAATTTTTATTAATTTTTATTAATTTTTATTAATTTTTATTAGCTTTCACCCCCGTTTTCCTCCCCTAAAATGTGAAAATCCAAAAACCATAAAACATTATTTATTTATGATGAGAACCTACAATTCCAATTTTCAAATTCCTACCTTTAAAAAAATCGATATTTCCGAATAAACCTTCAGCCCCCCGTTTCCCACCCTTAAAATGTTAAAATTCCAAAACCCTAAAACACGTCATTATTAATTTGTACTCATTAGCTGCAATTCCAATTTTCATGTTTCTAACTTCAAAGGGAACAAAAAAAATCGATAGTCCCTTATAAACTTTCTCCCCCCGTTTTCCCCCCTTAAAATGTAAAAAATCCAAAAACTCTGAAACACGTCATTATTTATTTATGCTTAATAGCTGTAATTTAAATTTTCAAGTTTCTAACTTTAAAGAACAAAGAGTTTCATTAAAAGCTCCCTCCCCCCATTTTCTCCCATTTCCCCTTTTTAAAGTTAAAATTTCCAAAAATTCTTTCTTAGCGGATGCTTACGTTATAAAATAAACCTATGTTCCAAATTTCAGCTTTCTAGGCTCAGTAGTTTTGGCTGTACGCTGATAGGTCAGTCAGTCAGTCAGTCAGGACAAACAATTTTATATATATTATTATAGATAACATAAATTTACTCAGTTTCAAAATTTTTGACTTGTACTCCTTTGCCAACCCACGATATATTTATTAATGGAATCACTTGTCAATAATTTTTAAACATTTATTCTCTCTTCTATAGTATAAATCTTAATATTTCAATTTCCACACGTTCTCAAAACTCGTCTATTCGATATATTGTCAGCATTATAGCAAGAAACGTACTGAGAAATGCATGAAAATCACCTTATGGCTGAAACCATTAAATTGTAGGAATTATTGCCTTACAACCGGAACGTTTTAACACAAACGCCGTATTTATGAACGATTTCTTGGGCAATAACTTCCAAACGAGCCAGTTCAAATCCAATGCAGATAAACTGCAAATCTTCCACGTGAAATAGACCTTTTCGAGTAATATCTCAATAATACGAAATCGCTTCTTCTTCAAGCAGAAACAGTGGCGTGAAGGAAGATTTGACAAGATAAAAGGCTCTAAATCCATCGTGCGTTAAGTCTTTTTAATAAATATTCGGTGACGGGAATAGATCGAATTTATTACATTGGATAATGAATGGCTTTTGCGAATAATCTGTATTTGATTCGCTTAAGACGATGAGACGTTGATACGTAGTCTAGGGACAGACGTTTTATTTTTTTTTTTCTTCAAAACATCGGTAAGGTGGTTCTATAATTTGGCAACTTTTTCTAGTTCAAATGGCTTCGAATCTCTAGTGGTTTATGAAATCACAATATTGTAAATTATCCACACTCTATTTAAATTTACATAATTGCTCTATAGAGCGGTAAAACCGCGTCAAAATCCTTAGAACGGCATAGACAGACCGACGCCAGCTAAAGACTGGTTCATCCTACGTAAAGATTTATATTCTCTTACGATAAAACCTTTTTTGAGAGTAACAAATCTATTTTATAAATTTCTGCAAGCAGCGGATACGATATAATTAAATTTCTTTAAAATCTCATAAATCTAAAAGCTCTTCGTCTAACTAGATATTTCTTTTATGTAGTAACCTGTCGACTGTAATAGTTTTAAAATATATAACAGGCATCTTTTAGTAAAACTGATATACCTACTGCTAAAT